TGAGTTTGAATCCCAAAATGCAGAAGGACCTCCCCAGTGGTTTTGCATTAAATAGCATTCAGGAGAAGATTGAACGCCAAGGGACACCATAGGCCAGAGCCCCATTGCCCCCAAGCCACACCTTCTGAAATCACTCCTTCAAGTTGCTCCTCTGTGATGGCCTGGGATTCGGACTCAGAGGCTGACCCTGAGGAATCCCAGCCTGCACAGGAGTCCCCGCCTCCAGAACCAGCTGAGCCAGGGCTGGGGCCTGAGCCTGAAGGGTCCTCACCTGTGCTGGATCCTCAGGTGCAGGCACCAGCTGAGTCTGCTCTGGCCCCTGAAGTGATGGAGGACCCATTGCCTGCAGGTGCTCCACTCTCAGCCCCGTCAGGGGAAGAGGAGGTTGCCTCTGGGTCCGGTAACCCTCCAGCCTCTCCTGAGCTGCAGAGGCTCAGGGCAGAGAGGTGGAGGGAACTAAGTTCCTGCAGGAGGAGTGCTCGCCTCCGGAACAGGAGAGGCGAGTCACCTGTGGACCGGGGCCACCCTATGCCTCGGGGCAGATAAAAGCCAGTCAGCCCCAGTCCCAGGTTGAGGGAGCAATGTTGTTGCTAGCCTCTTCCTGCCTGCACCCTGACCTGCTCTTCTGCCAGAGTTCCTGATCCCACCCGACTCCCTGCCTTGGACCCATCTACAGCTTTGATGGACAACCTTCATACCACACCATTGACCTCGGACTGGACTTGGACCTCGCCTTTCAGTTAGCCCCCGGGACCAGCACATCCTCAGATCACCATATATGCAGGTGCAGTGACCACTTTGGAGACTTCTAAGAGAAACATTTTTTAAAAGTAGCTGCGCTGACCCCACAGGAGTTGTTAGAGAAAGGTGATCGAAGACAAGGCAGACCCCCAGCTTCACCCAGCTGGGAGGGGGAACTGGCATTCAGCGTCTTTTAAAGTGTGCGGCAGGTCCAGGCATTCCAAGCACAGCACATCGCCTTTTTTGGCAGTTTCTTTGGAAATACTTTACTTCCGCTCTCAGCGCTACCTCGCCTTGTCCTCCCCTCCCTGCGGGCATTTCAGTAATAGGCAAACTGGGTCACGTATGCAGCCGCTAAGTGGGCACCACTCCCTTCCCACAGCCAGCCACCCAAACATTGCTCCGTCTCATCCATTTGCCAGCACCTGGGGCTTGAAACAAAAGGGCAGAGTTGATTGTTTTGGTAAGCAAAGCGTGGGCTGGGATGGCAGAGAAACAAAGAGCACCTGTTCAAACCTGTGTCCATTCATGCTTCCTTCTCTCCTGGCAGCGTGATTGCATTAGCCCCATGCCCGCCCCCTTTCTCCCTCCATCTCCGCACAGCCACTTTCCCATTCCTCTGCTGCAAGTGCAAAGTGATGCATGTTGGGGCAACCCCCGCCTCATCATTTCACATATATGCTCCTGGGATTTGAACTGATGGAACAAGACCTCGGGGTCCTAGTTGATAATTGAAGAAAGACATCGGCCCAGTGTGTGTGGCAGCTGTGAAAAAGGCACACTCCATACTAGGGATCGATAGAAAAGGAACTGAAAACATGACTTCCAATATCATAGAATGCCATCATGCAATTCTATGGTGCAACCACGTTTGGAACGCTGCGTACGGTTCTGGTCGCCTCAACTGAAAAAGGATATTGTAGAACTAGAGATGGTGAGTCGCCTATGAAAAAAGGTTGCAATGTTTGGGACATTTTTGGTTAGAAAAAAAGGGAGGGTGACAGGATTGAAGTTTGCAACATATATGTGGCATGAGGAAAAAATTGTGCTTGGATGCTGCTTAAGGGCTTCTCATAAGCATCTTGGCCACTGTGAGAACAGGATGCTGGACTAGTCGGGTCCTTTTTGGCCGAATCCAGCAGGCTGTCATTATGTACTTAGGAGAGGTGTTGCCTGGCATTATCTGAGCCTTTGCAGATCTGTCTGTCTAGAAAAGCAGAGCTGACATGACTACCAGCTACAAGTAATCCTGACAGAAATAACAACAGTAAACCACTCAAAATCAGCTGTCGGTGCTGGCTGCTCCATTCTGCCTAATGGTAGGACTGGGCCTGAATTGCAGGAGCTGCAGGCCATCGGTCAGCTGGTGTCTTTTATACTGGCAGTCAGCTGTTCCAAGCCAGCAACGCTACAGGCCAATCTGTGTTCCTCTTCATCACTCCTCACATCCCCAAACAGCGAGGCCTCCACCTCACTGAAAGCCTTCTGCATCTTCCCTTGGCAGCGCGTGCCACGTGTCTGATGCCCATGGACCTGTTTCTTGTAAAAGAAGACTGTGGGCAAGGTGCTATTAGATTTAACATATAATTAAGCTATTTGGAAGTGTACAGGCACAACTCTCTTAACAGCTTTGCTAAGACATGTCAGAAAGGTTCGGCCAAATATACCCTATTATGAGTAATAATAGCTGCTGTTCATTTGCTTCCATTCAAAAATATTTTGCCTGAAAGCATTTCCCTCACTAAAACAAATTATTTTAGAGCCAAAGCATCATTTTATGATTTACACACAAAAGTGTGAAAGAGCCCTTAAGAAAATGGCACTCATTTCTGACTAAACTGAGAGGGATCTGGCTGAGCAGCTCAGGATTTGCTCTCTCAAGTTCTTGATGTTTTTTTTCAGGGTCCCCAAATTCCCTCCCGTCTGGAGGGCATGTCAAGAGGGCTGGTGGCAGCAGCGATTACTGGATAGTTAAGACACAGTCTGTCTATCCTACAAGGCAGGGGTGCAAAAGAAGGGCATAAGCTGGCTCTCCTAGCCTTTCTGTTCTGATACAAGCACAGAATCCTCTTGAGAAGCTTTAAGCACGGCCCAGTTCCTGCCACATGTAGGCCTGAGAGTCAAATCACTCAAACAGGTGGTGTGCATCTCCTCCGCTTCTTCCTTATTCAATCAGTCGCTTGCTCACTTTTGCAGCCAGGAGCCAGAAAGGTGTGCTGATCTGAACAAGAACCCGATTTGTCACTGGCAGGTGGAGTCTCAGAACAGCGATTAAGGAGCAAATCCAGGATTTTGCAAATTGCCAAGTAAGCACAAGGCAGAATTAATTTCAGTTTTGAAATGTGTCAGAAACCATGTTCACCTGAAACTGCCTGGCCACTCTCCAACAAAAAAAAATTCATGGTTTGATGCAAGAATTACTATTCTGGCTTAAACAAACAGCAAGTAGCTGGGGCTGTCAAGGGCTGTTTGTAATTGCAATTAAAGGAGACCATTACAGAGGGAAAACTAAGTGGCACTGACCTGCGAAAGAACAAATGGTTCGCTCTGGCTCACTTCTCTTGCTATTATGAAAGCCTTCAGTGTTTGAGGAGTCGTCTGTTCTTGCACCCACTTCTCCCTCCCTTGTTTAAAACCGGAATGCCCAGTATTTGGCCAGGAACACACTGCAATCTTGAGAAAGGGCACAGTGACACTAAAGTGAAATCTTCACACTCTAATGGGAAAGGACACATTTTCCTCACAACCTGTGTTACAAATCCTACCAGCTCAGCAAATTCACCCACAATCTTCTCTTTAGATTCAGGGAGAGGCCCCACCCACCCCAGGAAGAAAACACTCCTCCCCACGCCGGTTTCACATGATGAAAAGGAAATCTCAGGCACCATCTTTTTCCTTCTTCAACATGGTCTTGCTTTTCAGCAGGGAAGTCAATAACACTTGAAGCAGCCTCCAGAGTCTGGAGCCCTTTCGGATTACACAGGAAAACTGTTGTGTTTGCTCTCCACGTGGCACATAAGAGGCTGCCTTATGCCATCATGCCCTTGCTCCATCAAGTTCAGCATTGCCTCCACTGGCTGCTGCTCCCCGTAAAAATAAATGCAAGTTTCCAGTCCTCATGGTTCCGGAGGGCTGATTTAAATAGGAACGTAGGGAGCGGCCTTACACAAAAGTTCAGACCCTTGGACCCTCCAGCTCAGCATCATCTTTACTTTCTCTCTTGTCTCTACTCTTTATTGACAAATCGAAGGTTTTATTTTTATTGTATTTTTTCACATTTTATACTGAAAAATTGGGATGAGGAGGAAATGGCTCTCCAGCGTTTCAAGCAAGATCCTTAACCTGGAGATGCTGAAACCTTTGCATGCTGCATGGACAATCTTGCCTCTGACAAGTGTTCCTGTGGTGCACATTTTTAAACATCAGTCATATTTTTAGGGTCGTACATATTTTTGTTTTTTAGTATGAAGTGCCTGTGGTAATGGGATCCAGTATTTTGATTTGCAGTTACCTTAATATCCTTGTTTGAAAGCCAAATCAGCAGCCCCCAAAGACAAGAGTTGTAACCCTTTGAAAGAGGGTCACAGTAACTTCAAATATAGAGAGATGGAGGATGTGCATGCAGAAAGGTCCTTTCCATCAGCCCTTAAAAGAAAAGGGACCCCTGACCATTAGGTCCAGTCGTGGCCGACTCTGGGGTTGCGGGGCTCATCTCGCTTTATTGGCCGAGGGAGCCGGCATACAGCTTCCAGGTCATGTGGCCGGCAAGACTAAGCCGCTTCTGGCGAACCAGAGCAGTGCATGGGAACGTCGTTTACCTTCCTGCTGGAGCGGTGCCTATTTATCTACTTGCACTTTGACGTGCTTTCGAACTGCTAGGTTGGCAGGAGCAGGGACCGAGCAACGAGAGCTCACCCCATCACGGGGATTCGAACCGCCGACCTTTTGATTGGCAAGTCCTAGGCTCTGTGCTTTAACCCACAGTGCCACCCCTTACGACCCAGCTTATACCACCCAGTAGCACTGAGAGGAAAGCAGCAGCCAGTCACTTTGCAAGGAAGGTTCTGGGATGGGTGGAGGGAAGAGAAACCTTCCATGATCTTTGCTTTATCGGTAGTTATCCTAGTTATCTCCACCGCCCCGGTGGAAAAGTCACATGGAATATAAATACAAATAATAAACTTAATCAGAAATGCAAAGCTTGCTTTGTGAAAATATCAGGATTTAAAAATATAAAATAAAGAGGATCCAAGACAAAAGACCAGCAACAGCAGTGTTATAATTCAGAGAACTTCGTTCAATTTAAAAATCAAACACATTCAAAAGGTAACAGAAATTGTTAATTATGGACAGCAAAAAAAGACCCAAAAGGGGTGGGGGACACACTCAACCAAGAGATTATACATCTTTTTACAAGGCAGAAATTGACCGAGTTTACTACAGAACTGATAATAAAATAAGAAGAAGGGAGAACAAACAACACAAATATTGGAACAAAGCTATACCCACAAATGCAAACGTCATAATAAAAACAGCACTTTTTGAACTGAGACACTTAAGATATTTCTTATTTAAGCCATTTAAAATCTAGCATAATCATTAAATTAGTAAAAAATACTTTTATTCAAGAATAACAGAAAAAAACCTTTTAAAGTTAGGTTTACATTTTTCCTACTTTTAAAAAAATAACTATGTTAAAAGAAAGGGGGAGAGATTTGTAAGGGAGTCAATATTATATACTTGGGGGGGGCATAAAGATAACCCCCTTGGCTGAGAGAGCCTCTGTGCAAGGTCCGTGCAATGGATTGGACTTCCCCTTGTTGAGTATTGATTAGAAGGGGCAGGGGCAGAGAAACTACTGTTCCTTCCATGCAGAACTGCAGGACAGAGGAGGAAGGGCTTGCTCTCGTACTCCGGGGAAAGCTCATATAAGATGAAGACTCTTTGGAGTGGGACACACTTATGAAACGCCATGCGCACAGGGGCTTCATGCTCTAGACAGAACTGTTCTATCTCCATGTACGGGGGTTCCAAACTACATGCGTGGTGCACCCTCGCTTCACAGAACAGGGCAGTCGTCATGCTCTGGTTCAGTCCCAGAGAAGCTGGGCTCCAGCAGCCATATGGACTCCAATAAGGCTAAGCCAGCATGAAGAGCCATTCAGCAGCCTCTTCGCATAATGCGTTTATTAGTCAGGGGCGATGCCAATTTCAAGACCTGGCATGTCTGCAGACTTCTATATAAGGTGAAACCGACATGTAATAAGAGTCATTTTGCGGAGCACAACTCAGCTAGTTATGCACCAAGCGTTCCCACAAGCCTGATGTATTAATATTCTGCTGGCAAGTGATTTTAGTGGGAGTCTTCCTGTTTTTTGAAACCAGAAGCAGCTCTCAACCTACACCATTCGGGGGCAGCCTATTTTAGACGAGCAGCACCAAAGTGCATTTCACCCACACTAGGAATAAATGGATATAGATTAAAGTCACCCGGCTTTAATCATTCATTTGTTTGTGCCCCTTTAGAAGTCCTTAAAACATAAGAAGATTACAGCAAAATTAACACAGGAGGCATGAAAGAGAGAGCTCTTTGGGGGAAGTCATGACTGGCTTGTGCTATTGCTGTGCTTTAAATGTATGGTGGCCTTAGGTAGCATTACTCGATGAAAACAAAAACAAAAAACCCACAAGAACATCATTAAAAGCAACTAATGGCTTTAGTCATCAACTTCAGCTCAGCTCTTTTGAGGAAAGTGTTTGGGTACATTCTTTTAATAAAACTTAAGGACCCAAAGAGACATTGCACAATTAGGATGGCTCCACAGTTTGTTAGCCATGTGTTTGATGCCTCGTGTGGAAAGAAAAGGGAGCCTCTTACCCAAGACCTTTCATTAGGAATAATAATTAAAGAAACAAAGTTAACAAACAACAAAACATTTCATTACAAGTCCAGAAACAGCTGTAGTGGTTTGCAAAATAAAAAATAAAGCACATTATGAGCGTCATTGGAATTATTGCCGTATTCTGCAATAAAAAAGGGGGAGAGGGGTTCAGTCAAACTTAAAAGAGAAATGGTATCCCAGTAGCATTTAATTACTGCTAGGGGAAATCTTGATCTGTTACCCTCTTTTTAAAATATATACAAATACATATATTTTCAAATTGGGCATCTCTTATATTCTTTCAAGTAAATACTTAAGAAAGATTTTAGCTGCCAACAACAGGAATTGGAATATTTTGGATTCTACTTGCATGTTTGAGAAAGGCAGATGCAAACACTGAACTGGACTAAAACTAGCACATTTTCTCAAATCTAAATTTCCAGTGAAGCATGAGGAGAAGTAAGGAAACCACAAAAACATGCTAGTCTGCCTGCAACTTAACAACCTCAGATCTGGCTCCCCTGCATTCTTGGTTTGCTCTCAAAACCAACTTTTCAACGAGGTGCTTCTATTAGGCTCTTGCCCCAGTAGTTAGCATCGTTCATCCAATATATACTTACGATAAACATGCCACGGGTCACAATAAACACTGTAAAAAGGTGACCTGTTCTCCAAAAAGGATGATCATCCACAGGGCCCTTCATATCTTGTACAGTACATGACTTGCCCTATTCATAAAAAGTAACTTCAGTGTCAACTTACTTCCTTATAGATCGTATTTTGGGGGCGGGGAATGCAAGCAGTTTTGCAGCACAAAGCTCTGAAGACAGACGACATGTTTGGTACACAGCCACTCATAGAGCTCTAAAAACCATTCACAGCAGTCATGAAGTCTTAGAAATGTATCCCTTGGTAATATTCTGAGCCCTCCAGTTATTTGCCTGCCATTCTTGGCACCACAACAGACGACAAAGTCAACCCTCAATTGTCTGCCTGTTCTGCTTTTACAAAACTACTTTGCCTATTTGGAAAGAACAGTTGCCACATTTCAACAACACATACATGTTAACAGCAAACAGCAACTGCATTATTCTGGTACATGTCTGAAAAGAGAACAATAGGGAAGTTAAGGCCAACTTCTGTGTTGACAGGGTGGGGTGTTCTTAACTGCTAAGAATTGGGGTTTGTTAGGCACTTTCCCCACAGAACCCAACTCTCAAAAAAGATAGACACAAATATGCCTAACACTTCTGACAATACACAAATCTTGGTCACCTCTACTTTGGGCCACAAGAGGTAGCTGACCCCAAAGAATTCTGGGAGCTCTAAGCTTGTTTGTTAAAGGTGTTGAGAGTTGTTAGGAGACCATGATTGCCCTCAAAGGGGATCTACTATGAAACAAATGAAGCTTAAGCTTCAGGGCCCCTCATCATGGAGGAGCCCCAGAAGCAACTTTGGTCCATGTTGCTTCAGTCTGAGTCAAACAACTCAAACTGATTATTTTTTGTTGTTGTATATATTTTAACAATCCCAAAGTTTGAGAGTCAGGAGCACAGATGTTGAAACGGTGTGGTGATCTGTCATGGAATAACTCCATTGAAGAAGATAACAGGGGCTACCTGGACTTTATTGCTGGTTGCGAAGGGGCCCCCATAACAGGTCAAGCTTCAGGGGCCCCAAAATGTAGGCTTGCCACTGATTCTCAGAGTGGATAAACACTTGACCCCACTTTACACAGAGCTCTGGGAGAGGACTGTAGGGGTCTCTTAACTCTCAGCACCCGCAACAAACTGCAGCTCCCAGAATTCTTTGGCAGAAGCCACAGCTGCTTAAAGTGGTATCATGGTATTTTAAACATATGGTGTGAATGTGGCCCCACAAGAGGCAGCATCTATGCTCCCTTCACTCTCCCACAAATATGGTGCCTGTTTTGACATATACATGTACCACTTAAAGCAGAAGAGGCTAACTTGCGGCCCTTCCAGCATTGCTGGACTAGGACTCCCTTCACTCCTGAACCCCTGGGCCTTGCTAGCTGCTGGTGGGAGTTGGAAGCCTGACCTCTGAAGGGCCACAAGCCTCCCACATCTTCAAAACAATAAGATGATCATATGCAAACTCATTTAATTGCTTCAAACTAATTTGATCAACCAATTAATACATATTTTAATTAGGTGACACCTGGGGGGAGGGGAGATTTCTGCGATGCAAAAACAGGGTCCCCTAACTCATGATCTCCAGGATTAGGATGACATCATTATTAAAAACAGTTAACTGACGGCTAGAGAATTATATGCATATCATTAATTACGCTAAATGCTTGGTCCTCCTCTAAAAGGTCCCCTTGCACAAAGTGGGTAACCAACAGCAAAACCTGCAGCTTTAGCAGCACTGATACTGGTACATTGTGTCTTGGACATTGTAAATGCCACCATAAAAAGGCAGGCATTTTATTCCTCTTTATGGTGGGCCAAAACCATAAAGCAAGTCTCATCCAAGAGAAGTAATACATTCTTCCTTTTGGTTTCCCATGGAAGGACTCGATTGTTGCCCCCCCCCCTTTGCCTGCTGGTTTAGCTAAGAAAATACAGATTCTCAACAAAACATTTGCACGGCTCCCCTTCTGGCTTAATATGCCTCTTGGATAGCACAAACTGCTGGGATCACGAGCAGGACAACTGTGCTCATGCCATGCTTGTGGGCTCCCCACGTGGGCATCTGATTGGCCATTGTAAGAAGAGGGGGTGGCTATGTTCGCCCTCCACTGTTGGAGGCAGTATATGCCTCTGAATACCAGTTGCTGGGAATCGCAAGAGGGGCGAGGGCAGCGGTGCTGTTGCACCCAGGTCCCACTTGCAGGCTTCCCATTGGGGCATCTGGCTGGCCACAGTGAGAACACGATGCTGGACTAGGTGGGGCCCCTTTGGCCTGATCCAGCAGCTAGGCTCTTCTTAAGTCTGTTTGCACTATGAAAGCATGGGGAGGGGAGGGATAATATCTGCTTCAATTGGCGTTAACATTCATGACTCTTAATCCAATGAATCAATGCAGGAGACTGTAATTTCGTGAAAGGAAACTTTGCCAACAGTAGTTGCGGTCCAACACCACCTGGAGGGCACAGGAATGGGCTACGGTTGCTGTCAAAGCATTCCTGGTAACCCCTCCAAACGATAAGTTTCTCAGGGTTCATTTTGGAGTGTGAAAGGCACAACGCTGTCTTGAAATGGTTGAGGCCAGCTCAGATACAGGCAGCCCGACAAAAAACATAATTGCCATGCTTGAGGTGGAAGGCCTACAGTGCATCCCACTCAGTAGCCGTGCGGTTAAACGGCCTTTTGAAAAGGACAACCCCAACCCTCAAACACCACCACTTCTTTAAGGTTGCCAGTGTGGTGCCCTCTGAATGATGCTGGACTCAACATCTCTCTCCATTGGCTTTGCTGCCTGGGGCTGATAAGAGCTGGAGTCTAACCAAAGCTGGAAGGCAGCTACCCCTGTTGTAAAACATTTGCTACACTCCTCCTATGCCTCAAAAACGGGCCTCTCAGCTGGACCATAACACTGCTCTAGTGTGACTGAACTACTTCCTGTGTTGTGGGGCTGGAAGGCGGGACTTCAAGTTTAATTCCCAAAGCTTAGCACAGTGAGAGAGGAGAAAACCTTTAAATAAAAATAAGAGGGCTTGCCAGAACAACGGAAGCAAAACATTAACATTGACATGTATACAAGCAGGTCCCTCTTGCCTGCTTGGACCCCTAAGACGTGAAGTCATAAGACCACTGCCAGGGGGGCAGGGGATGAGATGGCAGCAGATGCTCCAAGCTTCGCCAGTTACAAAGCCTCCACACAGGTTGAACTAGAGCCAGGCACACAAAACTGCTACAGGCCACCGCTGCCCACCCAGAGCTTCTGCTGTTTGCAAACTTTTGTTCCAAGTCTTCCAGGTTCGGCATCACATGGAACTGTCATTCCCACCCCTTCCCACTACCAGCCCCAGGAGCAAATGGATGTCACTGGAGCCTATGACACTCTGTGCAGAAAGAGAAAACGGAAGGGATTGGCGTAATAACTGTCGGTGCAGCCAGAAGTTGCCGATCGATCCTGCAGAAGGTATCAAGTGAAGGCCGATCATGGAGAGCAAGCTGGATTTCTCCTGTAGCCACCGAAGCTGGCAGCGTTTCAATTCTGGCCACAGAGATCGCTGTGCCACATCATCGTGGATTCAGAGGCCCCGGAGGGAGCTTTTAGCTTGGGTGCCCAAGAGGTGTCAACTTAAGAGCCGCCCGGAAGGAACGTCGCAAGGGTGACCATATACAAAATGTTTATTGCAAGTCAAATACAAAGCGGAACTACATGGGAATCTTAAAAGGGAAAAAGGGGAGAAAATAAAAAGCAGATCCCAAAAAAAAAATAATTAACAACAATAATAATTAAAAAAAAAAAGAAGAAGTCCATGTTGGGGCAGCCAAGTCTTTTTGCGAGTGGAATTAAGTTGATATCTGTGCAAGTCCACAATTTCAGCGTCACAGTTTTCCTTGCTTTTGCCTGTGTGCGTGTCCATCTGTTTTAAGGAGTGTAAAGCTCGGGGTGGGAGGGGCACAGACATTTTTTGCGCCCCAGGAAAACCCTCCGCCGGCAAGAGAATCAGTTGCGTTGGATTCTTTGTCCTTTCTGGACATGTGGAGGGGCAGTTGTGGGCCTGCTGGTGATTCTTGGCAACTCTCGTTTTCCTTCTGCAAAGGAACTCAGGGTGGAGAAACTTAGGCCGCTAATGAAAGAGAGGACCAAGCCAAGGACAGACCGAAGAGTCCAGCCCACAGCTGCACATGTAAACATTGCCATCCTGTTGGCTTCCCTGTTGGAGGGTCTACTGAGGCCTCTTGAGGTTCCCAGCAGAAGCTTCTCTTCCTGGATTGAATTTGCACCTGGGACTCTTTGCCTCCTGCCTCTGGTCAGCTGCCTGGCTTGGGGGGAAGGGGAGGGAGGGAGGAGAGGAGGGGAGGGGAGGGCCATGCAGGCAGCAGGGGTCTAGGGACTTGTCACTGTCAGGCCCCTGGCTTCGAGGTTTGCTTTCTTGTTGAACGAAGAGTCCGACGTACTCGTGGTTTTCAAAATAATATTGTGCGTTGATTTGGACCGAATGCCTTTCCTCTAGTTTTAAGATTCCTGTGGGACAACCTCCATCAGCTTCTGGCACAGGACTGTCGTGGAATCTGTTTTGAGGTAGGGTTGGGGGTGGGGATGGACAAAAAACAAAAATGATCAAGGTGCATTGTGAAATGCTTGGAAACAGTAAACACTGAAGGGAGTTTTAAGGACACTCTAACAAATTGTTGTTCTGCTTAGAATCAGCAGGAGTGTGTGGCTCTCTCAAATGTGCACCTGTCCCCTGCCTGATGCATAGTCTAGGTGTCGGTGTGCAAACAAAACCACAATAGGTTTGCTTGGATGTAAGTTGCTTTGGGTTGCCTTGGACAAGATAAAGTGACCAGCAACATCATCATTATTATTATCATTATAATCATCAATAATAATATTATTACAGTGGTACCTCGGGTTAAGTACTTAATTCATTCCGGAGGTCCGTACTTAACCTGAAACTGTTCTTAACCACTTTAGCTAATGGGGCCTCCTGCTGCTGCCGCGCCGAGCATGATTTCTTTTCTCATCCTGAAGCAAAGTTCTTAACCTGAAGCACTATTTCTGGGTTAGCGGAGTCTGTAACCTGAAGCGTATGTAACCTGAAGCGTATGTAACCTGAGGTACCACTGTAATAATAAAATGTGAAAGGTGGTTTGAGCATTAGATCATGGTGAATGGTGTGTATGCTCACACCGCTTTTGCTTTTACTTCCAGGGCTTGGAAGTATTTCCCCCCCAGAAAACCTGTAGCACCTGTTCATCCAGAGGGACAAAAGAGAAACATAGCTGCACCCTGAAGAATGTGAAGCCTCTCTCAAAATGTTCCCCATTTAACTTCTGCCTGCTTCCAGCAAAAGGGCTGGACACTTGGCTTGCACCAACACTTTTCTGGCTACAAGGAGATTTTCTTGGGTGGGAGGGTGATAAACAACACAAGGCAGTAAGAGCATTAGCTTTGTATTAAGACACTTGCAAAATATTCCTTCCATCCACCCTGGAATATTCCATATGCCTCCCCCCTCCCTGGCCACCCCGCTATTCTCTGGAAGGAAGGAAGGCCTGCAGTGCAGGACCCAATTAATATGCTGATTTGTCACCCAACAGCTTTAAAAATTGGCTTCTCTAAGAGCAGCGACGGATACTTGGAAGAGGAAGAAAGTGTGTGTGTGTAAAGGGAGAGAGAATCCGAGAGAGGAACCACTGAAAAGCTCTTGCGTTCTCCACCCGAAAGTGCAGCATTAAACCCTTGGCGCTTCTGCTAGTCTGCATTTCTAGGTCAGCCTGTTTGTTGTTGTCGTCTCGAGCCCCCGGAGAGACAGATGGTGGTGTTTAGTTACATGGACACCATCCAGTGAGACTTCTCATGATTCAGCTGTTCAAACAGAACTTTGTTTCTGGGGCTGAAAAAGAAGGAGAGCAGGCCAGGAGCACCAAATGGCCCCCAACACTTGCTCTGTGGAGTGGGCATATACAAGCTGGCTGCCCTCAAGTTATTGTTGCTATATATTTTTATATCCCACCTTTCTCTCAAGTTGGAATTCAAGATGGTTTGCAGCACTTTTAAAACAACTTCATAAAATGCAAAATAGTGAAGATAAACTAGTTAAAAGCAATAGCTAAAAGACAACAAAGCCCATTTAGAACCAGCATGAAATTATCAATTGCCCTGAGAGCAGCCCAGTGGTCAAAATCATTTGCACCTAGTTTTCAACAGCCCGTCTGAATAGGAAGGTCTTAGCCTGATGGGAAAGTTAACAAGGAGAGAGACAGACCAACATGGGAGTCAGAGAAGAGAGAGCTAAGAGGACTGTGACTGGGAGCTGATTAAAGTTGCATTTTAGTTGTGTGAAATAAACCAGATCTTAGGCTTTTCCGTTATAGGAACAGAGAAAGCTGCCCTCTGTCAAGGCAGACCATTGGTCCACCCAGCTCAATATGGGCTCTCTGGGATTTCAGTCAGAAGAGGTTTTCCCTGCTCAACCTGGAGAGACCAGGGACTGAACTGGGGATATCTGGCAGGCAAAGGATGTGGTTGGAAAGTATTCTGCACACCCGTGGCACTACCAAGCAAGCACAGACTCTGGAAATGTGTAAGCATAAGGGAATTTGCTCAGCTGGCATGATGCAACCTACCTGCAGAGTTCAGGCTTCCTGGTTACAAAGACTGGGGTGGAGTTGAGTGTGTGTGGAGGGTTAGGGTTGGAGGATGCAGTGGCGTAGCGTGGGGGGTGCAGGGGGGGCCGGCCGCACCGGGCACAACATCTGGGGGGGCACACTCGCACTCGCAGCTCTCTGCCCCTACCTGGCTCGAGTGCTAAAATCCACGGGTTAGGGGGCGCAAATTACTTGCCTTGCCCCGGGTGCTGACAACCCACGCTACGCCACTGGGAGGATGCAAAGAGGCAATGTAGCAGAAATACTAGTTCCCAGAACGTAGAATTCCAGCTGCCCCCACAAAACCTGATTGGTCCTCCTCAGTCAGGCAGAAAAAAAGTGTGCCTAGGGGTAGTATGTCTGTGCTCTTCTTGGTGCTGCTTGGATAAATGCATGAATCTAACCTTTGGAACATTTTGTAAGTAAAGCATTTTAAACTTGCTTAACAGTGTGTTGTCTGTTCATTGCAAGAGGAATAGAAAGCTGACTGAACAGGATATGCAAAAAGTTTAATGGTTTACATTCCTATTGCTGTTTGACTTTGTGAGTTCAAACTCTGCTACTAGTGACTCTCGCCTGCTGGAGAGTGAGTTTAGTCCCACACTTTGAAACCAGGCATCCAGCTGATTCTTTTGTTATTTATCCCACACACATGGGTTAAAAAATAATATATTTTTCCTCCCATACTTTTAACAATTTATTGAAAGGGGATTAACCCCCCCCCAATCTATTTAATACCATTATGCTGAGATCAACAGTACGGATTACTGTTCTCGCACCCATTCCTAACCCGCACAATGCCGCCATCACCCTGCAAGCCAGGAAAGGGACTCACATATGAGCTGGAGAAGCCACTTTGGTTTGTTTTTCCACCAGACCCCAAAGTAGTAAACGGGGACCCCGCTGAGAATGATGGCAAAGCCAATGCCACACTCCTTTGGGGTCATCCAGAAAGAGACGACAATCAGGAATATGCAGGCCAGGATGAAGAAGACGGGCAAAATGAGGTTCACCTGTACATGGGAAAGGGCCATGGGATGGGACACAAAAGAGCAGCAAAGTCAGACAATTTCTATACTAAATGGGTGGGGAAACCATTGGACTGGATTAACCACTCACTGCTTCAGTTTTGTTTAATTCATTAAAAACCTTTCTAGACCACTTGGAGATCAAGGTGGGACATGTAGTTCTCTCCCCCGCCCCCAACAACCCTGTGAGGTTGGCAGGCTGAGAGGCAGTGACTGGCCCAAGGTCCAATCCAGTGAGCTTCGTGGGCAATTGAGGATCTGAACCCTGGTTTCCCAAATCAAGCACTCTAACTACCACGCCACACTGGCTCCCACACTTCCCCCCACATTTTACAACCCCCAAGAAGTCTTTTTAAAAAATAAAGCTAATTTATTATATGCTAGCGTGACAAGAGAGCTTCTCTCCACTTTAACTGTGTAAACTTAAAATTTCTGGTACGTGCTTAAATCCCTTCCAGTAGATTCGGGCAAAACTGCAGGGACCTTTGAAGCAGGAACACAAGCAAGGGAAGACCAGCCGGTCATCAGCTGAATGTAAAAGCCCTCTTGCAGCTCACTACTTGGTTTTGGCCTTGAAGAAATGGCGCAGCTATGCCCCTTCCCTCCTCCTTCCCCGCTTGCCTCGAGTTCCTTTTTCAGTCTGTAAATCTGAGGCTGAAGCTTCTCTCACTTTTTAATTGATATGAGTCAATTTAGGAAACAATAACTGACTGAAAAGCAGGATGAAATTATAGTAAATCAATAAACAGAGCCCACAAAAAGAGCCCTGCTGGATCAAGCCAATGACCCGTCTAGTCCAGCATCCTGTTCTCACAGCGGCCAACCAGATGCCTGTGGGAAACTCGAACGCGGGACCTGAGCACAACATCAGAAGTCTGCCCAGCTGCGCTTCCCAACACCTGCCTCTGACCGTGGAGGCAGAGCATGGCCATCGCAGCTGGCAGCCATTGACAGCCTTATCCCCCATGAAAACTCCCACACTTCTGCTGCTGCCACCACATCCCTCTCTCACCCTTATAGGCCTCTCCAGCTCTGGCTTCTTGTATCTCAACCACAACATGCCGATGATAGCCAGGGCCACGCAGAGCCAGTTGAAGAAGCTGAAGAAGTTGATGACCGAGAATATGTCGTTGGAGAAGGCGTAGAGCAAAGTCATGATGCACTGCAGATTTGGAAGGGGGGAGCGGGGAGAGGAGAGGAAACAGATCGATAAAATTCAGGAGTGACCCAAATGACAATCATTGCCTTTTAACGCCTGCCCTCCCTTGCAAAAATGAGAATTAATGGAGGACGTGGTAGCGCAGGGGATTTTGCCATTTGAACGGCAGCCACTAGAAAACAAATGTGGCTCTTGCACTTGAGTTTTAAACCTTTGAAATGTGTGTGGTGGAGGTAGGCATAGAACCAGCAGATAGAAGCAGGAAATTCAGAGCGCAAGCTCAAACAAGCAAGGCGGCTAGGCCTTCTCAGTTTTCCCCAAAACTTTAAAAAACAAACAAACCTACGATGCCCCTCTCAGTTCTCCATTAAATGGAAGCCGCTTTCTGGAACAACTTACCAAACCTCAGCCAGGGGTCTGCACTCTGATCTCTCAAGCAAAAGATTTGCTCAACACAGCAGTGGCAAGTTGGTCCCCCTCCAGATGTTGCTAGATTGTAAGTCCATCACACACACCCCTCCGCAACCATGAGGCATACTGGCTGCTAGGGTGGATGGGGCTTGGAGTTCACAGACCCTCCAAGTGTCCCTGTTTCCCAGGGACAGTCCCAGATTTACAAAAGCCGTCCCAGCTTCTGATTTGATCCCAGAATGTCCTGCTTTTCCTTAGGATGTTCCGATTTTCATCGGAGAAATGTTGGAGGGTATGGAGTTATCCGGCCCCCATCTGAAGACAGCCCTGTATTGCGAAGGTTTTTTTTAATATTTAATGTTTTATTATGTTTTTATATGTGTTGGAAGCTGCCCAGAGTGGTTGAGGCAACCCAGTCAGATGGGTGGGGTATTTATTATTATTATTATTATTATTATTATTATTATTATTATTATCAGGGACGCCCCTATTTTCATCAGAGAAATGTTGGAGGGTATGAGCCCAGTGACATCCGCAGAGCTACAGATGTTTCCTATCCATGGCTTAATCCCACACACACCCTTCCTGAGTGGTCAGTGGGAAGCCATCTCTGATGGACCAGAGTGTCACCCTCTCCAAAAATTGCCGCAGTCTTCTGCATTGTCAGGGGAAAGTGAAGTCTATCCAGATATGCCCCCCCCCCCCGGTCAAAACTGAGTGCAATTCAGCAGGGTGATCCAATCCAGTGTCCGTGACTGCTGTCCACACCACGCTCCCCACTGCCAGGCCAAATCCACTGGTGTTGATGACAATGCACTGCTGTTCTCAAGAGAAGCAGCTGGCTTAAGCTGGGTGAGAACAGCTTTGCTGTCCTTGTCACCACAGGCTCTGGCATGAGGATCCTGGCACTCTCTCAGCCTGTGCCGCAGGGAGTTCTTCGAGCAGCAAGAGGCAGCCAGGAATGCGGCAGAGGGCCCCCCCCCCCCGCCAAAGCTGGGACCTGTCTTCTGCTTCCTCTCTCTCTCTCTCTCTCTCAAAGAGAGTGAGGCAGCTGTCCACATTGCCTCCCCTGCCTCCAACACTGCCTCTTCCACTGCTGTGTCCCCCAAAGCTATAAAGAACAGTCCATGAGGAAACGAGAATGCAAGAGCAGCCCTGCTCCATCTGACCAAAGGCTCATCTATCTTAGCACCCGGCTTCTCTATGTGGAAGCTGGCAAGTGGGGGACAAAGCCACCCCTCTCTGACAAACTTCTGCTGCTGCTGCTACTGCTCCCCAGCAGCTGGTATTCTGTGACAAAACCTCCAGCTAAAGAGGCAGTGTGGGGCCATAGCACCTGTCTTGCAACCAGAGGGTTCCGGCTTCAATCCCTGGCATCGTCAGGTAGGATTGGGGAGACTCCTGCCTGAAATCCTGGAGAGACACTGATATCAGATGCCCTTTGGGGAGGGGAGGGTTGCTCTTGTTTTTGTTTTTATTACATATTTTGTGTTTTTATATTGTGATTTTATGCTGTGAACCTCTGAGATCTGCAGGTATAGGGTGGTATACATATTTAAATAATAGTAGCAGTAGCGGTAATAATAACAATAATAATAACAACAACCACCACCACCAAACAGAGCAAGATGGACCAAATCTGAGTTGGTATAAGGAAGCTTCCTATGTTCCTAAAGAAGCAGCATATTGAGCCATAATGACAGATAGCCACTGCTCATGAATTTGCTCAATCCACTTTTAAAAGTTATCTCAAAATTCCTGCCGGAGTGAACAAGCCCCAAACATTTTGGGAAGGTGCTCTAAGCCTCCTGATCGTTTTGGATGAACCTTCCTCCAGCTTCACAATGTCCTGCCCCCAGCCCCAGATGGGGCAAGCAGGAGTGAGTATAGACCACTAGCCCAAAGGTGGTACAAAGTGCCACAGCTTTAAATCAGGGCAGATCTTCCCCTGCTTTGAGGGACCCAAGTGATGCAACTGTAATAAGCTGACTGAGAAGGTGGGCTGGAAGTAAGCAAGGATAGAGGCAGCCTTGGCTAGTTGGATATGTTCAACAGGTGCTGCTTGGGCACTGCAAACGAAAGGCACACCAATTCAAAAGCAAAACGCAGACTGTCTTTTGCGAATGGCATCAGCCATCTGCTGTGACCCAGGGTTCAAAAGGCAATGCCTGCAAGACTAACTCTTCCTAAACCATCTCCACATGACGCGGTTGCTTCTCAGTTCTGGACGGAGGTCACTGCCTGTATAAACTTGGTCCTGAGAACAGATCGAAAATCCACCGACAAAACAGCACTGCTGCTGTTTAGGGAACTCTATTCCAAGGGCAGCGGAACTGGTTTATAAGTCATGGCCCGCAGGTTGCCAAACCTATCATTTTACATCACTGGAAGAGTAAACACCATCACAACAATCCAGCAGCAGACAGAAGAGCTGTCCTCACTCGCCAAACATAGCGATGTATCGTTGGGAACAGAAATTGGATGCTTACCAAGCTGCAAGGAAAGCCGACAGCTAACTCTCTGCCTAATGAATGTAGAAGATATTTTGATTATAATACACGCCCCCTCCAAACTGAAACTTGAATGAGCAGAACTGTTGAAGGTGGACCTGCATCCTCTCCCCCCACCTCCTGACACCACCAGCCATTTTGTTGTAATGGTCGTGCCAACAGAACTATCTTTTTTTTTTAAACTAAAAAATCCACTTAAGAAAGTAAGATGTAGCCATTGATATCCCTCTCCTCTCTGAATTTGTCTAATCCTCTTGTAAAGCCATCTAGGTTGGGGGTCATCACTGCCTATATCGCCTCTGAAATGGAAAGGATCGAGGCTTTCCTGTGGGCATCCTTACTGTGAAGACGAGTGAAGGCACCGGCGTGAGGAGCCTGGGATGGATCATAGACAGAACAGAAGGCAGATGTCCCTCGCGAGCACCAACGAAGAACAGCCTGAGAGAGAGAGGAAAGAACAACACTGCGGTTAATTCACACTGCCTGAAATTACCATATTTTTTGCTCTATAAGACTCACTTTTTCCCTCCTAAAAAGTAAGGGGAAATGTGTGTGCGTCTTATGGAGCGAATGCAGGCGGCGCAGCTATCCCAGAAGCCGGAACAGCAAGAGGGATCACTGCTTTCGCTGCACAGCGATCCCTCTTGCTGTTCTGGCTTCTAGGATTCAGAATATTTTTTTTCTTGTTTTCCTTCTCCAAAAACTAGGTGCGTCTTATGGTCTGGTGCGAAAAATATGGTACTTTAAGAGGGCCATGCAGCTAGAAGGAGCTCCTTGTGGGGAGCCAAATTACTGTGCCTCAGAGGATTCTGTCTGGAGCTGCACCAGTTTCATACAGACAAGGAGGAAGCTAATCCTCCAGGACTCACCAGGATGCCTCTGTCCGCTGCAGAGTGTGAAAGGGAAGGGCCACTCTGAGATATTCTCCAATGGGATTGAGGGGATGTAGGTCAGGGGCAAAACACTCGCCTGGCATGCAGAAGGCTCCCAGTTCAATCCCCAGCATCTCCAGCTACAAATGAGGTGATGGGGAAAGACCCTGCTCTGCCTGAGACCCCAGGAAGCCACTGCCATCCAGAGATCGCAGTGCTGGACACTAGGTGCACAAGTCTGACCTGATACAAGGCACAGCCAATAAACACAGAAGAAGTGTGGAAGGTATTCCACACAAAAAATGGAAAACATGATGCAAGTTGTTCTCCTGAAAGAACCCTGGAGAAGTATTTATGGGATTGCCTGCTTTTCATTCAGTCCCTGCTCCAAGCTCCCATTTCCACCCTCCAGTCACCATAGGAGACTTTCCCACTCCACCAGAAGAGCAAGACACGTACCTGGACGAAGTAAAGAGCGACCCATTGACTGAGCCAAAGCACGACAGGCCAACAAAGACGGGGATGATCCAAGCCATGACGCCCAGGTGATAGTTACCAAAATCCTATGAGCAAACAAGAAGGAGGAAAGAAGAGGAGTGTCAGAGGTTTGCCCAGGAGATGCCAACAGCTGAGCATGTGAAGAAGTGGGAAGGTGACAGTGCCCAGGTGGGCAAAACTGGATTTGCAAGATCATGTGATTCACAGACCGACTTGAACCCAGGAGACCCTCAGCCCTGTGAGGCACACAGGGGGGTTGGTTCTCCTCTTCCTGCCAACTGAAAATTGATCTCTCACGCAGGGTCGTTGCACTGGCAATCGTTAAGAACAAGGAGCAAGTTACCTGTCACATTTCCCCCCTTCCCCTTCCTTCTAGGGGACTCAGGAGAACAGGCGTGGTTCTTCCACAACCAGCCTGTGAGATTGGGAAGGCTGAGAGACAGAGGCTTCCCCTACAGGGGCTTTATGGGCCAGCTCCCATTTGACCCAAGGTCTCCCCAACCCTCTAGCCAGGGCACCATCACGCTGGCTGCATAGATCAGTAGCAGCTGCATGCTCTAAGTGTTTAATATTACAAGCGACAAAACAACAGCTGGCCTCAAAAGAAAAAGGAAAGAAAAGGAGAGGACATTTCACGTCAATACTGACACAGCACTTCCCCCTGTGAGGTGTCACTTTGGAAACTGATCACGAGACCACACAGGCTCTGATTTGCTCTTATAGCCATTGGTGATGGTTTCTCAGACAGATGCGTATCCTCGGCTACCGTTCCACTTATCACTGCTCATCGTCATGTGAGCCACGATGGCATCCTCCAACGCAGAGGGGGGTGGCAGTGGGGAAAGATCAGCGTTGGCTGAATGGCAAAGATGGAACTCCAAGATAGCAAGAGGTCCAGATTGCACACAGGGAAATGTCAAAAAGCCAGAGAAGCGAGCTAGCTAAAAGAGCAGCCATTTCCGGGTGAGTCACTCCATATTTTACCACAGCAACGGCTTCCGACGCCAACATCTGATCCACAGACAGCGTTGTGAAGTAAGCCAGGTTGGTCAAGACGTAAACCAAGGTGACGATGGGCAGGGAGATGATGATGGCCAGAGGCAGGTTTCTGAGGGGAAACATTGAGAGAAGGTTAGAGTGTTTTGCAAGCAGTTCTAAGATCACCTCTGGGGGATGGCCCAGGGCACCAATGCACGTCACAACTGCAGCATTAGCAGAAGGGACATTATTCTTTAGTCATGCACACACGTTGGATCACCAAGTTACAAAGGAGGGAAAAAACTGAATATAGCAGCAGATCCCCACCACATTTAGGATTAAGAGGCCATACGCAAGACAGCAGAAAATCCATCGCCTCCCCTCTCCCCCGGGATCAGAGCAGCTCGCTACAAAAAGCTATTTTCTATTGAAAACAGCCTCCTGCTTATCTTAAGACCCTTAGGAGAGCCCGGCTGGATCAAACCAAAGGCCAATCTAGCTCCACATCCTGTTTCCCACAGCGGTGAATCAGATGCCTGAGGGAAGCCCACTTGTTCTCCCACCCCCAGCCACACCAGAGTAACTGCCCAGTTCAAAATATTCCATTGCTTCCTGCGTTGCTCCTCGCAAATCGGCAGCTACTTTGGAAGAGCCTGCAAGTCAGGCCATATGCTACCTTGAGGCAAACAGTCCACACATCCTTCTTGCTGGCTTAATTAGTTGGCTGACTGGGGCAGAGATTCACAGTTGCATCCATGCCAGCTTGTGGAATTAAACCCCACAAAGCTACCTGGCTGTGGATTAGGAAGATGTCCTAGTTTGGGTAGAAAACACTTTTTAAACTCCAAGTGCATGGCCAGGCTGGGCTATAGAAGGCAAGGGAGGAAATAAGGCAAACAAATCAAAGGAGATAGACCAGCCTATCCCCCAAGATCTGGTGGCCTCCAGATATTTTGGACCTCAGCTCTCATTGGCCCCAGTCAGCCCTGACATCACATAGCTGCACTGGCTAGAGCTGATGGGAGTTGTAGTCCAAAACATCTGGAAAGCACCAGGCTGGGTTAGGCTGAGCTGGCCTACCTGCCTTAGTCCAATCATTAAAAGAACCAAGAAAGTTTTAAAAAACGAAGACCTCCTCAATGCTACATGTAACCAACCAGCAGACCAGAAAGCCAGGAGAGGCCAGTGGACATGCTGTGTTTGACAATCTAATTGCAGCCACAACAAACATACTTTAGAAGTTATAAAGCATCCAGGTCAGATGAACTGAGTGTGTACAAACCTTTGTAGTTTGAGCCAAGCATCGCGGGGAGTTGGGAGAGGGGGCTCAGCCTCCGGGAAAGAACAATAACACAGACCCCACCCTCTGCAGGCGGTTTGTGCCTTCTTAGGGCTGTGAGTGAATCAGAACAGGCATATCTGATTCCAACACACTTTGCTGCAAAATCCTGCTTTGCACACGTGAATTAGAAGATTTCATGGAAGACAAGGCTCTTGGTGGCTTCTACTGCCCCTCACTGCCAGAGGTTGCAGGCCTATGCATACTGGGGGATGTGAGTGGGGAGAGATGCTGCTCTTGCACTCAGGTCCTGCTTGTGGGCTTCCTATTGGGGCACCAAGTTCAATGCTGCAGGCAACAGGATGCTCAGCAAAACTTTTCTTAAAACGAACACCAACACTCCACCAGATTTCTGGCTGAAACAATAGACACGAAGCCCGCTACCTGAATTCTCCCTGAACTGCCCGAATTATAAGGCTTCCATATTCAGTGTCTGGTGAAACAGGGCATAGTATATAACATGGTACGGAATGACTTGTGGGGAAAAGGGAGTTCATAACAGCATTGCCAACTGACAGCGCTCTTCAACAGCTACATGACTGAGAAGCAAAATTCAGCTCCGACCCCAGAAGAGCTTTGCCAGCCAGGCTTCTCTGCATGCCACAAAGCTGTCAAGAGGCACAGGAGCACTGCCGGAAAAGAAAGCTGGTGACTCTTATTATGCAAAAAACAAGTTCTGGAGAAACACTGAAAATCTATAAATACAAGTCAATCACACCTCCCGCCCCAGATGAAGCCTTATTTTAGGATTCTGAAAGCAGGGCCTGCTACAAATCCGCCCTTAGCTTTAAGTTATTTTGAACGTCTGCAAAATTTAGGGTCCCCCTCCCAAGCTGCCTGATCTTCCTATTGCTTGTGTGGCTGCTTTGGCTTCATAAGGATGGGCATCTGGAGCACAGAGATCAATAAATATTGATCTATGAGAGCTGGGTGAGGACACTAAAAAAACATTTCCAGGTTTAAATCATATTTTTAATGGGCTTTCCAATTAAGGAATTAGTTTTAATTGTCTTGCACTGCACTTTTTCTTGGAGCTTGGGAATCTGTGTAAAAGGCACACAAACACACACCCAGCACAGGGTGTCCAAGGCTTAGGACAGCCATAGAAAGTATGGGTTGGGTTTTTTATGAACAAGGGTATATAAATATTTTTTAATAATATATGAATCTGTTAACAGGAGGAGCTTTGCCTAGAGACAGTGATGGAGGAAGCTTTACCTGTTGAGTTTTCAACCTGCCATTCAGCTGTTGGAAGCCTCTTTCCTAGAAAACCAAGAGGCAATCCAACCAACTGACAGCAGTAAAAGCGTTGAAGTGGTGGCAAGTATCTGTACAGCAATATCTGATCACCAGGGAGGCTGTTTCACGGGCCAACACAGCGCACAAAAGCGCAAGGAAGCTGTGCTGCAACCACCACCCACAAACGCCATACTGAACCCGATACTAACGCCCCCTCCCAGCAGCCATTTTGTTGTTCTCTTTGCAAGGCACCTGGTGGGGCAGTTTGTGGCAGGCGAGTTAGGGGACTTTCGGTGAACAAGGATGAGAGGCAAATGCTCAGCTCCTTCCTTCATCAATGAGTTGCCCAGAGGCAAAAGAAGAGGAAAAGAAACAGAACAGAACTAATAGCTCAGTTGCTAGAGCATGAGACTCTTCATCTCAAGGTAGTGGGTTCGAGCCCCACGTTGGGCCAGAAGAGTCCCGCATTGGAGGGGGTTGGAGTAGATGACCCCCACGGTCCCTTGCAACTCTATGATTCTATGAAAAGAAACCCCTTACCTGTAAGGGTTGATCATCTCTTCCGTGACAAAATTCAAGTAATTCCTGCAAAGGACAAAGATTTTAAAAGTAATTCAGCTTGCTGAGTGGGAGAAGAGGCATCATGCCCTTGATTATAGGGTTGTATCCAACTAAATCAAATTAGAGTAGACCCACTGAAATGAATAAGCCCAAGTTAGCCATGTTCATTGACTTCAGTGGGAGAGTAAGTCTACATTTGATAAGAGGTGTAAAGGTTGCAGCTTAGGAAAGATTTCTCTCTCACGCACGCTGGTCTCACTTGCGTGGCACAGGAAGCCACAGGTAATTGTTTTATCACGAATGCACGGTTGGCTCCTCTCCTGACAGGAACAACAAAGCATGGACTTAACAGTGGCACCTGAATTAGCAATCCTGGAGCATTACTCTCTATTCAAACCACAACTGAGGAACCAAGAGCAGAACACAGTCTTCTGATTGTGATTTGTTTGGAGCAAAACTGCAGTCCCCTCTTCAGAAGAGGGGCTGAGCCATGGATTGTGATCTGCTGCTCCTGCTAGAAGAGGAGTTATGAGGGAGCTGTCCACAGTAACCCATTACCTGTGACTTACCGTGTCAGGCAAGCCTGCCATGCATGTGCCAAAAATCCACAAACCTCCCCATTCATTAAGATGTGGATGGGAGGCCCTGGTCTGAGTGCCAATCCCTGCAGAAGGGATATCGAGAACAACAGAAAGCAGGGCCTTTTCAGTAAGTCTGTGTTCCCAGGGAATTCTGGGAATTGTAGCTCTGCAAGGGGAATGGGGTCTCCTAGCAACTCTCAGCACCCATAGCAAACTACACTTCCCAGGATCCTTTGGGGGGGGAGCTGTTGCTGTTAAAGTGGTATAAGAGTGCTTTAAATGTCAAGTGTGGATGTGCGCTTAGGATGTTTGAACACAGAACTCACCAGCCTCCATATGCGAAGAGACCGCTATACAAGGCCAGGACGATGTTCCCAACCTCCAATTTCGTGCCATCAAAGGAGTGTTCAGGGCTCAGGATTCCAGGACCATCTTCACAGGGTAAAAACACAGGGGGAGGGGGACAAAAACCACAAGGTGTTCAAATACAGTATCTCCAATTCAGTGAGCCCTTTTCATGGCTGAAGCTGTAAGAATACATTTCTTCCAGTGGGTGAGCAGCTTTATGCTGGATGCTATAGAAAAAAGGAAAGGGCCTTATACAGAATCACCTATCTCTACACAGGCTGCAGGCAGAGGATTCAGGTAGGAGTTTATCCTAGCCTTACCTGCACATACCAGGGACTGAACCAAGGATATTCTGCTTGACTCTTTCCTTAGTGCTTTGGCTTGCCAGGACAGAGGGGGATGCTTGTGTGTGGAAACCAGCCTACTGTAGAAAGGTGAAGTTCGCCATTGCTGCCCCACCCACTTTATCTCTGGCCTTGCCCACCATCGGCATGTGGCCCTCAGAAGGTTGACAAAGAAGGGAAAGTGGCCCTCAGGCTGAAAAACAATTCCCCAGCCCTGGTCCACATCCAAGGAAGAAGGGGTCCAAACAACAAGAGATTAGCTAGCAAGACGGTTTTGACCTAAAGTGGCCCTTTCGTTTCCTCTTTATGTTCCATACCAAGGAAACAATTCTCTCCCCAATACAAAAAGGAACAAAGTTAGGCCACCGGTTCATCCAGCACAGCACTGCCCACACTGCCTGGCAGAAGCTCTCTGGCATGGAGATGCCTATGACTGAAGCAAAGACATTCTGCATGCAAAGCAGAGGCTCTGCCCAAGAGCTCTGCCCTTCAACGCTGGGATTTGCCAGAAAGGGAACCCGAGGCCTTCTGCATGCAAACTGGATCATGTCCGCAAGGCACCCCAAGCAACTGAACCCAAGTGCTCAAGCGTCCCAGGCCACCCAGAATGCCTGCTACAATCTTAGCCAAGTGGCAACTCTGTCATTTCTCATCTTAAGCTCCTAGGAAGCAACTGGAAAGGCGGCTTCTGGCAGAGTGACGGAGGCTACAGTTCAGCCCCAGAGGCCAGTCCCACAGGGACCTTCAAGGCAAGAGGAGCACAAAGTGTTGTGGTCCCCGTCCCCCCACCTTGGTGAGGACATAAAGGATTCCTCCGGTTCGCAAGGCGCCCAAGAAAACCCTCAAGTGCTCACGTCCCTGTCAGCTGTGGGAAGGGTCCAAGTATTTGGAGTTCCTGTTATTCATCCGTTCTTGAATGGAAACAGCCCAGGAAAAAATATATATAAGGGGAGAGGAGGGGAGGGGGTGGTCTTCAATTGTTGAAGACACTTCCAGCACGTTTGCTGCGTTTATTTTAGTTCTGAAGACGTCTCGGTGGACGTTTCGTTTCATGCCTTTTGATCTGGAGGCCCAACCCAGTCTCCTCCAGGACAGGGAGGCTGAGAACATAGGAGTTCCCGTTTCCTGGCTCCCTTCTGAAGACGGAGCCCCCAGGTGCGCCTGGAGGGGTAGAAAAGGGATCTGGGAAGGTCACTGTTGGCCACCTGACCTCCCTGCTGCCTCACATGTGATTTGTCTTAGGGCGCTAAGAGTCCAGAGAGCCCAGTCACATGGGTGCTGCGGCTGCATTTGGGGTTTAACTCTTCGCCCTTTCTCAAACTCCACATTCCAGCGACTCACAATGAGGTGAGGGGGAAAGGAGGGGAAGGCAAATTTGCAACAAAAGCAGCTTTCTTCCATGAACTACACAGAACAGTTCACTAGGTTTTTTACTTGCTGGGCGGCCTGCTGCCAGCATCACTAGCTAGAACAAGGCGGCAGAGGAGAGGAGGAAAGAGGCACGAGAGCCCAACGGACGGGCAAGGCAAGTGCGTTTCCAAAGAAGGCTTTGTTGAGGGAGATCTCTGGGTCCTGCCCTCTGGAGGCTTTCCACCACTGGCCCTGCTTAACTGCAGAGTTCTCAGGCTTGCTCATCCCCACGTGGCAACATGACTCACAGGTGCGGGAGAAAGACATGCCACCAATGACTCAACCGTGCACCGTGAGTTCAATCCTGTTACATTTAGTCTGGATACGGCTTGATGAATTTTGCACGTAAGAAGCTAAGAGCCTGCTGGACCAGGACCTGCATCCTGTTCTCACAATGGCCAACCACTGTGGGGAACCAGCAAGCAGGATTTGAGCACAAGAGCCCTCTCCCCTCCTGCAGTTTCCAGTAACTGTTATTCGGAAGTATCGCTGCCTCTGGTGTGGAGGCAGGGCAGAGCCACCATGGCAAGTAGCCACCAATAGTCCTCTCCTCCACGGATAGGTCTGATGTTCTTTTAAAGCCACCCAAGTTGGTGCCCAGCACTGCCTCTTGTGGGAGTGAGTTCCACAGCTTGACTATGAGCTGCTTGCATAAGTACTTTCTTTATCTGTCCTGAAAAGGTCCCAGGACCAGCCTCCAATCTCCCCAAGTAGTAGGGCTAGGTTAAAAAAGCTTCTTACTGAAGAACCTGATGCTCTCAAGGTTATAAGCTATGTAGCCGTTTTGGCCCATGGGCACGACACAGGTCTTCTAACTGCAGGCAAACTATTAAATCACTGGAGGAGGATGGCAAGAGACAGGTGGTGCTTACATTGCTATAGAATATGATGCCACCAGGTTGGTGCCACCCCCTCCTAAGCACCTGCTGCAGTTCAAAATGGCCTTCTCCATTTACAGGCATCCTTGCTAGTCTTCCCTTCTTCCCCAGCACACCCTCCAGCCCCCTCTTCTTAATTCAACCGGTTAACCATAAATGCCCTCGCAACACAGCAACAACTGCTGGGACAAGCCAAGGTTCCCCCACCACGGCGCCAAGCTCAGATGCCTCTCCAACCACACTCGGCTCTAAAATTAACCAAATTAAAATTAACGAGCTCCAACAACAGCCTTCCATCCGCAGTTCTTAAGAGAACTGCTGGAAATGGTGGCCTGTCCTTTTTAATTACCACCCAAGGGCTCTTTTGTGGGAGGATGAGGGGAGAAAGAAAGAAAATTTGAGTTGTTTCATGCCTGGAATGCCTAATTTTCATGCCATGGATGCATAGTCCTAACAGGGCTGGATAGCTGGCATAAAGGGGCTATTAACTGCAATTATTTAAGATGAGTACAGGTAGGCCTAAAATGGGGGAAGGAACAGTTGATATAATTGACAAGATAAAAGGCAATGAAGGCAATACCTCAAAGGCCCCCACAATGGTCCAAAGGCACCTTAAGTCTTCTGATCTCCAACACTAAGTGGGTTTGAGATGGAGCCAAGAGTCCCAGGGGTGCTGGTCTTGGGTCCTGGCAGAATGCTAATTATATATGTAGACAAAATGCCCAAAGCTACCCCAACTTTAGAACTTAGTGTTGTCTACACTGACTGGCAGTGGCTTCTCCAAAATTTCTGACAGGAGACAGTCCTGATCCTGCCAGTGAGTGAACCCGGGATCTTCTGCATGTTCTGTCACTGAGCTACGCCCCTTCCTCTTGCGACTTGTGAAATGTCCAGTTGGAGAACTGAAATGAGCTCACAGTCCCAGAGCCCACTCCTTGTTTTAATTTCAGCAGCCCACTTTGGATGAAAAGCATCCTTTGGTTGCCGCTCTTGTTAAACAAGGAGTCAAAAGCAAGGAATCAACTACTTGTGACCAAGTGAAGATGCCTGGGTACCAGGATGGTGCCTGACATTTCCACCATCTGGAGGTGCGTGCCTCGGATCATTGGATCTGGACTGTTTTCACACACTAATACCACCACATCTTGTAGAATTCCATCAGTTATATTTTATCTGCACAATCAGAATTAATTTCCAGAACCAAAATGCTTTTTCTGTGCAGCCTGAGCAGGAGCAGTCACCATCAAGAAAAAGAGGTCAGAATAGGCCAAGATATATGTGGACTATCCCTGGATCAAGTGACTTTTATTCTTTAAGCTCTTAACCTAGCTCAAGGTTGTCATCTGAACTAGCCAGATGTCACAGTCAGCCCATCATTTAAAAAACAAGACTTTAGAGCTGTCTTGCCCCCAAATGGCAACTAGACATTCTGTTTTGGTGACTGTAACCTTGGTTTAAGGAGCCATTTGGCACCTAGCTTATATATCTGAGTTTCTAGCACTGGTCAAAAACTCTTAGTCACGTCTAGTTCAAGTCTACCGATAGACTGAGCTCTACTTTCTGCCCAGCCCCTGCTCTGCATGGAGTGGTAGCGGCTCCCCAGATTTTGAGATCCTGACTGGGGGCTGGAATTCCAAGACCTTCTGAGTGTGAAGCATGTGCTATGAGCTGCAGAGCTTCAAAGAGGGTACCCAACATCTACTTTGCCCTAAAAAAGTAGGGGGAGATTCAGGACCCCAATCCAAGAGTGCCCAAACCGCTAATGTGAATTCAGGGCAAAACAAAAATGAACTTTCCTTCTCTCTCCTTGTTACAAAAGGAAGACTTAATTCTTCTCCGCTGCAGTTTAGGAGTGCAAAGTTTGTTAGCAAACACTCATGAAGTGCTATTATTAAAATGTACTGAGACGAGCACACACACAAATGGGGCCTTGGCTGCCAGATTTCCTCCTCCCCTGCTGGGCTAAAAGCACATTATTAACTCAAGTTGAAGAGCCCCTGGTGTTCGCACAAGGCCAGCGCCTGGGAACGAACACCAGGCATCCTGTACCATCCTGCTCCCCACTTTGTCTGGAAGGCTTCTCACAAACAAGGTGGGGCTCATCCTGCCTGAGCCCAACCTCATCAGCCGCCACCACATCAAACCCCCAAAGCGAGATTCTTCCTCATCTGATAGCTTTTGCCCCAACAGGAGGCCCAAATCAGGGCATTCCCATCTCGACCAGACCCCATTGCATCATTCTGCCTGCTTGCAAAACACAACAGCCTTCGCCTGTCTGCTGCCCTCCAGTTTCTGGGGATGCCAACTTCACAACATGCCCCAGCCGGCATGGCTGTGTAATGCAGGGGCTGATGGGAGCCTGGCCATGCTGGCTGAGGCCAATAGACAATGCTGTGGAAAGCAACTCCTGGGAAAGTAAGAAGAGCCTGCTGGATCAGGCCAATGGCCCGTGTAGTCCAGCACCCTGTCCTCACAGTGGCCAACCAGATGCCTGCAGGAAACTCACAACAGCACTCTCCCCAGTTGTCATTTCCAGCAACTGGTCTTCAGAAGTATTACTGCTTTAACCTCTGGAGGCAGAGCATAGCCATCAGGGTAGTTGCCATTGATAGCTCCTCCATGCAGTTGTCCTCTTTTAAAGTTGTCCATCGCTGTCTTCTGTAGCAGCAAGTTCCATAGTTTCACTATGTGCTGCATGAAGAAATACTTTCTTCTATCTGTCCTGAATCTTCCAACATTCATGTCCACGAGTTCTAGTATTATGTGGGAGGGAGAAAAAACTGTTCTCCACCCACTGTCTCCATGCCATGCATCATTTTATAAACGTCCATCGTATCACTTCTTTCTTGCCTTTTCTCTAAACCAAAAGTCCCAAACGCTGCAGCTTTTCTCATGGCACGTCCTCTTCCTGGCTTTCAAGACAGAACGCCCTGCAGTAGTCTGACTTGCTTCTCCCTAAGCCTATTTCCTCTGGCTTTTGAGCCGCTCAGAAGATTTGGATCAGAGGCCACAAAAGGATGAAGAAGTAAGAAGACGGCCAACTGGGCTTCCAGGCCAACGGAACACAAGCTAATTAAGGGTCTTTGCTTGGCTCACAACACAGCCAGGAACAAAACACCTTCATCTACGGTACAGATTTGCCCAAGGGAAGCTTGCTGGTTTCAGCAAGAGGCCACGAGAGATGGAGCAACTCAGAGCGCAGAGAATAGCAACTTTGCTGCAGACATGGAGAGGGACAGCGCCAGGGAGGGATTAAGACCTTTAGAGGTCCTAGGCACTGAGAAGATTATGCTGCCGCCACATAGACAGTTAAAATAAAAACAATACTGAACCGCAAAGTGTTATTTCTGAAATGGCACAAAACTTACATGCATGCTAAAACGTTTACATGCATGTATGTCCTGTGCAATTCATGGCCGGATCTGATTTCCTCGCATTATTTCAGTCTATGCTCGTAGGATGCCCCCTTGGTTTAGGTGGGGATAAATAATAAAAAGAGAACAGTCAAGAGTTCTGGTAGCACAAGGATGGAAGACTGAAGAAATCCCAACTAAAGAATCATGCAAAAGACTTTACATGGCAGCAAGGCAAAAGTACTAGAGGAGAGGGTGCCCCAAGGGTTAAGCAGAGAGGCCAGGAGGGACTGCATTTGGCCCCCAGTTCCTCACCCCTGGTCTAAGGCCACAAGCTGCCTACATAGCCCTCAACACTGCCAGAGAAGCTTAACAGTAAAACTTAACCAAGTTTTGCACTGTAGGGTGAGGAGCATAATTGCACAGGTAAGTGTGCATGTGCCATATGGCCTGCCTACTTTTTAATCACAGGTTTCAAGCATCCTATCCAAGGTGAAAGAGGGCCCTGCGGGGCCAGGCGTGCCCAGCTGGCAAAGGCGGGTGCCCACGGTGCCTGAAGCCAGGCGGGCACGGCAGAGAGCGCGATGCAACATGTTGCCAGCTCAACTTTGCAAATCAGGAGTGATTTAGGGTTTGGGCATTGCCAACTCCACTTTGCCTTTTGCTCTGGGGCTTTTCATCACAAGCTGAATCTGGGATTTTAGCATCACCTAAAGAGGTGAGCTTGAGCTTCCAAAAGGCTTTCAATGGAAGTTCCTCCCCAAAGCCTCCCGAGTTTGCTTAGCAGTCATGGAATAAGAGGAAAGGACCTCTTCTGGATCAGAAACTGGAAGCAGAGAGTAGGAACAAATGGGACAGTCCCCACAATATGGAGGGATGTAAAGAAGTCCCTCCATTCTATGGGAAGGGCTGCAGCTCAGTGCTAGAGAATCTACCCTCCCAGGTTTAATCCTCGGCATCTCCAGATAAGACTGTGACTGTTCCCTGTCCGAAATCTGGGGAGCTGCTGCCTGTCATTGTAGACAATGTTGGTCTAGATGGACCAATGGTCCGACTCTGTATATGGCAGCTTCCTATGTTCCAGGCTCCTCCCTAAAGACTTGTGCTAGAACTTTAATTAACTGGGATATCCCAAGTGGAACAGAACCCAGGGCAGCTTGCATCTGGTGCTGGATTTAAACAGCACTGACTACAAGCCCACTTGCAAAGGAACACACAGAAGTGCACTGTAAGGTTCCTGACTGATCACCTGATAATACTAATAAGATCACAGGGCAGAATATGGATGCGCAACAGGCTCAAAGGCTTCAATTCTTCTGGCAGCCCAGTCTACAAACCCCATGTCATTCCTGAAATTTCTGCTTTTGAAGATCACCACTGCTTTTCCTTGGGAAGGACACAGAAGCAGGGCTCCGGTGCTTTCTAGTTTGCCCTTGCCATATGCTTTGCTGCAGCATCATATACAGTCATAAATGGAGGTACACAATTTAGAAAAAGCGCCAGGTGAGTGTTCTGCACTCTGGTGCCTGTGCTCAAGTGCCATCCATCCAGGAGGAGAAAAGAAGGCCGTTCTCATCTCTTTCAGGTCTGGTTCTAATAAGAAAATCCGAGACAATCCCCTCTTCCCCAATGTTGGTGCCAAACCAAGGAATTAGTCGGATAAGCCTCGCTGGAAGAGGTGGGGAAGGGGCAATGTCCACCAATAAAGGGAATCTGAGTACAGTAAAGACGCCAGCCTCCCCTGGGAGAAGCATCACCGGCCAAACGAATTGGACAAAGTGCTCTTTCTTTTGGAGGTAAATATTTCTTTCACAAGAGTGAACAAGGTAATGAGGTTCCTTAGACGGTCAAGAGCGGCCCAACTGCACAAGCTTCGGCTAGAAATTATATATATGATCTGCCTCAGAATCTTTTGCAACACTGCAAGAGATCCTTCTTATGGAGTGTAAAGGGCACATTTTATTCCTAGTCCAATTTCCCGCTCCCCAAAATTTGTAAACCACTTAAATCCTCAAATTGTAGTTATTATCATCGGCTTTTATCTCTCCACCTCTCTTTACTGATTTCCTGTGTGTGTCTTTTGAATTTGATTATACTAATATAATTTCTAATGGATGAAGTAATTAAGTATGTAATCACACCTAATGAAATGTGTTGTTTTTCTCCTCGTTTACTTTCAACTTTTCATTATTTAGGCACCCCTCTCAAAAAAAGCAATGCTGAGATCATGCTAAGATGTCTGGACCACATGACAATTACAAAAGTGTTTATCCGGGCTTGAAAAGAAAACTATCAAAGAGGTCAGCATAAAATAGTGTAACACAGCTATCCAAAATACTGATAAAATCAAACTTTAAAAAACAAGGGCCTGTAATGAAATTGTTACCGGGGGCTCCCAACTCCCAGCACCTCCAGCCAGCGATCAAGGATGAAGGGAGTTGGGAGGGCGACATGTGGAAGGCTGCAACTTCCCCATCTGTGTGACAGATGTGTAAAACACCATTTTAAAAAATAAGACATTCAGCCAAAGTCACACACCTAAGCTTCCCATGAAGAGCGACCAAAGCTAAGCGCACTTGCAGTGTCCTTAAATGACCCTGCATCTGTTCAGCAGAAGCTCAGGAGAAGAGCCCCAGAAGACGGGAGAAAAATGGCTTTACTGCAAAGCTGGGTCTGACAGCTGACTTGAAAAAGTATTTAGTTCAAAGACATGCAAAAGCACCCAGAACTTAATTTTTTTTAAAACAATTTAAATACCTACAGTTGTCTCTAAGCAGTATACAAAAAATAAAATATAGAAAAGATAAAAATTCATTGAAACTGTAACACTAGTTAAAATGCCAGTGCTGAATAAAAAGTTTTCAGTAGATGCCAGAAGTTCAACAGGGAGCTGTCCTGTCTGAACTCAACTGGAAGAGAGATCTGCAAAATCAGGCCCATAATACTGAGCACACAGCTTCTGGTGGATATGAGCTGTACGTCTGAGCCACGGAGGACCACTAACAGACCTCAACGATCACGCAGGGATGTTGTAAGGGCTTGGGCTGCCCTTGAAACCTCCTGGACTCAAGCTGTTCAGGGGCCTGCAGCTGAATTCAAGAACAATGAAGCTGGCCCAGCAGCATGCAGGCAGCCAGTGCAAGCTTTTGAGCACCAGAGTTATGTGCTGGCAACAGTGCATCCCCATCAACCGTCTGGCCAAAGCATTTTCCACCAGCTGGAACCTCTGGACCAGGACCAAGGTTAGCCCCGCATAGAGCACATTGAAGTTACCAGTGCATGAATTGCTGTGGCCAGGCCATCCCTGCCCAAGCCAACTTAGTAGAAGAAAAAGTGGGTTTTTATGCATCTTTGCCATTACAAATTTTGATGCTAATGCTTTGTTTAGCGGTTACTCACTGGGCCACTGAAAACAAAAAAGGTGCACATTTTACTGGAAATATCTCTGTTCTCAAAGGCAGATGGGAATAGGTTACTGCCCCAGCCCAATTATCTAGAACTGCACAAGGCCTTTGGGTACCCCTCCCTTCGTAAGTGGTGACCAGAGAAAAGAGTCCTGCTATGGAATGCTCCCCACAGAGCTAAGTGCTGACTTCAGCATCATTTTGTCAGTGGATCAAAACTATTCCATTTACTGGGGTCGGGGCTAGGGAACCTGCAGCCCTCCCATTGTTTTTGGACTCCAGGTCCCATCAGCATTCAGAAGGGAGGATGGAAGTTGTAGCCCAGGATCATGTGGCTCTTCTGGTTGGGGCTGATGGGAATTGTACTCCAAAGCATTTGGAGAGTACCAGGGCTGGCAAAGGCCGCTTTGCAGGCAGGAAAAATGATGCAATGTGGATCCAGAGAAGATGGGAATATAGGGCTTCTGTTGAGGCATAGTGAGAGAAAAGCCATGAGGTGAGGAAGAATCTCATTTTGGGGGTTTGATGTGGTGGCTGAGAAAGCTGGGCTGGGGCAGGACAAACACCTGGAGGGAAGAAGGCTGGCAAAAGTCGGATTAGGATCTGCCTGCATACTTAGTTTTTCTGTTCTCACTACTTGGATATTAATGTATCGCTCCTCTTTGATGCTATATTATTGTATTTGATAGCTTCAAGGTTGTTTTAATGGCTATTTTGTGCGTATAAGACCTGTGAACCACCTCAACAAAGGTTTTTAATATAAAATGCATTAAATGCCCATTAAAAACAAAAAATCAAAACTGTGAATCGCTTCTGGGAACTGTGAAGTGCAGCACATTAAGGGGTGAGATTGTAAACCCAACAACCAGACCAAATGGCTCTTAACCAGACAACACAGTTTTCCCATCATTATCTATGCACAGCATTGCAGGGTACCTTTTTTGGGTTCCATCCTGTGCACAAAGCGAGAGTTCTGTGATGGCAGAGCACAAGAATGCAGAACCTGTCATCATGTGCAGATTTCAGAAGCCTCAGGGTGTTGATCTTGTTAGAAAAAAGGAACCAACTCCCTAGTTCTTATTGATGCACACAGGTAATGGGGGTGTGTGATAGAAACACAAATGTCAACTATTTCAAAATCTACAGTCGGTTTAAAGCTGTGAGTCTGCAGATTTCTTGCTTGCACAACCATGACCTGAGATGCAGAGAAGACCTTTGAGGCAGATTCCTGTGAGTGAGAAAGGAATCTCTGGAGATATTAAAGGAAGGCTATTATTAGCCTAGAGCCCAAAAGGTGATGCCGGCATTCCATGGCCATTAACGACAGCCCACCTTAAAGGAGGAAATAAGTTGAGCAAAGCACCCTACGCAATATGGAAGGGGTGGGAAGAAGAAAGAAGTGTATTTTGCAAGCATCACCACTGAAAAACTGCCCAAAGGTCACAAGGCAATTACAGGGGGAGGCAGTAACAGGAGAAGAGGGAAAGGAAAAATAATATCTTGCAAGTTCCGAAGAGGGCAAAGAGAAGTGGAGAATTCCTTCTGAATCCTTTGTTGTTAAACAAGTGTCCCTTATATTGCTCCAGAATAGAGGGGCTCCCTCCCCCCCCAACAACAACCTTCTGTTTTGTTTTACAGAAGAAGGAATTCCTCCCTCAAAAGTTCCCATCCGCTTCTTATCCTTTTATCAAAAAATACTGGAAAATGCTGAGCAGAGAGATCTCTGCTGACACCAACCAGGTCCGGGTTGGCAAGACATTTCGAGAGTTTGTGTCACGAGGCTCTGCCATTTAGAAGGAAACAAACACAATTAACAAAGTTAGCTTTATTCTTTTAAAATGCTGAGATGTTAAGAAAGGAAGGAAGAAAATCTTTCAACTTAAGAGACAGGCTCTTTTTTTTATCCCTTTGCATCTTCATTGGACAGAACTGCTTCATTAAGCTCCATTTATTTGTTTGCATTTCTAGACCGCTTGTAAGCTGCAAGATGCTTGAAAGAAGCTTGCGAAGTAAAGCACACACAAAAATGGAACAAAAATAAACAAGAGTGTGCAAGACAGAGAGAGCAGCAAAACAAATCTCCATCTGTAAACATATACACACCCCATAACACTTGAAGACCAGGGCTGTAACTAAAACAAAAATCCATTTAGACCTTCCAGTCCCTAACAAAATAAAAACAGAACAGCCATGGTTATGGCTACCAATGCCTACTAAAGCCGGAAGCCAGAAGATCCAGGAGACCCAAAATTCAGGACTTCTTCAGACATAGGTCAGCTATGGCATTTGCTCCCACAAGATGTAGCAATGGCTACCAACTTGGGTGGCTTTAAGAAGACAAATTCATGGGAGGTGAGGCTATCCACTAACCCTGATGGCTGCTGCCCCATCTCCACTGTCAGAGAAAGAGAGCCTCTGAACACTAGTTACTGGAAATCTTAAGCTGCACTCTGGGTCCCACTAGTGGATTCCCCATGGGTAATCTGGTTGGTCACTGTGAGATCAGGATGCTGGATTGCATGGGCCTCTCATCTGATCCAGAAGGGTCTTCCAATGTTCGTTTTTGACAGGAAACATAAACACATGCACCATGGAGGTCATACAAGGGCCCGGGACTCATCTAGGCGTCGGTAGGGAAAAGCCGAAAGGTGGCAAGATGTGAAGCAAGGCCTCTGCTGATGGCTACTGACAAGCTTCTGGGTTTGTACAGAAGAAAGAAAGCCCTTGAGATAACCCCAGGCCCAAACTGTATGCCTGAATTCCTGGAAACCTATGTTACTCCTATGTTACCAACACATAAAGCTGCCTTATATTGAGTCAGACCACCAGTTCAGCTAGCCCAGCATAAATTCTACACTGATTGACAGAAGCGTTCCAGGATTTGGGCAGGAGGAGTTTCCCAGCCCTACCTGAAGACAGACACCAGCACTGAACATGTGCATACAAAGCAAGTGTGGTTAAAATTACAAGCACCTATTTCCTGACTTCTAGCATCCTGTGGCAATCGCTCCTCTATATGTATCTCTTTGGACGGGGGTGGAGGCAACAGCCCCCTGCTTGCTTTCTAGATTTCCCCAGAAGGACAGGAGGGGGCGCAATTTCCTCATGAAGACTACCCTGTACTGACAGCCCACAGACTTCATTCGTCTGCCTGCATCTCTCTTCTGGGAGTCAAATATCCAGCAAGAGGGAGTGGAAGGGGTGTGCGTGTGTGTGCTATTTTGCACCAAGCAAGCCCCGCCGGCTGGCGAAAACACACAGAAGGGAAACACCATCCTGGCATTTGATCTCCTCTCCTAGACAAGCAGCGAAAGCAGAAACAGGCTGCCACAAGCCATGTGACCAGCCTGCCTGGACCCCTGTTGAATGAGGGGTTGGCTCAGGTGCCCACCACGTCCTGCCATGCTAAAAACAACAGCGATACAGGCAGGAAGGGCAGAGGGTACATGCAGTCAAGAGGACAAGATCTGAGCCAGGGAAGGTCAGACAAGGTCAAGGGGAAAACTTGGCACTTCCCAAGCAACTCTCGTTTCATAAAAGGCTGATGTGGGGCAGAGAGCACAGCAAATGAGGGAGGAAGGAAGATAAAGGCTGTCAAGGGTCGCTCATCGTTAGGGATGCGGGAGACATTTGATGCCGTTTGCATTTTAATAAGCTAATACCTAATTTGCACACCTTGAACCAATACATAAATCAGAACGCACCACACTTCGACATTTGTACTCTGAATTTTTTTGCAGTGCAGTCTGGCAACCATAAAATGTGTACAAAAATGTGTGTGCCGGGGGGGGTGTGTGAGTAAAAATGCATGCACTTTGTGAGTGTAACAGACAAGAATGCCTGACATTAGAGGAAATTGCTTCCAAAATCTGTATATTAGTCAGAACTGTATACAAAAATTGTTTCAGATAAATTCACACTAAAAATGCTAACGTTCCTGAGTGGTTTAAGTGGGGCAGGGGCAGGGGGGAGAGATGAAATCCACAAATGAAGGTGACAATACAGGGAACTGAATTTTAAGATTAGAATAATGAGAAACAGAGAGACCAAATGTGCCATGGATGTCTCTGTGCAAATGAAGCTTTCACTTGCATTTCATATCCATGAAGGCTAGGAATAGCTGTAGCTGCTGAATTTCGTCTTTCTGACAGCTTATTCTGAGCATCTGGTAAGATCTCAGAACTACCACATTGCCCAAGTGAAAGATGCGCCGTTACAAGGCATTTTCTGGAACGTTTCTCCTATTTTTGCAGGTACCTGAGAAAATGCAGTTTTGTTTTCCCTGGACCATAACGAGAGTGATCAAGTCTAGTCTCAAATAGAAGAAACAGGGGGGCTGCCTGCAGTGGCAGGCCTTGGGGTCCCAAATTTCAGCAGGGCCGTACATGACGCCAAAATCTGGTGCCCCCACCTCTTGTCTTCTATTCTATATCATAGTTGCTCCATGCCTCTGCTGCTAGAGCCAGAATTTGGGGGAAGTCCTCCCTAACCACCCGCCACCCCTACCCCTGTACCACCTTCTCCTCCACTTCCATCCTGTTTTTTGAAGAAGCAAAACACACATACACACTCACTTTTTCCCAGCTGAACGAAGCCCAGGATGATGATCAAGGCGAGAGCCAAGAGCTTGGCAGCCGCGAAGCCATCTTGGACGCGGGTGGCGGCCTTCACACTGTAGCAGTTGACGGCTGTGAGCAGCACTGGAAAGGAACAGATCAAGGTGGGTTAGTTCACTGTTGGAGTAGGAGCTTCGCAAGCCACCCTCTTTACAAACAGGAAAAGAAATATACCAAACTAAAGATTGAGGGCAAGGCACAGCTGTTTTCTTGCAGAGTTTGGCCCTTTAAGGAATGCCACATTCAGCACAACTCCCCCCCCCCCATCATCTGCTGGAGTTGCACCTGCAAAGCACAGTGTAGGATCCAGGCCAATGAATATTCCCTTACCCACACCAAGGGGAAAAACACACACACATACAAAATAAATGAGACCTGCACTACTCTCGCCAATGCACGGATGAACTTCTGCAGTCAAACTTTTTGGAAGCTTGTGGTTGCTAGGACTCCACTTGGCAGACTGCTTCCTCTGAAACTGTCTCCACTATAAATGCATCCATGCCACCGGCACCCGCACACAAACACACAGGCACACTCCTTCCAATTCTACATTCCTCTAGAGTGCAGCCTGGTGAGAGAGGGTGAGCTTTTCCACCTGAAGGCTTGCTCTTTTTCCCTCTCAAAGGGAAAGCCTAGAGAACTCAGCCTCTTCTCTAGCTGGGGAGCTCTGGAGGAAGACTCTAGGGAAGCAGCAGACATTGCACTGGTTCCGTTTCAGAATATTCTGACTGAGGATGCAAGAAGAGCCTGGCTGCTAGATCAGCATCCCATCTAGCCCTGCATCCTGTTCTCACCAGGTGCCTCCAAGGTGCCCACAAGCAGGATCAGAGCACTCTCCCCACCTTATTTTTGGTTTCATTGTTTTGCACTGAAGTTAAGCTGGTAACTGTTTTAAAAACAACAACGACACACAAGGCAACTGAGAGCCACTTTGGGGCCCCTTCAGGGCTCATCCTGCAGCATATAAACATGAGAAAGAAGATTGAGGACTTTTCTCCAAACTATACCTGCATCTCTCTGCTGCCACCCAGCTCTTCCCTGGCCCATCTCCACCCTAGTCTCCCTCCTATCACACCCTGGCCGCTAATGCAGACTTGAAAACACTCTCTGCAAGGACAGGGCCACGTGGATGGTCTATGAGCAGCACTGCCTAGCACAGTTCCAGGTACAAAAAAACCTAACACTTCCCCACAAGCAGATGTTCACATCCTAAGTCAGAAACAACAGTATCACTCAAAACATATGCTCACAGCTGCAGATTCTGAAACACAGGGGAGGATGCTACCTCCTTCCTAGCTGGGGAGTTTTCCCGTCAAGTAAGGTTAGGAGGAAAACAGCATCTTTTTGACGCAGTAACACATGGTGAGTAGGGGAAACTCGGGCCACACTCAAAATGCTTGCTATCCAGGAAGTCCTAGTTGGGTTTTTCCCCCCTAGTGAATGAATGAATGATTCAATTTCCTTGCAGATGATTCAAAGCTAGGACAAGCAAGAGAGGAGGACAGTTGCATCATTCACACCTAACAGCTCCTTCGCCCATTTCAGTAGGTGCCACCTCCAGCGCCACCGATTGGCCCTGCAGCAAGGAAGAGGCAGCCACCCGAGAAGCCGGAAGCTCCTTTGCATAATCCCCTCTCCACCCCCATATTGTATTTGCCTGCAAAGCTGCTGTTGCCGCCTTCGGCAGGGTGGGGGCACCCAGCATCCCCTTGCAGAGAGTCAGTCACTGCCTTATCTAGAGGACGCTGGCTATCTTTGCATCACGTTTTTATTAAAATGTTTGCACACTATGAGAATGCAAGCGCACAGGAGTGTGAGAAAGAACATTCCCCCTTGAGGCTAGAGCAGTGCGGTTTTAAAACGTACACTGCAATCCCGTCCAGTGGCACCCCTGCCTGAAAGTTTTGGGCAACATCTGCGTAACCTCCTCCCTTCAGAATACTGCCCTGTTTATTTAAAAACCTCCAGGGCTTAAGGCGCACCAAGGTATAGCCCTGGAACCTTTCCCAAGAATTAACGGGGGATGGGTGCTTTAAGCAAGTCAGTCTCTCTCGGCTTAGCCTCAGGGCTCCTATCTGCAAACTGGGCGATGCCAATACTGTCCCTACTTTACAGGGCTGTTGGTGAGGACTGCAAGCAAGGCAACACACGTTACTTTGAAACACTTATTGAGTGATGCGTCAGTGCCAAGAGGACCCTGGAGCATGTGCAGAGTGCATGTTTTCCTCACCCGAGTAAACAAAGATTTGAACCATGTGCTCCCACTTTTAACGTAGCATCCCTCCCAGGCTGGTCAGAACACCTGCACATCTAAGTATAGAAATGAAGCGCAGCCAGACAGAAGCTTCCGAGGCTCATATACGCAGCAACAAGTAAACAGATACATATGTTCAGCAGGAGCTGATCTCAAACTCCCTACAAGACCACAGATGCAGGAAGGCAGATCTGCTGACTCAACATTTGAAGACGGCACTGCAAGATCCAGCAGGGCACCTGACACTTTGAACTCGGACGGGCTAAGCTGGCAATGCAACTTTACCACTGGCACCCTTGCCACTTTGGCACACTTTTAACTGGCTAACTGTGGCATGCGTAAAAACAGCAGAGAGGAAGGATGCCAAGAGGAGGCATCCTCAGCAGCTGCTTAAGCCTCCCCCCTCCCCCATGGGAGCAGCAAGCAGCCCAAAGGTTTTTGCTTTCTTTCTCCAGTCTTCTCCAACCTGCTGCCCTCCAGATGTGTTGGACTCCCAGCAGCCACAGGATCATACACTCATGCTGGCTGGAGCTAGTGGGAAGCATGTTCCCAACAGATATGGTTGGGATGGCTGCACTACTCCATTTGTTTTGCAAGGTGACATTCATAGAAGCACAGAACTGTAGAGTTGGAAGGGCCCCCAAGGGTCATCTAGATCAACCCCCTACAATGCAGGAATCTCAACCAGATCATACATGACAGATGCTTTAAAACCTCCAAGGAAGGAGAGTCCACTACCTCTCGTGGAAGTCTGTTCCACTGTCAAACAGCTCTAACTGTCAGAAAGTCAAGGTTCGATTGGACTTAGGTAAAGGTAAAGGTACCCCTGCCCGTACGGGCCAGTCTTGACAGACTAGGGTTGTGCGCTCATCTCACTCTAGAGGCCGGGAGCCAGCGCTGTCCGCAGACACTTCCGGGTCACGTGGCCAGCGTGACGACGCTGCTCCGGCGAACCGGCACCAGAGCAGCTCACGGAAACGCCGTTTACCTTCCCGCTATAAAGCGGTACCTATTTATCTACTTGCACTTAAGGGTGCTTTCGAACTGCTAGGTGGGCAGGAGCTGGGAACCGAACGACGGGAGCTCACCCCACCGTGGGGATTCGAACCGCCGACCATGCGATCGGCAAGTCCTAGGCGCTGAGGTTTTACCCACAGCGCCACCCGCGTCCCATTCGATTGGACTTATCCCCAGGTAAATGTGCAAAGGAACGCAGCCTTAAAAGGTGCTCTTTGTGTCTCTGCACTTTGATAGATAATAAAACTTTATTTTATAAATAATCCCGGTTCTCTATGCTGTGCATGTTGAAAATAAACTTCTATTATGTCACCTAATACAGTAACTTTTAAAAAGTTTATAGAACCTTACTGGGGCAGCAGGGGAGGTTTTAGTTACAAAACTTTGCTGGTAATAAGCAGCTCCTTGATTCCCTAAATTTTAGAAGTTCCCACCATTAACGGATAAAGCGAGACCAAGTCACTGTACACACAAGTCATTTAAGATGAGAGAGACTCATTATCTTCCACATAGTAACTTATTTGTGTATCTCTCTTTCTAGGCCTGCACAGGACGCAAATTTGTCACTTTCAAGACACATAAGTAGTTTTTTAAAAAGCATCAGACTGCTTGGGAAGAAGAGGAGACAGTGGCACTATCAGAACACACTAGCAGGATTCTGAGTGAAAAATAGGGGTTATCAGCACAGAACAAACCAGTAGCAGAAAACGCCTCAAGGAAAGGAGTGTGTTTGTGTGTAATGTGTCAGTGACTTGACTCCACCTCCCTCCCTCAAATTAGCAAAACAGAAAGCTTCCTACAGTCAGAAGTCCACTCAGAAACAGAGTTTCCCCCCTAAATACACAAATGCATGATGTTGTCTTGCATTGAGTCAAAGAACATTGGTCCAAGCAGTTTGGCATTGCTTACTCTGACTGGCAGCAGCTTCCCAAGGTTTCAGGCAGAGGGAGGTATTCCTCTGCCACACCACCCTCACATAACATGCCAGGGACAGAGCACAGCGTTATAAGAAAACAAGATCACGTGTGTTTGCAAAGCAGGAACTCTGCACGAGCCTCTGTTACAGCCCCTCCAGGAGGAAGGAAGGCGCTCATTTCTTGCTTGCTTTCACGCATGAGAGTAACATGTAAGCCAGAAGCTCACACAGCTCTTAGTTGCAGCAACCTCCCGTTAAAAAATAAATACAGTGGTACCTCGGGTTACAGACGCTTCAGGTTACAAACTCCACTAACCCAGAAATAGTAGCTCGGGTTAAGAACTTTGCTTCAGGATGAGAACAGAAATCGTGCTCCGGCGGAGCGGCAGCAGCAGCGGGAGGCCCCATTAGCTAAAGTAGTACCTCAGGTTAGGGTAAAGTGTGCATATAAATGTATGTATTAGTGGAAATAGCATACATAAATGTGCAGTGTTTGGGGAAACTGCTTTAAATATGTGTCTAGTAGGAAAAATTGTGATACAGTGGTACCTCGGATTACATACGCTTCAGGTTACATATGCTTCAGGTTACAGACTCTGCTAACCCAGAAATAGTACCTTGGGTTAAGAACTTTGCTTCAGGGTGAGAACAGAAATCTTGCTCCGGTGGCACGGCAGCAGCGGGAGGCCCCATTAGCTAAAGTGGTGCTTCAGGTTAAGAACAGTTTCAGGTTATGAACAGACCTCCAGAACGAATTAAGTTCTTAACCCGAGGTACCGCTGTAATTGTTTTGCCATATTCAGCACTGAGCATTTAACGATTGTTGGGCAAGGTAGCCAGCCCAGCATAGTCAAACAATGCAAGCAACATGTTTCCTAAAACCACAAGAGGAACGAGGTGGGTGGGTATTAATTAAAAATTTAAAAAATTAAGGATTTTTTAAAAAAGCAATACAGTAGAATACGTATTTCCTACTGGTTATAGAGTCTTCTGCAATATGGCCGTTTGTAGATGGGACAGTGGAAGAATCTACCTTTGAATGTGGTAGCCTCTCCTTCCTTAACTTTGATTCAACAGAAATTGGTCAAATCTGCTAGCTGTCAAACAACTGCTTCTTACATGTGATCCTCTTTCAGGAGCTTCCCCCACATAGGGACCCACATTATTTCCAAGGCGCCACAAATGAGGAACCAAAACAGTACCAGAGCCGGATGAAAGAAGCGGTGCAGTGCAGGGTTCTGAAACCAGGAACGGAAGCAAGAGAGGAATCTCAAAAGCCAGGAAACAAAGGAGCGGAAAATACAACATATTAGATAGGTGTAAAATCAAATGGAAGAGCAAGTAAGGAGGCCAGTTACAGTGATAGTACACCATAAATTAAGGTGATGCTGCAGAATGGCAGAAAATCAGAAGGCCTCAGCAAACGATTAGCCTACTAAGAGAGTTTGCATCTACCACAACAGACAACAGGAAACTGAACTTGTGCAGTGGGTGCAGCTGCTGTTTTGGGGTTGTTGTTTTTTATGAAGACAGGTTGTCTGGCTTTCCAAGAAATGCAAGAACAGGTTTTGCAGGCAGTGGGTTCTGGAAGCCCACTCACTTATAGGAATTGGTCAGCGGAGGAAACATGCATGGAAAAATGGAAATGAGAAAGCCCAAAGGTTCTCCAGGGAAAAAGTATGCCATGGCTCAGTGGTAGGGCATCTGTTTTGTACCCAGAAGGTCCCAGGATGAAGCCCTAGCATCTCTAAATGGGGCCCGAGAATGTCACAGACCCTGCAGAACAGTTTCCAGAGCCTGAGCTAGGTAGATTAATTGACTTGACTCTGTATGATGCACCTTCCTATGCTGCAATGCTTCTTTTCACATAGAGGCTTGATCACTTTTGCAGGGTCAACATCAGGGGCTTCTCAACTCCCCCACCCCCAAGACCAGCAGAAAATTGCCGAGGGTCTTGGTGGACCAGTTAATAATTTGTCTGCGTGTTACAGTGGTACCTTGGTTTAAGAACAGCTTAGTTTATGAACAACTTGGATTAAGAATGCTGCAAACCCGGAAGTAGGTGTTTTGGTTTGGGAACTTTGCCTTGGAAGCAGAACATGTTCCGCTTCCTGTTGAGTGTGTTCCATTTGTAAATTGAGTCCCCCGCTGCTATGGGAAAGCACGCCTTGGTTTAAGAATGCTTTGGTTTAAGAACGGACTTCCGGAAGGGATTAAGTTCGTAAACCAAGGTACCACTGTATAGTAACTGTAATGTGTTATGCTAAAATGCTGCATGCGTTTTAACTGCATTTTTATACATGCCATCTGAATGAAGCTCACGTGATGGTCCACGGATCCCATGATGAGAATCACTGGTCTACACCGTGTAGCAGGGAAGCCAACACTATGAGATGTCAGTTACTTCTGAAATTCGGTCAGACTTGCCACAGTCTTCACCACCTTTGTAGCATCTTGTGGGTGTTCGCTCAGAGTACTGTTTACATCCCAGATCTGGAGCTGGCTTCTGCTCTTAAATGGCTGCTGAACAGTTCTTACTGCTATGCTTCTTTTAAAATAGGAACACATGTCTCTATTGCAGGGCACAACATCAGAAGAGGTATCGCTTCTCATCTCTCCTGCACGTATGAGTGAATGCTTATTTGAAGCTGGCGCCTGCCATTTGGGGTTTTTAGTAAGTATTTCCATTTCAAAATAAAAATCTGCTGCCTCGTTTAGATCGCAGAGTAACCTTTCAGTTAGTTTAAAGTGTTTACTTTTTATGAGCGATTTGAATTGATTTGTGAACTAAACACTTCAGTTGTGGCATTAGAGAGAAAACTTCCCAATGTTAGTAAGCACACCAGAGATTAAAAGGTTGGACCTTCTATCCCAGCAAGTACAAGTTCCAGGAAGCTGCAAGACCCCACACTCTGCTTTGCTGTACAGTGGTACCTCGGGTTACAAACATTTCAGGTTACAAACACTTTGGGCTACAGACTCCGCTAACCCGGAAGTAGTGCCTCGGGTTAAGAACGTTACCTCAGGATGAGAACAGAAATCACGCGGTGGTGGCATGGCGGCAGCAGGAGGCCCCATTAGCTAAAGTGGTACCTCAGGTTAAGAACGGTTTCAGATTAATAACAGACCTCCAGAACAAATTAAGTTCATAACCAGAGGTACCACTGTACAACTGTCTCAATATATTAACTTTGTTTTCATCCCTTGTGACCCAGTTTATAAAGGAATATGCAGCTGTCCCATATGGAGATTGAACCTGCAACCTTGGCATTATCGGCACCATGCTCTAACCATTTGAGCTATCAATGAAGGTGCCTGAATCTCATTAGCCAGCTTGTCTTGCAAAGCAAAAACAACTGCATTCCACTTTGCTAGCCTCACCTTTTGTTAATATGCATGGTAACTTTGCCAAAAGAAGAGGCTTCTTCATCCCAGACCCAGCGTTATTCATTATCTATCATTTAGAATAGATAGCAATGGATACGTCTTACACTGTAAACATACCCAGGAAACAACTGGAGCAAAAGCATTCTCCACAGGCACCAGTGTTAGCGTCAGGTGATCTTGGAAACAGCAAATCTTCTCACAGCCACACAGTGAATGAGAGGAGCCTGTATCCCTATGACCTGAAGCTCCACTTCCGAAAGGACAAAAAAAACCCACCCCACCAGGATGAGTAGTTATGGAGCATGCCCTTCCAGGGGCTAGGGAGCCTGATGTCAGCAAAAGCAAGTGGTGGATAAATTGTGTGGTATGTTTTATAATTTTGTATGTTAAAAACCAATAAAAATATTTTTTAAAAAGCAAGTGGTGCTTTTGCAAACACAGTGCAGCTGTAATTGAGCGAGTGTACTGTAATTGAGCGAGGGTACTGAACAATTTCTGCAAGCCAGAAAACCAAAGGCAGGTCTGAGATGACCACACTTCATAGCTTGGACTAATTGCAACAGACAAATCTGGTTAAGTTTGGTGGCCAAAGGGATTAAGAAGCTTGAGCCAGACGCCTGAAGTTGAAAAAGCAAGGAGAGTTGAAAGCAGGTTATGCATTTCCACAAGATGCAGGCGGGAAGAAAAATGTGCTGCTACCAAGAGGCGCTCAGCGAAACAGTGAACTAGACCCCTCTTGGGGCATGGAGTGAGACTGTCTGACTTGCAGCTCAAGGAGAAAGGTCTATCCTGCATCCCTACGCTCCACACATTACTGGGCTGCAGAGGGCGGCACAACAGGGGTTCCCCAGATGACTGTAGCTTGGTTGATGCAGGGAGAGATGGTCCTTCAGGTAGCATAGTAACAAGCCAATAAGATTGTGGCCAGGTAAGCTCTTCTAGGAGAGGAGGCAAGAGGCCAAGGCAGCATCACACAAAGAAAGATAAATGCAAGACAAACAGGAGTCAGGCACCTACAGCATCAAAAAGCAATCTTAGAGTGGAGGTCAGCAACTGGCAGCCCTCAAAGCAAAACTGTTCTTGGACTGGAACCATTTGGCCCCCAAACCTCTAACCACTTTTTTCTGGCCTGCTTAACCAGATTTCTTGAAAGGGTAGGAGGAATCCACTTCTCACATGTTCCTCTCTTCCTCCCCACTTGTGTGGCAAGAGGGTGGCAGGGAGACAAAAAGGTGGTAGGAACTATGGCTACTAGCAGGCCACTTTGGGAAGTCCTGACCAAACACACATAAATAACCTAGTTAAAAACCAGGACCCTGGGAGGTTACTGGCTTGCAGTGAGAAAGCTCACATCGCCCAAGGCATCAGTAGCAAATGGGCACTGCTGCAGGTGGTTATGTTGATGCAAAACCTTTCAGGATCTGGAGGGCAGCTCTCAGTCAGGGGACGCCTAGTCCGGCCAAGCAGCTAAAGGATCGATGCTCAGAGTCAAACGAGCCCCTAATATGGTCAAAGCAGCACCATTGCTCCCTGGAAACGCACAAATATTTATGATCCTCGGTGTAGCAGAGCAAGCACTGAGCCATCACACAAGCACTGAATTGTGCAAACCGGGGAGATTACGGGTGCAACTTGGATCCTGCCTCTGCAGAGAGGCATGAAAAGCACATTAAGAGAGTCAGGTTGAAAAAGCACAAGAAAGGGAACTGTTTGAGAAGTTGCTCCCAAGTACAAACTTTGAATGCAGGTAGGCAGTGCTGGGGAGCGGGAAAGGAGTGAAAAACAGAAAGAGCTCAGCTTACACTACATTTATTGGGGAGCCCAGGGCTTTCAAGAAACCAACGAACACAGAAGCACATAAGTTCTTTTGCAATAAAACTAAATGGTCTCATCCCACCTTTCCTCCAAAGAGCTCATTTTATCCTCACAGCAACCCTGCAAAGTAGGCTAGGAGCTGAGGGAGACATACTCAAGGCCATCCAGAGAGCTTCATGGGTGAATGGAGATTTGAACTCAACTCTCCCCTGCAGAATCAACAGTTTTGAGAGCACTGAAGAACTTTAATAAATAAATAACTCAAATCCAAACTCCATCCACTACACTGGACTGGTCAGATGTGCTCTGGTGTTCAAGTTACAAGTTACTTCAGTCCATTCTCACTTCTGCACAGATATGATAAAGGCAATTAAACTCAAAATAATAACACTTAATTGTCTGGTTCCCCCCCCAAATGCAATTAAAACTATTTAGTTTAATTAATTCAATGAAATTGATGAACATGATGCACTGGTACAAGCTTTTCGGCGTCTGATAGTCATTTGCACTTCCAGTGTCCCCTGCCTTAGGACTCCCCCCAGGTAATCCCACTGCCCCCCAGGGAGCAGTTCCTAGCCACTGGTCTAGACCCCCTTTTTAAAGCCATCCAAGTTGGTGGCCACAGCTACATCTCGGGGGAGCGAGTTGCATGACTTAACTATGGCACTGTGTCAAGAAGCTCCTCTTAACTTTGATTTAGAACCCTGAAGTCATTTCTGTTTTGCTCCTTGCAAAGGGAAGATCCAAGCAAGCGGACTTGTGACGGATGTATTTACCAGCAGCGCCGAGAGCTCTGGAAGAACATCCTGGATTTCAAAAGTATAAACAGTGCAATCTTTAGCGTTTGCCATTTATCACCGTCTGCTCATCCAATTGGAGCGAGGAAAAGATATACTGCAATTATAGAGCAGCCAATTCTAAGCAGCTGGAGCAAACATTTCTCAAGTGAGCCAAACCCTCTGGATCAAAACTGCTTTGATCAAGTGCTTTGAACCCTTTGCCCTAGATCTGCTCCCACCCTGGGCAAAAAGCTGGCTTTCTTGTAGGCAAGGAAGCAGATTTCGAAGGTGCGTTCACACGAAACCATCCGGAGCACAGAACAAAATATTTCTGAAGCCCAGTTTTGCAAAATTCTCCTCTCCCTCCCGATGACATGTCAGAGCTGGGTCAGCAACTGGCAGCCCCTGGGCACAATCCTGCCCAAGTAAAAGCCACCAGCTAGCCTCCCTAAAAACATAAAACACTCTCATTCCTGTGTAGCCAGCGGCGAGCCAATTCTCCCACCCAGGCAGCTGTCTGCCATCTTTATTATTGTTCAGCCAAGCCACCAAGTGGCCAGGCGGGGGGGGGGGGAGGTGAAGTAAGCCTTGAACTGGAAAGAGAGGAGGGGGGGAAACCGGAGAAGTCACGTGCCTAGTTGCTGGGCAACCACACAATTGTCTCCCATTGATTCCCGTTAGAATCCAGCAGCAACGTGGGACCACGAGGGGTTGCCTGGCAACAGCACGTGACACCCCTCCTCCCCTACATGCGCCTCTCCCCCCACTCCACCCCACCCCGTCTCCATTTTCGCTTTAAGGCTTGCTGAGCTCAGCCGTGCCTGCCGCCAAAGTACCTGGCGCTAAAATGGCAGAAGTCAAGAGAGAGCCTCCGCCATCATGTCACATGGTCCAGTGCGAGGCTGGCCCCTGCTTCCAACATGGCAGGCAGCACATGCAAAATCCCCAATGGAGGCAGACTTGGGAATGAGGCATAAGCTGATCACTCCCACAAAGCTCTGTGCAGGAACAGAGTTTAGAAATGCCTGGCGAGAGATAGGGAAATTGCTTGACCCCAGCTACAAAAGCTGGGGCGAGAGATAGGGAAATTGCTTGACCCCAGCTACAAAAGCTGGGGCGAGAGATAGGGAAATTGCTTGACCCCAGCTACAAAAGCTGGGGCTGCTGAAGAGGCCAGAGACCATCTTGACTGTGAGTCCTGGAAGACCTGCTCCCTCTCCTGTAGGCCTTTTCCCACATGGCCTGGGAGGGTGGGGCCAGGACTGACTCCAGCTACAAAAGCTGAGCCTGCTGAACAGACTCTTGGGCTAGAGGTTGTTGCTGTTGGTTTTTTACATCTTTGTTTTAGATCTTGTGATTTATGTGGAGATGGTTTGGTTGTGTATTTTTAATGTTTTATTTACCTTTTATGACTTCTTTTGTTAGGCTGTGGTTATGCATTTTTGCCATGCTGTAAGCTGCCTTAAGAATATTTTGAACAACGGAAAGGCGGCTCGCTGGGTGTCTTAGGACCAGTCACTGCCTCTCAGCCTAACCTATTTTGCAGGATTGTTGTGAGGATTAAATGAGGAGGATTAAAAGATGGTATATGAATGCAATAAATAAATAAATGCAAACGGGCATGTTTGGCTGCCACTTGTCAGAGTCAGTAGTCCCTGAACACCAGTCGCTGCAGTTGCAATTTCTCCTGCAATGGAAAAGGTCATTGTTTGCCTGTTTGGATGATCATGGCAGAAGGTGGTGATCCAAAGCACACTTACATGGGGGAGAGTTACCCTCCCAAGTAACACTATCAGATCAAGGTGTTAGCACTGGCTCCAGGCCAGCACCTCCCCTCCTTCTAAAGCTCTTGGCAGGCCAGAGAGTGTGGCTGGAATCTCTGCCTTTCAAATTTTCAGTCTAGGAACAGGTAATGGTAGGGTTGAAATAATCCCTCTGAGCCACATCAGAGATTCCACAGTTAATTCAAGCATGTATATGGATGGGGAACAGGGAGGGAAGGAGGAGCACATCAAAAGGCACCAATTAGCAGGGATCTAGTAATCTCCCAAAGCAAAAGGCAACATATAGAAGGATTTAACCAAAAGCTTCGGAAGAAAAAAGCCAGGCAGCATCTCACTCCAAGTACCCTAAATTCAGACCCTGCGAAGTAAGAAAACAATTTTTACTTGACACGCATTAAAAGCTTCTGTACCAGGAAGAGGTTAAGTCAGGATAGCAACTAGATTCTAAATTGTGAACCTATTTGTTGTTGCTATGCGAGATAATCCAGGCAGGTGTCAAACAAAAAACCTTGCACCCAAATACTGCACAACCTGATGCCGAGTTTGCTGCTTCCAGACAATCCAGGTATTTTCAGCTGTGCTCAACCTGAGAAGAGGCTCATCTGCATGCACTACTGACCTCCTGTGAAAGTGCCCCCAAGTTACCATTTTCTTTTCTCCCCCAAGTTACCACTGGGCCTCAAGGTGACAAGGGGAGCCAGGAACATTGAGAAGACAGGGACCAGACCTAGATGGCAGAGCACCTGCTGTGCATGCAGAAGGCCTTGGGCCAATCCCTGGCATCTCCAATTAAATGAATCAGATATCATCAGGTGACAAGTAAGGCACAACCCTGGAGAGCTTACTTGTCAGATCAATCAATATTGGGCTAGATGGACAAATAGCCTGGACTGGAATAAGGCAGCTTCCAATGTACCTCTCTCCCATACGCACACACTCCATGGTTGTAGACAACATCATTAAGCAAAGATGGAAAGCTGATGATGCTCTTGCATTTTATTTTGAAAACATTCCTGTAAACAAGGAAGGGAATGCAAGGTAAGTATGATGAGGCAGGTGGAATCTGCCTTGCCTTAGGGGTGTGAAAAGTAAGAAGATATATTTATAGTTAAGAATTTTGGCTGGGCTGCACCAAGCAAGGCCAAGCTACCCCACCTATCGGGAAGAGTGCCACAATCAAAACGAGCATCAAGCAAAGGGGAGGTTTGCTCTTGGCGAAACCAATTTTCAAATTCCAAAGCACTCTTCCCCTTGGTTGCTCCAGACCAAGTGCCCCGGGGCGAGGGGGGGGAGAGAGAGAGACTCTACCCCAGTGGAGCAAGTGCAATTTGAAACTAGAAGCCCCATGAATGTTTAATGCTTATTTAGTGCCAGCCAAGGCAAAGCGGGTGCCATACAGGGCCCATCGTCATCTGATGAAATTCTACTTGCGACATCACACCTTACAGAATATCACAGGGCTGTGACCCCAAAACTGTCGTATTTTTCACTGCTGCCCCTGTACTTTGGAATGTGAAGCCGTAACCGTCAGTCGACGTCTTGTAAAGACAGATCTTGTTGCCCAGACTTTCCCTAGGCCATAATTAAAGACTCTGCTTTAATTTGACTCATCTTTATATGCTTTTATACTACTGTTTTACTGGTTCTATGTAGTATTTTTCTTTTCAGTGATACGGTTATTGCTTTGTACGGTGCTTAGATATTTTATAAATGCTTTGGAATTAAAATAAGTGACAGGTATAGCCTTCACAGCCAGACACAGGCCATGAAGTATGCGAGGCCAAATGAACTGGGGAGAGGAGGAGAGGTTGCAAAATGACAGATGGCGGGAGCCAAGGGAATTAAAGAGGGAGTGGCAATGTACATGCAAGGGGAGACTTTAAAGCACTGCTGACTCCTGCACAGAACACAATTTGCCCTGAGCTATCTATGCACAAGGTTAAGCCGGGAGGAGTGTAAACAGTAACAGCCTGCATCCCTTGGATCCTACTGAAAATCCTCCATGGACAGAAAGGGAGAAACAAGAGTAAACACAGTGAGGCACACTCTGGGCTCTGCCATCAGCCAGGTAATCTAGAGAGCCACTGGGAGGCTGCACTTTCTGCTTCCCAGGAAGAACATCAGGGCAAGAGGGAGACCAATTGGGCCCCATCCCTTGCCCAGTGAAGGAGCAGCTGGTCCAGTGCTTGCTTTCCTCTGCCCTACCCATTAATTTTTCCTTTTGTATCATGTCTGCTAGGCATGTGTGCCTGCACAATCTTTCAATATATGCGCATAGCAACATAAGGGGCCTTATATCAAGTCACACAATTGGCCCGTCTAGCTCAGGACTGTCTTTATATATTGACTGGCATTGGCTCTCCCTTGAAGTGTCAGGGATTGAACACTTTGGATGCAAAGCATGAACTCTGCTTCTGATCCACCAGTTTTAAAAATTTAGCTGCTTAATAAGCTTATTATGCAATACTTCTAAAAACAATAAATTAACAAAACAGCAGCAGAACTAAGAGCAGTTCTTCACCAATAGGGAAAAGACACATTTGCTAGGAAATGGAAATACAGTAGGCATGGGGAACCTGGATCCTAGATATTGTTTGACACCAACTCCCATCAGCCCCAACCACACACAGACAGTCAGGGATGATGGGAGTTGGAGTCTCCTAATAACTGGGAGGGCCACAGGTTCTTCATACTTCAGGTAAAGGATCCATTCAGAAAACAGCTACCCTAATCCCCAAATCACGTCAGGTAAGAGTTTTAACTCAAAACAGTTGCAACAAAATGCATCTGAAGCACATTTACACCATAGTCTCTCACAAAGCTGCTACTACAGCTCCCAGGATTCTCTAGAGGGAAAATGTGCTTTGAATGTACAGTGTTTAAATGACCCTTTAGATAAATAGCATTACCTACTTGCTTGTGGAGGAGGCACCTACACCTTGTCCATGAAGGACAAGGGTATTGGCAGCTCCTAGCCACCACGAGCCACTGTGATAACAGGATGCCCGACTAGACAGACCCTTGGTCCTAATTCAGCATGGTGATTCTTATCAGAACCAGATACTGGGCAAGTGGAGAAATAGCAAAAAGAGTAAACAGAAAACTTCATAAACACACAAGTTACCCAAAGACTGATAAGATAAGAGCTAAATTTCTGGATCAGAAATACACACACACACACACACACACACACACAACACAATTGTTAAAATATTGATTTTTTTTCATGGCAAGGAGATCTCTTCTCTGGTGCCAAGTGGAACTGGGACCACATACATACAAGATGAAAGTGGAACCAGCTTTCAATAATTGTGGCTCTTCAGAAACACTACCTGCCAGGTAAAAAAAGGTACGGTATATTTTCCAGTGTTTTTGACAGGAACCAGAGGGGAGGGAGCACTAAGAGTCAAGGAAACATTATTTCCCTGAGAACAGTCCTCTAAAGCAGAGAGTGGGGATCTTGCTGTCCCCCCCCCCATGCTGTCTCTGCATGCCAGTCCCTATCATCTCTGACCACTGGACATGCTGGCTGCTGCTATGGCAAATGGGACTTGGGAGTCCAACAACACCTGGCAGGCCACAGCAGGATCTCCTGCCCCCTCCTCCAAAAGAAAAATGCCCCTCCATACCCCCTCTAAAAAGCAGACCACTTCATCTTGTTTTCCATAAAACCCTGAACTGCACAAAATGCAGCTTTCACACAGTGCCTAATTCATTCTACTGAGTCTCCGCCCCGCGCCCCCCCCTTTGTTATTCCAGCTCTCCCTGAGTCACAGGGCCGGCTCTACAAGTCAAACCTCACCTGAAAGCGGCAACATGTGCTGAGGCTCCGACACACACACACACACACACACACACACACTCCCGATTTCCAAGCACCCTCCATTGCTACCGACGTCTTCCGATTACTGGTCTCCTTTAAGGAATTATTGTTATTTAGTATACAGGGTTGCATCTATCCGAGTTCTATTCAGGTTAAATTAATGAACCAAAATTAGGCATATCCATTAACCTCAGTGGGTCTACTCCAAGTAGGACATCAGGGTAAGCCACTTTGCTTATAAAACTTTGGCGTTTCGCACCATGTTCTCTGTTTAACAAATTAAACGAATGCCTTAAGATTTAGCAGCTCTCTCGCTTCGCCACCACAGCACCCAACCGAAGAGACCCACTCGTCTCCCTTAGTCCCAGGAGGCCATTTTTTTTTAATAACCTCGTCTTAGGAGGCCAGTCCTCCTCAGCGCCCCAACCGCGAGGGACCCCCCTGGACCGGCAGCAACTGCGCCCCGAGAAGCCCCTTCTCCCCCCCCCCGCACCCTGAGTTAGGCACCTGGGCGGTGTCAGAAATGGCACCGGCCACGTGCTCAACGCAGCCCCTTCTCTAGCTCCCGCCCCGCTTTCCGAAAGCGAGGCTCCCTCCGCGCTTCGCCCGGCGTGCCCCTGAGCGCGTACAGAGTGCCTCGGAGGACGGCGCGCGCCGGGCCCGGATACTCACGGACGCAGAGGCAGGCGACGAGCTTGGCGGCGCCGATGGGGACGGGGCAGGCGGGGAAGATGGGCTTGAGGAGGTAGGTGGCGAAGACGAAGGCGACGATGTACTGCGAGGAGGGCCGGATGATGAGCAGCTCGATCCAGAGCTTGAGGAAGGCCGGCAGCGAGCCGTAGACCTCCAGCATGTAGGCGTAGTCGCCGCCCGACTTGGAGATGGTGGTGCCCAGCTCGGCGTAGCAGAGGGCGCCCACGATGGAGAAGACGCCGCAGGCCGCCCACACCACCAGCGACAGCCCCGGCGAGCCGGCCTCCTTCACCACCCCCGTGGGCGTCACGAAGATGCCCGAGCCGATGATGGTGCCCACGATGATGGCCACGCCGTTCAGCAGCGTGATGTTGCGCTTCAGGGCCACGCCGGGCGAAGACGGGTCCTCGCCCTCGGCGCCCGGAGACGGCAGCGGCGCGCAGCCGTTCTCGTGAGCCTCCGGCCCCGCGTCGCCGCCGCCGCCCGCCGCCCCGGACAGCATCTGCTTCTTCTCCTCCTCCTCCGGCGGCGGCCCCGACGAGGCGGCCGAGCCGCGCTTCTTCACCACGCCGCCGGCGCCGGACATGGCGAGGCCGGCTTGGCTGCTGCTGCTGAGGCTGCTGCTGCTGTTGTGGGCACTGCCGCCCGCGGAGAGCCGAGATGGCCGCTCCCCCGAGCCCGTTTGCGCCACCCGAAGCTCCTCGCTGGCTGGCTTGTCAGCCCCGGCACGAGCAAGGCGCGCGACACACCGGCTCCCTCCGCCGCCTTTGGCACCCTGAACGACGGCGCCCTCTTCGCGGGCCCTTTTTATGGTGCCGGCACCTCCTGCTGGAGGGTGGGGAGAATGAATGGGAGGCCGGCCCGGCCCCTCCCCAACACGTGCTGGCCGCGCCAGAAAGAGGGGAGACTCGAGATCACCCCCGTTTGGCCGGGAGGAGGAAGGGCGCCCCAGAGAAGCAGCAGCAGCGGGGCCGCGCGGGAAGGGACTCCGTGCATCCTGGCACCGGCCGCTTCAAGCCGGTTCTTGATCGCCCCGCAAAGCCATTGCAAGGAAGGAAGAAGTGGTGGCGGCGGCGGGGCTCCTTTGATCGAATGCAAAGGAGCGCACCGCTCGGGGAAAGCGAGATCCGCACACGGGCCAAGCCGAAGGCAAGAGAGCGCCTTCTCGTGCCCTTTTAGAGTCCCAAGGGTGGCTTTACGCATGCACTGGGCGGGGACTGTTTACGCTGCCTGGTGCTCTCCTTGCCTTTGCAAGGTTGCTTCCAAGCGCCTTAAAGCCTCGGAGGAACAGAAAGCACCAGTGCAGCGCGCCAGCAGAAAGCAGCTTCCCAGCTGGCTGCCGCTTCTTACTGACACGTGGTCTTATATACAGACGTTTCTTGCGGAGACATGGTTAACACGTTTTGTATGCGACTCCCCGCCCCCCGTGGAAACTATGCAGACAGGGAAAGTGTAGCTAATGTAGATGTGCAAAGCCATTCTGACTGACCCAAAACGTAGAGAGCATCCCGAGACATGCTTGAATAGCGTCATCGCTCCGATGCCATTATCTTTTTCTTTTTTGGCAGAGTTAAGTCCTGGTCAGTTTCCTTTTTCCAAAGGTCATCTATGGGCAGGTCTCAGCAGCCTTTGGGTTTTGAATTTTTGCTTGTGAGAGAAGGGCTCGCCTCACCTTTTAAAATTTGTACAGAACTGAGTGAGTGAAGAATAGCAGCAGTGGCTGGTGCCTATTGGGACTGGCAGGATAGAAGGCAGAGATGGCATCAATTGGCAAAGCCAGGCCCTGTGCGAGGCAAAGCAAGAGCCAATGAGGGACAGAGCCAATTCTAGTTTTAAACCTATTTTAAGTTTATTCCACTGTGAAATAGTTCTTTCTGGCAGAAAGTTCTTCCTGGTGTTTAGTCAAAATCTCATTTCTTGTAAATTAAACAAAAACCATTGGTTCAGGTCCTAGTTTCCAGAACAGGAGAAAACAAGTTTTCTGCATCTTCTTATGACAGCTCTGTAGATATCTGGAAATATCTATCCTATATCCTCTCACTCTTTTCCAAGCTAAACATACCCAACTGCTTCAACTGTTCCTCATAAGGCTTGGTTTTCACACCCTTTATCATCTTGGTCACCTTCCCCTACACACGTTCCAACTTATCAATATGCATCTTAAACTATTGTGTCCAGAATTGAACACAGTACTCCAGGTGTGGTCTGGTCAACACAGTGGGACTATGACTTCCCTTGATGGGGACACTAGACTTCTGTTGATGCAGCCTAGAATAGCATTAGCTTCTTTTGCTGCTGCTGCATCACATTGTTGACCCATGTTAAGCTTGTGGTCTATTAAGATTCCATAGATCCTTTTCACCTGGCAAGCCAGGTATCCCCCATCTTATATTTGTGCATCTGATTCTTCCTGCCTAAGTGTAGAACCTTACATTTGTCCCTACTGAAATTCATTTTGTTAGTTTGGATCCAGCTGGGTCCAATCCATTAAGATCATCTTGAATCCCGATGCTGTCTTCTGTGCCATTGGCTATCCCTCCCAGTTTGGTGCCATCTCCAGATTTGATGAGCATCCCTGCAATACCTCCACATCCACTGCTTCACACACTTCTGCCTCTGGCCCTGCCACCATAGGCAAGCAGTCCCCAGAAGGATGTCTGAATGCTGGAAAAGGTTACCCTCCCCTGATTTAAAATGTCGACTTGTGTCATGTGAAGAAAGCTCACAAACGCCCCAGTTTTAAATAAAAGTTTTTTGCATCAGAGAGCAATGTCATCCTCCTTAGATCACCAGTATGGTGGCCTGGCTTGCTGCAGACAATGTTATACATGCTAAAGAACAACAACTTTGACAAACATTCAGAGTTGTCTGCATAGTCTCCCTATCTAGGCTCAAAGGTAGGTTACCATCTCAGTCCTTGTAAAATAATCAGGCTGGGCTTCAGTTCTTAATACACAACATCCAGGCTACTGGAGTTCATCCTTATTGCACTCATTTTGGGGGTTTTCCATTATCAGCTCCTGCCCCCTAGTGGACTCAATGCTCTAAGGATCATCATATTGACGTCCACACCACACATTTAAAGCACTCTGCTCCCTTCAAAGAGATGGACATGGTCTCAAGGCACAGGCTCATTGTGGAATCTCCTGCCTATTACCTGAGGGGTGGAGAATGTGCAGAATCTTAAGAGTTTTTTGGACTCCAACTCATAACACAGGATGAACCTGCTAGATCAGCCCAATGGCCCATTTAGTCCAGAATCCTGTTCTCACAGTTGCTGACCAGATGCCTGTGGGAAACCAGAAAACAAGACATGAGCACAAACAAGTGCACTCTACCATCCTGCCATGGGGGGAAAACTGGAGCTAAGCAGAGATCTGCTGCAGGCTTTGCCAGACTGTCAGCCATTTTCAAAGCATTCCTGGGAGAAAGCTCCCAACCTCCAGCCCTCTCAGGTGTCCTGCTTGCTTCCTATCAAGCACACATTTTCTTTTTTAGTTTGATTGACAACACATCAAAGAGCAGACTGCAGCAGGGGTCGTGCCAGACCCTCCTGCAGGGCACAGCTAACAGCTTATTCTGGATACATCAAGCCTTTCTACACATATTCATTATTACTGCCTTTTTACACATTTTTGAATGTACCGGTACTTGTGTGATGTTTCTAGATCTCTCTAGTCAGTAAATTAATACATACAATGATTTTTTGATATATATTTTTACAATGTCTCTAGGAGGCAGCTGGTGGGAATGGCCTGATCCAAAAGGGCAACGTGACCTTAGAAGCCAGTATCAAATTAAGATGATTATTTATTACAAATCCTTCCCCAGCAGGTCCCAGGGCAGGTTACCAACAATTTAAGATGAAAAACAGTTAAAACAGATTACAATCACCAGAATAGGGTGGGCCCTGAAATTTATGTTGGGGCCAGTAATTTTTTTCCCTCTCTTTCCTAATTCAGTCCAGTGAAGATTTGCAAGCAACCATTCACGTTCCGTTCAATTCTAAGATCAAGCTGTTTGCCTGGCTTTTGGTTTCATTCAACTTACTCCTTTCAGTTTTTCAGAAGCAGCTCAAATGAACTTCATCTGTTTAGGTGAATGGCCTGCCATATCCCCAATGGTTCAGGGTAGGCCCAAAGGCTTCCCATTCTCATTCCTTCTGCTGCGAATACAATGGCAACCCCCATTTTATGGATGGAGAAACATATCCTGCTTGAAGGAGTAGAAATGTGCAGTATACACCCTCTGAGGAGCCTGTGGCTGGTAACCATTTGAATTCGGGTCCAGCACTCTTTCCACCCACTCACACGGTAAAATTAGATTATGTCCATTTCCAGCCATTTCAAATATATGAAACTCGTCTCTTCTGCAAAAGGAGAGGGGATTATTTTGCACTCAGAGCTTTGAAGTTACCATGCAGAACATAGGAGTAACAGCTCTGAGTGCTTGCCCTATTACCACTCCGGTCCTTGCATTCAGCCACGGACCCTTTGAAGAAGATTCAATTATAGAATCAGTACTCCATGTGCTAATACTCAGACAAGCGGCGTTTGTCACATCAAAGGGACTCCTTGCTCACACGGCATAATTATACCTGAAGCAAAAGTGGCCCCAAGGCCAGAGATAATGCACAGGTGACTTTCAACTATCAGGATAATTGCTTTGCTCCAAAATTTCAGCTATTTGCTACATACACAGTTTTACGTTCTAGCCAATATCTGGAGCTGGTCCTAGCATTCAATAGCTAATTGATTTAGATACCATCTTTATGACACAATCCTACAGCAGACGATTTGTATAGAACAGGCACGTCCAACTCCCAAGTGACTGTGATCTACTAACAGTATAAAAATACTGGCTGTGATCTACCCATTGTCATTGCCAGGCAAAGTTATTGAGCTTTTATGGGGGGAGGCAAAGCTGTTGAGCATTTTTGGGGGGAGGCACAGTTACTTTTCCCCCTACTTCTTTAATTGGACACAATCAACCATTAATGTCCTGCGATCGACTGGTAGTGTAATGGTTCAAGGGGTTGCTCGTGCGTAAGCCGGTGCCCACACCTGGCTGGGTTGCCTAAGTGAACCTTTTCTGTCCGGACAGCCACTCACCCGTGGCTGTCTCAGTCGCTGGCAGAATCCGTCAGTGGGCATTTCTTAAACTTCTTCCAGCAAAGAAGTTCTTTCATGCCCAGTCGCCTCCTACTTTCCCTGCGCGGAAGCCTTCTGCGCAAGGAAGGCGTAGGCAGCGGAGGACCCTTCCTCCCCCCGCTGGTCCCAGGCAAGGAGTCCTGTGACTCCCTCTCAGATTCCCCCATCTGCCCCCCTTCTCTACTGGAGCTGGGCTGATTCCCTTCCCCAGAAGATGGGCTGCCTCTCCCAATCCCTCTGGAGCTCTCTCTCTCCCTCCGGCACTGATGGCAGTTCCCTGACAGGTAGATTGCAACCGACCTGTTGGACATGCCTGGTATAGAACAAAGAATCTCCACTAGTCCCAGAACTTGCTTCAGTTTAGACGTATTCTGTTCTTGGGACAGCATCAGCTTTATCACAGGGCAAGGATTTGCTGGAGGGCCCCACACACCCAGAGGCAAGATGCTGCACCCAGAAGCCCTTTTACAGGCATTATGATACTGGATGGTGTAGAAGTTTCTTTCCAGACATTGATTCATAGCAGCCAGGAGTCAGGCGGAAGATTGGAGAGGGGCATTTTTGTACAGTTGGCACTCAACGCTGAAATGCAGGGAAAGAAGAGGCAGAGAAGGTTTTCGCATAAGAATATCTGTCAAAAATAGAGGACAAAATAGGAGGGAGTAGAAGAATGGGGTCAAATTATTAATATTGCTGAGGCCTAGTTACACAGTGAGTTTGATTCCTTGCAATGCATATAACGTGGTTCCCCCATTAAAAGCAAATGGTACAGACATTTATCAGCTTAAAGCAGACAAACCCTTTACCTATCACATATTTCAGAGCCATTTTATATGCAACCAGTTCTTCCATTCTGAGATGCCAAAGCACTTTTTTTGTGTTTTTTTTTTTGCAGACGTATCACAATTTATTTATATGGGCTTGTACATGCCCCCAGAATAGCTTGCAAATCAGTGCTCTCTGCTTCTCTTATCTTGAGAGGTTCAAATGCTTCTGAGCCATTTCAGAAACCTCTGGCCTAGCATTCATGAAAAGCCCTGCTTGGCTCCGGGGGTCCCACAACACTGTATTGTGCCAGCACGTTCATGCGCTGCTTCTGCACGCAACCTAGCCACTCCACTGGGAAGATGGAGGGAGGAGGCCAGGCAAACCATCCAGCTTCCATCCAGATCTCCCTTGGGAGGCCCCAGTGATTTACAGAATTTTTTTTAAAAAATGCCCAGTAGGCAGTTTGCTTGGTATTCTTTATGGTTACTGCTCAAGCGAACAGGCAAATACAATGGTATTCAAAGCACCCAGATTGCTTTTGGAGTGCATGTTTCATGCAGTCCAGGAGCATAATGAACCATTACGTTATTCTTCAGCAAGTACTGCTCTCAACACAGTGTGCTATTGTTCTTTCGTTCCAAGTACAATGCAATTCAGTAGATTTTTTATCTAGTCACAGGCGCTCTCCATACAATGAAACAGTTCATGTTTCCTCCCTAAAAGGAGGATAAAACTGAAATAACTTCTGGCAACAGGAGGAGAGGTTTGTAAATACGCATTGTGTTTAACCATTCCACCAACTTAAGTGTCTGAGGGTTTTTTGTTTTAGAAAAGAGGTGTTAACAGCCTATATAAATTGTTTCTGCCACATCCAAGCCACATGGAGACACATTAATTAAATCAGAATCACCGCATCGCACTATTACTAATTTGAAAGCAATTCATTTAGCATATTCAGAACAAGGGGTATATATGATAGCAGATTTTATAAATACACAGGCATAAGAACAGTCAGGAAGATAAGCCATTTATCAAAAAGACAAGTCAAAAAGACAACCCTGAAGTACAGAAGCCAATCCTGTTTCCTAAAAGTTGTGTAAACTACCTGGCTCCTGTTCTCACCAGCCTAAGTGGAATTAAAGGGTTGATGCAACTAGGTAGACCCACTGAAATTAATGGGCCCAAGTTAGTCATGTCCATTCATTGGAATGGGTCTTCTCTGAGTAGAACTAACATTGGCCATAACCTAAAGTTATGCCACCTTCTGCAAGGATTAAAACCATTGTGCATGCCAAACTGACTTCCTATCCTTAGGTCAAGTGTGGGGACCCTCTAGATGTTGCTGAAGTACAACTCCTATCAGCCCCAGCAAGCTTGAGCAATGGGCCAGGGATGATGGGATTTGTAGTTCAGCAATATCTGGAGGGCTAAAGATTTTCCACGCCTGCCCTATTTAGTTTCTGAGAATAGATTGGTCCAAATATATCCATACGGCTAGTGCCATATTCTAACTTTTGCTATACTCCGGTTATATTTGGCACACAAGACCCACCAGACTATGGTTGAAAAGGAGAGGATACCCTTGCAGAAAACAAGCCGTGTGCTGAAGACACTCCCTGTGGGCAAGTGGAAAACGTAAAATTAATCCTACTTTTGTATGAAGCAAAATGAGGCCACACATGTAAACAAAAACTGATGATTGCAGAAAGTGGGTTTCAGTTCACCCTATAATTTAAGTAACATGACTAATGAAGCTTGTTTTTCAAAACTGCTAGAGCAATTTATTTCTACTTTTGACATGTACATGCTGAAACTGTAACAGAACACTCCTCAGTACTATTACGTGATATTTGGGGGGGGGTCTGAAAAGGGCTGCAATGCTGAAAGCAATTGATTAATCCTGGCACATGATAAATCTCAAGATAGCTTTAGCAGAAGATGGATCCCGGATGAGGCTTGTTTCTGCTCATACAAATGCTTTGCAGGCTTTTGTTTAAAAATATAATTGAGACTTGAGATCAGCCTACAGCGTAGGGGGGGAAATAAATATTTATAGGTGTGCTCATGACAAAGTCTACACGTGGGAGTCCCAACCATGTCAGTAAATATATACTGATGTGTACGTACACACAAAGCCCAGTCCTATGCCCATTTGCTTGGAAGTTGGTCCCGCTGATCTTAACTGAGCTCGTTTCCAAGGAAGCACACTTAGAATTTCATCCAGAATCCATTTAAATCCACTGGTTTGTGGAAAAGGCTCATTCCCTGGATCTAAGAGAACTAAAACAAACACCTCTGGTAGGCACAAAAGATACAGTGAAAAATTAGATAACTGTTATAAAGTTAAAAAAGCTCAGAGGTAGACAGAATTGGACCGTGTGTACCAATATAAGCACAAGTCCATTCATAAAAAAGTCATCTACTTGTGCAAACTCTCAATTTCCTAGAGCTATGCTTTAGTTATGTCTTTCCTTGAATGTGTCCTCTTGGGAACATCTTTTGCCACCATACAGCTTATGAAACTGAGAATCTGCAAATATATATATACCGCAATAGAGAAGTCTTGATGACAAAGCTTGGAATTCTACTTGATGCATAGTCTGAATGGCTATTTGTAGGAGGGGTTTAAGTTAAAGCAGGTTATTGTGCTACAGAAAAAGCAGCTCATTAGAAGAGGAAAGGACCCCAAAACAAACCCAATACCCTTTAAAGTAAGTGACCTTGCATCAAGATATATTCTAAACATATAAAGTGCTAATAAACATTTTATATATCCCCCCCTCTTAAAGGCGCATGTGCCCCGCCTGGGGCGTTTCCTGCTGGGCATGGTGTATCTGTTCGTCTGATCTTGTTTCAATGTTCCGTCGGTGCTGGATTAGGAAAGAGGAACGGACGGTACGATCCATTATTGGCTGAAGTGGACGGAAATTGTCCACCATCCTTTGCTCTTCTTCTCCCGCAGGGGTGAAGAGCAACATCCGAAACACCTCAAGCTGGAAATGAGAAAGAGCAAAGTCCAGAAAGTGTTAGGGAAGAAACAAAATTGGTCTCTCTCTCTCTCTCTCTCTCTCTCTCTCTCTCTCTCTCACACACACACACACACCCCTCTAATTCCCAAGTTAATGGTTCTGCTCTCTTCCAGAGCTGCTTAAGAAGAGACTGGGCTGCCCTTGGCCACCTGGAGACAAAATCCATCTCTTATCATTTGCAGTTTGTCAGCCTTTGAGAACATTATCGAATCCTAGACATTTGCAGGATGGCGGCATGCCATCTCTTAATCAAGCCTACATTCTTAAGCTGCCCCAGTTTCCAGGATTCAAACACCCAGAAGTTAGAGGCCCAGTGCAGTCACAACTATGGTTTGTTGCCTTGGCCCCGAAGATCTCAAATGTGCAACAAAAGCAACCACAGTTTATCTTAACTAGCTAAACTCTGCACCCAGAGGCCATGCAAGACCAGGCTGCTGTTAACAGGGAAGCTGCCTTAACCATGGTTTGCTCAACAGCAGTTATTACTTTGTTGTTGTTCTGATTATGCTATACATTTTTAAGTTAGCTTTGTACTGGCCTTTTGTTTTTTTTAAAACCTGAATCCTATTGGCCACTACAGATCTCTTCTTCTGAGTCAAAAAAGGAATGTAAGTCTTTAAATGAAAGAAAACATTAATCACATGCCACCATTTCGCAGTCAGGTTCGTGATCAATTCTTACTCATGACTCAGATGCAATGCTCAGCTTTGGCTAAAGGAAAGCAAACCACAGTTAAGCATTATGACTGTACTGAGTTGGTGAATCCTGGAAAAGGAATCTAAGGAGAAAAGTGAGAAGCTCGTTGCTAGGAAATGAATTCAAACATAATTTGACCCACAGAAACTGGAGAGGCCCAATGTGTGCCACAAAAGCAAGTGTTATTTTAGAGAAGGAAGGAAATGAGCTTAAAAAGAGGGAAATATTTGAAATCCCCAGGACCCAACCATGAAAGTAAATCCCACTGAGATAAGCAGGAATTGCTTCCAAATGAGAATCCGTATGATTTTGCTTGTTCCAATAGTGATATTATTGTGCTGCCACTGTTAGGAACAGGAAGCATTTCATTTTGTTTCTCATCATCTGTCTGTCTCTCTCTGCACCAGACGTTGTTTAAAATGCTCATACTTGGAGCCAAATTGGATGAAATGCTCAACATGCCATTTGCAATCATGTCAGTTTACAAAACAATTAACACAGGAACTGGACAATTTTCACTGAGAGGGCTTAATCTCACCCCACCTCACCATGATCCCAAAGTCACCCAAAAAACCCAGAACATTATCTCCCCGGAAGCTGCAATTAGCATTGGGAGTGAAGCTTTGAGATACCAAACAAAAATTACAATTTTTTTTACCCACTTGATTGCAAATTACATGTTCATGTCTACTAGTTTAGTTTGCAAAACACACACACACACCCCTCCACAATACGAAGTTTTAAAGATTTGCCTTTCCACATATAAACTCAGCCTAACAGTGCTGGATACGTCTGCAGGTATTATTCAGCAGTATATGCTTTCTATACTGCACTTGCAGAGGTGAAAATAAAGTAGAGTTGCATTCACAACATTTTAGAAGACACCAAGCTCCTCCTAGAAAGCTTTTTCCCAGCTGAGAATCTCATTCTTCCTTCTGCTTTCCCACATCCATCCCCAGCAATACACCAGCTACAGATGGCGAGTTTCCATTTGCTCTACCTGATCATCATCAACCTCTATTGCCTTCTTCTTGATGATCCAGGTGACGGACTCTGAAAGCGGCGGGGTGGTCAGAGATCCTGCGTAAGTCCAATAATCAGGGCATGATGGCAACAAGCAGGAGGGGTCAAATTCATCAAACTCAACGAGATCATCCTAGCAAATGCAAGCCATCAGTGATTAGTCTGGGTTATTCTGTGCAATTGCCTTAAAACTTAGGGAACAAGCTGTGATATCATCATGATTAAGGTTTTAAATGACACTTCAGGTTATATTTTAGTGAGTAAGATCTAATTTATATATTTTAATCTGTACTGTCCCTGTTATACCAAACTGCTAATTTTAATGTATCCCTATTGTGTTTCATGACTTCCCTGATTTTTTATGTGAGCTGGAACTGGTCTGTGACCGAAATAATAAATTCATTCAGTCTGGGTTATTTGTGATGGGATCCTCAGCTTGCATTACTGGTCTTCCTGGGTCCTCAGGCACCAAGCGTGGAGAGAGGAGCCACAATTCAATACAGCAGTGGCATAGCGTGGGGGGTGCAGGGGGGCCGGCCGCACCGGGCGCAACATCTGGGGGGGGCGCGCTCGCACTTGCAGCTCTCTGCCCCCTGCTAAAATCCACGGGTTAGGGGGCGCAAATTACTTGCCTTGCCCCGGGTGCTGACAACCCACGCTACGCCACTGCAATACAGTCCTCCACCACAGCATCCCCATCACATATAGTAGGCCTCAGCTCCTTTTGTACTGCTTCTGTCAGATTTTGAGCCTGTAGGCAGGGACGATCTTATCTTTTTACGTATGTACACAGGGAACATGGGAAGCTATCCTACAAGAAGTCAGATCACTGGCTCATCTTAATATTGTCTACATGGACTGGCAGCAGCTCTCCAGGGTTACAGGCTGGGTTCTCTCCCAGCCTGACTTGAAGATGCTGCCAGAGATCAAACCCGGGACCTTCTGCATGCAAGGCAGATGCTCTTCCACCGAGCTACAGTCCTTCCAAAAGCCACTGGGAGAATGGCACACACATCCTGACTCCTCTGCTTGGAATCAGACTGCTCAACTCTCTGAACAAATGCCTGGCTCAAAGTGGGAGCAAGGCCTTGTGCGGTTCCAGTGCTCTAGGCCACCTGTGGCATAACACAGGCACCGTAAGGCCACCAGCATAAACACAACAGGCGCATGCATCATCTAGGAATGCTCATCGTCAGGTTGGCTTCAGGGCAAACCTATTGACTGCTCCTGTGCATTGTGTGAGATGGATACTGAATAGCAACTAAGGTTAAAATTCTCTTTACCTTGTGTTTAATTGATGGCAAGGCATCTACTAACTTCTGCAGCCCACTGTGATTGGCTCCAAGCTGCGAAGGGAATGGGAGAAAGAGTATGTTTTTATTCACTGCATCTAGAGATCAAGTGGTTTAGCGCAAACTCCTATGACACTAGGTCAGCCTTCTCTAACCTGTTGCCCTGAAAATGTTTTGGACTACAACTCCCATCAGCCCCAGTTGGCTGGGACTGATGGGAGTTGTAGTCCAAAAGTTCCACAGGGCAACAGATTGGCAAAGTTTGCACTATGCCATTAGCCTTTGCCGGACACAGCTGAAATATTTTCTGGTATTTATTTGTTCCCACCAACTGCATCACACTATGCAAGGGAATGCTGGAAGTTCTCAATCAATACAATAATTGAACCGCTGCAGAGAGGACACATACGCAGTTTGGGTGCTGAAAAGTCCTCACTCTTTCCCCCCGTTCTCTCTTCCCTCCTCCCTATAATTCATTTCCCCCCCTCCATTTATTCCTTCTTCCTGCTCAGTACGATCCTTGGTTTCTGGTTTTGTAACTGATATACCTGTTTTTCGCTCTATTGGACGCACCGGACCATAGGATGCACCAGACCATAGGAGGGGGAAGAACAGGGGAAAAAATTTCTTGTTCTCCCCCTCTAAGTCAAGGTGCGTTCAATGTGCGTTCACCCGAAGCCTCCGGAGCCCAGCGGGAGTTCCCGCTGGGCTCTGGAGGCTTTGGGTTCCTTTCGACCTGCTCTTTGGGGCTGGCAGGGGCGGGGAGCGCTGCTTTCCCCCACCGCCAGCCCCAAAGACCAGGTCGGGGAACAGCGGGAAGGCGGCGCTCTACCTCCCCGCTGTCCCCGAGCTTGCTGATAGCTTCCTGAAGCCTGGAGAGCAAGAGGGGTCGGTGCGCACCGACCCCTCTCGCTCTCCAGGCTTCAGTGAAAGCCTGCATTCTCTCCATAGGACGCACACACATTTCCCCTTCATTTTTGGAGGGGAAAAAGTGCATCCTATAGAGCGAAAAATATGGTAGTTAACCAACAGGATGTATGCTTATATTACTGTGATATAAACAAAAAGTTGAAAGGTAACTTGCAGTGCACTCCTATAGATGTCCACTCAGATGTAAGTGCTACTGAATCACAGAATCATAGAAATATAGAGTTGGAAGGGACCCCAAGGGTCAAGTAGTCCAACCATCCACAATGCAGGAATCACAGCTAAGGAATCTTTGGCACGTGGTCATCTATTTAAAAATCTCAAAAGAAGGAGAGTCCACCACCTTCCGAGACAGCCCATTCCATGGCTGAGCAGCTCTTACCACTGAAAGGAAGAGTTCAGTTGGACGTATTCACAGGTAAATGTGCAAAGGAGTGCAGCCTTAAAGGTGCTCTTTGTGTAAGGAAGTGTCTCCACACTTTTATAAGTGACAGTTCAGAATGAACCACTGGAAGATTACAGGCTTCCCACCATCATACCTTCAAGAAGACTCCAATCACAGCCAAACCATTTTCTTCCATCAAAGCTTCTTCAAAACTTTCATATTTGCAAGAATTCCAGTGTACCAAATGCAGCTGAAATTAAATTCAATCCGTATTTTAGAACCGTGGAAGAAATGAGATAGAACAATCTTTTTCTTCAGAAACTGTAATGAATCAGGTATGGTTCTCAAAGACCTTGCAGTAGAGCTCTGAGCCTTCTACTCTTGGCTGCCGAAGGAGAAGAAGAAGAAGAAGGAGGAGGAGGAGGAGGAGGAGGAGGAGGAGGAGTTTGGATTTGATATCCTGCTTTATCACTACCCGAAGGAGTCTCAAAGCGGCTAACAATCTCCTTTCCCTTCCTCCCCCACAACAAACACTCTGTGAGGTGAGTGGGGCTGAGAGACTTCAGAGAAGTGTGACTGGCCCAAGGTCACCCAGCAGCTGCATGTGGAGGAGCGGAGGCGCGAACCTGGTTCCCCAGATTACGAGACTACCGCTCTTAACCACTACACCACACTGGCTCTCCAAGAGCAACCCCACAACCCCACCCCCACACAAAAAAAGAGAAATGGCCGCATGGCTACCGGCCAAATCTTTCCACGCATTGACAGAACACAGAGGAAATGTCACAGGCCCAAAATGTTTTTGTGAACACTTTTGATTAAGACTCACTGGTGCACAACATTCCAGAATCTCACAAAAGTATTACGTGAAAGTATCCTCTTACCTCTGCTGGGAAGACCTTACAGTCAATCGTGTGCTCCGAGCCCCATTCATTTATGGCCCCCCAGTGAAAGTGAAACTGCTTCAGCCGGTAGTTATTTTCTAAGGGGCCTCCTGTAATAACTTGGATAAGAGGGAAAATGATGTTAGGAGGCCAACACTTAAGCCCCAAGCCTATACAATTACCTGAAAGTAAGCTCCCATGAAATAAATGAGATTTATTTCTGAATACACATGGGTATGATTGCACTGTTGTATCTCTCTCATCCCTCTCCCTCTTAATCTAAAGACACGTGGCAAGTAGGAAGTAGCGGCAGAGTCTGCCTGGTTCTCCTGAAAGTAGGTGGATGGTATCACATAGCAACAACACAGAGGCCAAAAGCAAAAGTGAAGCAGATTTGGCTTGGTGCACAAAGTGCATTGTGCTGGAGAAAGGAGGGGTGTTGCGGGATTGGCAAGAATCTTCTAACTGTTCGCACTTCAGAGAGGGAATAAACCACAGCAGGGCTTGCAAAATCACAGTGAAGATGCACATTGTGACTTCTCTGCTGCTGTAAATAGGAGTCTCTGGGCTGGCTCACTGAGATATTATAGGATGCTTACATCCACCGTATCCAAACATAGTCTCTGCATTGATCTCATGATCTGACAGGGATGCTTCTGGAAGCCTGAAAAATATTGGTGACCACGAAAGACAAGAGCTATTCCTGGAGTTCTAGCTGAGCCATCTGAACACAAGCCTGGCATGTTTACCGGGAAGTTAGACTCGGTGGTTATGACCAACACCTTATATACATATAGTAAAACACACTTGGGATCACAGATTAATTACATTTCTTATCCACACCGTAGCAGCAAGAGATTGCCATTAATGCAATGCAAGAATTCTCACGACTTGCTTTTGCTTAGGAAAAGTAAAATTCTGGAAAAGGTTTTCTGCAGTAACACTTTGGTAATTTAGCACTGATTGCAAGGACTGTTCTTTCGGTAATTTAGCACCGATTGCTATGTTCCTTCTTTCCAATGGAAGCAAATGTCAAACACATCTGATGGATACACATCATCAAAGATGCAGAATCTTTGGCACACCTAGCACATGACCTAAAAAGCTCCAGAGGAAGAGAATTGCCGTGTGTGACAGCACCTACACTATCCAATGCGGTCTGGTGTGCATGCATTATCCCTCCTACTTCACTCCCTATTATTTCTGTTTAATAGATGTAACCATTGATGAAAAGAATGGATACTGAAACCTAATTTTGAATTGTTACAATTATTTGCCTGTCTTCCCCAATCTAAACATCCTATGTTATTGCACATCATAATGTCATTGTAATTACTCGGGCATTCATGCTCTCCCATAACTCTGTCTACAAGTTCAAAATGATATAATTTTGGACTGTTATTTTATTTTATCGTTGTAAGTTATATGTTGATATGCAGCCAAATCTGTAAGCCTATGCAAATGTATTTATATATTTTTAAATTTTAAAAGAAAATCAATTTTAAAAGCCTAAGTTAGAATTGCCATATGTGGATAATTCCTTACGGAAATAGAGTCCTACATTGTCCCCATTTAGATTTTTCATCACTAGGATGGCGGCTGAAACTTCCATTGGGCTCACATACGAGGACAACCTAATACAAGTTATCTGTTGCTTAATGACGCTAAGTCCTTCGTAAGAGATTGAAAACGGTACGTTGTTATGCTGTGTTTAGTCTGTTACTTGCTAGTGGCTATTCCTTTGGCTGACTTTAAAAAGGGGTAATTACCTATGTGAGCCCAAACATAAGACAGTGCGCCCTGCACAACTAAAACCACTTACCTCCAGGATGTATAGAGAAAAGGGTTTGTGAGCATCTGCAGAGAATTGTGGATGAATGTAGCAGAAAATGAGGCTGAATATGACTGCCCCCTTGTGGTGAAAATAAGTATTTGTGTTCTTAAGTAATGTGCTAGTACAGGAATGTCCAACAGGTACCGTAGATTGTGATCTACCGGTAGATCACTGGATGTGTGTGGTAGATCACTGGTAGATCACTGTCTCCTCCCAAAGAAGCTCACCAAGTTTGGCTCCCCTAAAAAAGTTCAACATTTTTGCTCTGCTCCCCCCCCCATGGGCCTTCCCCCTTCCTAAAAAAAAAGCTCAGCGATTTTGACCTGAACCCCAAAAAACAGGGCTTTCCTGCCGAAAAAAAGCTCAACTTTGACCTGTACCCCAAAAAAGAGGGTAGATCACAGTCAGTTTTTAACTCTAACTAGATCGCAGTCTCTTGGGAGTTGGCCACCCCTGTGCTAGTACAACAAAAACATTACCTCTAAGTTACTCGGCAATTTCTATACATGTATGACTACAAAACAAGCGTGATTTTGCAAAAAATGTGCGTATGCAGACACCGAGCAAAATTCCTGAGATGCTTGCTGCCCTCTCATGCCTTATCCACTTGACAGGAAGAGCCAACATTTAAGGGACAAAAAGCAACGTCGCTACCACATGCTTGTTTTTCTACCACATGCTAAATAAGCAGTTCCTAAAGTTTTAAATTAAGGAGAAAGGGAGGAAATGCAATAGAATGTGGTCTCTTTTGTGCCACAGCCTGTATCTCTAGGTGCAGACAGGAAAGTCCCTGAATATTCTGACAGAACAATCCTAATTACAGAAAGCCAGCGTAAGTGACTCCTCTATGCAGGAGGAATTTGACTGCTTGTCAGCTAAGTTCCACTGGGTTTCCAGTCACAGACCAAAGTGAAGGAATAGGTTTGGAACAGGTGTAAGTCTCTCCTTGCCCCTTCATGTGCCAACACACCCCTGGAACACCGCTTCTGCGGGATTTGCACTGACATATATTATGCCGTCTTACGTTCCACCAGCTGAGCCTAGCTGAGGGCCTTATGCCGGCATAACTCTGGCCCAGCTGGGGTGGGGGACTTACACTGGGCGCAGCCCCGGCTCAGCCGAGAAAGCTCAGGATCTGACGAATCCAAGTTCTCTCTTCCTGGTGGATCTTGGGCTTGGATTGCACTGCTAAACAGTAACTGCAGGCAATCCCACAATGCACTGGGAGGTGCCCCTAACTGCACTTTGGAAGTTCTGCCTGCTACCAAAAACAGCAGACGCCAACACCACAAAGCAACCACCAGAGGGCAACAGTGTGCACACAACCACCAGCACTTACCTGTGTTGTCCAACACCTTTGTTTCTCATTTCCTTCTCTCTCTCTCCCTTTGCTTTCATTCTACTCCCAGTAGTGCAGCTAGCCTCATCCTTGGAACAAATCTGATTTAGATCCCATCTCAGAAGCCGCCTCTCTTAAAAGCACGCTCCTCTATTCAGTTTACTGCCATTGTCTTCCTTCTTACTTTTTGACTCTAATCCACTCTTTTTCCTCTTCTCTATCTGTGCAGCTGCCTATTACTGTCAGACAGAAGAAGCAAGGAGAAAGAAAACAAAGGAAGAAGAGAGCATCAGGAGCAGGTGGGAAAGAAGAGTAAGTTACGTGTTGAGAAGTCAGAAAGAATCACAAAGAAGAAAAGCATTATAGTAAAGCAAGAACAAGCCTATAATTTAAATCCCTTCCTAATCCCGCTCCCATTGGAATGAGCAGGGTTTGCAACAGGTGGACTGCAGCATAGGGAAGTTATGTTTATTCATTTTGGGGCTTGAGTAATGTAAATGACACTTGGCTGGATGCTTATCAGGCACGTTAAGACATTTTTATGCCAGCAGCACAAATGTGTTTTATTTTATTGTCTTGTAAAATGAGCCTCGCGGATCAGGCCAATGGCCCATCTAATCTTAGCATCCTGCTCTCACAGTGGCCAAGTAGATACCCTAATGGGAAACCCAAAAGCAGAACCGGAATGCAATGGCATTCTGCCCACCTGCAATTGCCAGCAACTGGTATTGAGGCAAAATGCCTCTCTGACAGCAGAGGTAGCATATAAGCATCACCACTAGCAGCTGTCTCTGCTTAGATATTTAAAAAGAGGGAGACGTTATAGGCATATAATGATTAGATTGAAAAGAGTGACGTGGATCAGAATGACTTCAAAGCAAACCTAAAGCGTTTCAATGGAAACTGGCGGATGTTAGCAGCTGAAATTTATAGAGCAAAAGTTACCCTCAAGGAAGGCCAGGAAACTTGAGCGAGAAGGCTGAGATAGAGAATGCAGAGGAACAGGAAAGGAGGGTGGTGTCTGAAGTCAGCCACAGCTATGATAATCATCAAATTTGGAGGGGAGGGGGTTGGGGAGAGGGACCGCTATGCAATTTCTCTTAGCAGAAACCAAGGGACAGTGTGCAGGATAATGGGAAAAGTGAGTCATATCAGGATGCTAAGATAGAAGAAAGATCTTGGAAATGCAAAGCAAAGGTGCTGCTTTCTGCTAGTAAATCTATCAACCTTGTCTAGTATCTCTTGTCCATGTTTAATATATTAGAAGCCTGCTTAAGGAGATCCCGAACACAATTTTAATGCTTTTACTTATACTGCTATATTGTAAAAATGTATCACAGCAGTTTACAACAGTATGCAAACATCAAACCAAACAATAAAATCATAAAAAGTTAAAAAAATAAAAAGAAATTAAAAACAAACCTCAATAGACCATTGTAGGGAGTGTACCCTTAATTGCCTGCATAGTTATCTATCTATTTATACACCAGCATAAACACAAAAACCTGTCTTATGCTGAATGAGCCCAGTATGGTCTACTCTGACTGCTAGCAGCTCTCTGAGGATTTTGGTGGACGTTTCTCAAGCCCCACCCTCCAGGATGCTTTCTTAAGGTGGAGGTTACAGGGAACTGAGTCTGCGACCATCTGCATCCAAAGCATGCCCTCTAACACTGAGCTACATCCACAGCTCATCCTCTCGCAAACATGGCTCTGTGAATTCCATCACCGTAGCTAAATGGCAATGTTACTATTAGTAAAAAAGGTAAAGGGACCCCTGACCATTAGGTCCAGTCGTGGCCAACTCTGGGGCTGTGGCGCTCATCTCGCTTTACTGGCCGAGGGAGCCAGTGTACAGCTTCCGGGTCATGTGGCCAGCATGACTAAGCCGCTTCTGGCAAAACCAGAGCAGTGCACGGAAACGCCGTTTACCTTCCCGCCAGAACCTATTTATCTACTTGCACTTTGACGTGCTTTCAAACTGCTAGGTTGGCAGGAGCAGGGACCGAGGAATGGGAGCTCAGCCCGTCGCGGGGATTCGAACTGCCGACCTTCTGATCAGCAAGTCCTAGGCTCTGTGGTTTAACCCACAGTGCCACCCACGTCCCTGTTACTATTAGTACACACTACAATTTTAACCTCTCCTGCTCTGGAACTGCAAGACAAGCAAAAATAGAAGCCATAAAAAGGAACTGCAGTATCTAAAATAGCTTTCTTAAGATACTTGATACAACCCAAACACAAGCTGTAAGCTTCAGCCCAGGAAGGTTACTACCAGAGAACGATTATGCTTCTTAAAGAGTGTGTGATGGGCAACCTATGACTCATAAATTGGATCCAGGTGAGGCCACACTAGGATGATGCCTTATAGAATCATTAGTCCATCTACCTCGGTACTGTCAACACCGGAGGGCAGCAGCTTTAATTGGTATGAGGAATTTCCCTACATCAGGACTTGAACCTGGGACTTTTTGCATGGAAATGTATCCCACCGCAGGGCTATGACCCTTCTCTAATTTAAACATACTCTTTGCATAATGGCTACTCAGGTAACTGGACTTAGTCCAAGTACTGTGTAACACACAACTTACTTAATATGTGCTGCTAAGTGTTTTAACCACACATCACTAACAGCCACCACAATGTTAGTTATTGGCTAAACAGATTCATCAATGTACAGCTTTTGAGGCTCTGTCTTATTAAAATTAAAATTAAAATAACCATTACAGCAATAATGGTTAAAATAACCAAATTAAAATTAAAATAACCATTACAGCATTAAGCACAGAGCACTTGGTTCAAGTGAGCTAACAAAACCTGACTTTTCTTTTCAGGAAGAATAAAAAGAGCTCTTCCAATGCCAGAGAAGGCAACTATATTCAGTTTCCTTCCATTTACTGAGGTTTCAATACAATTCCAAGGGGAACCAGAGAACAAGGTGCTTTGCTAGAACCAAGCACCTATCTTGCCTTCTAGATATTTTCCAAGTACATTATTCAAAAGCTTATCTGTGAAATGCAGCCAAAGTGATAAACAACCTTTTATTTCATTAATGTTTAATGCCAGAGTTATACTATTCATTTGGGAACATGCACACATGAAACCTCCTCAAGGGCTTCCTCTACAAAAATGAATGGGTAAAAGTTGAATGAAAAAGCATCCAAAAGAATGAAAAAAATGCATCCAAATAAAGAATGTCAGCTGCTCCCCAAGTCTTGTATGGATTACAGTTGGAGTGAATTTTAGCCAAGAGACAAAATTCATGGAAATCATAGCAAAAAAAAAGAGTAATTGCTGGACTAAGATTGCTTGACTAAGACCCTGACGGAAAAACTTGTTTGGCCTTAAAGTTCTCTGAGTTATTGTGTTGCACCCTAACCTACCTCACAGGATTGCAGAGAATAAAAAACAAACAAACGAGGAAGTTTCCATCTATGCTGCCCTGAGCTTCATGGAGGAGGAATGTGTGTGGTTAAAATGTAATACATACATAACAGGAAACAGCCTTTGTTAAGGATTAGTTCCTACATTGAATGTACTGCAAATATGAATAGTTTTTTAAAAACCAGGGATGGGGAGACCTGTGACCTTCCCCCAACTACAACACACATCATCCCTGAACCATGCTGACTGTGACTGATGGGAGTTATAGTTCAACAACATCTGGAGGGCCACAAGTCCGCTACACATGTAATACACTATTCCTGTTTCCTCAATTATAATGATTCACAGAGTCTAGAAGTCAAAACTAGATACTGTATTAATTATCTTAGAGGATTAGTTAAGAATTTCCACCCACAGACTTCACTCATGAACATTTATATGGCCCTTTTCATGTATAAAACGCGATACAATTCTCATCTGAACAGGGGCCTTTATTTGGTAGAGCTCTGGGATCAGGAGAGCCACGTAACCAAAGCCACGTAATTGGGCTGCTGCAAAAAGCAGAGATTTGAATATAGATCTCTGGACCAAACATCCGGCTTTTACCCTAGCAAATTAGCAGGGCAATTGTCACTCGTATTTTAAAGATGTGGATCAACTTTCATAAGGGCATGGATGCAAGCAAAAATGCAAGGATTCACATGACACATATTTGCCCGGATATTTAGGGAAATGGGAAATAACTTGCAGAAATGTCTGCCAATGTACTTAGCTTTTGCCAACTGGAGGGGTGGCGAAAGGTGCCTGCTAGGCCAGAACTTAACAGCAGGACCAGTGGGTCTTAGGAATCTGCTCTACACCAAGCCAGATCATTGGTGCATCTAGCTCAGTATTGTCTACACTGACTGGCAGCAATGGGTCTTCAGGGTTTCAAGCAGGGGGCATTCCCGGCCCGAGCTGGAGAAGCCATCAGGCATACAAAGCAAGTGCTCTACCACTAAGCTATTATCCTACAATCCCAGGCATCCCCTTAAGACTTACTTGATTTGTCTGTGGTATCCTCAAACTCAACCAGGAACGAGTATCCGTTGTTCCACATATGGAGGCAAGTGGCTGGATCATAGCGTATTTCAAGGGGTTTAAGATGGGGGTCATAGACGCTGTCTCTCCACTGGATATTGATCGGAGACTGCCGGCTGCCCCCCGGGATTGTAATTGGGCTCTGCCACAGCGGATGTACTGGAAGAAGAAGAAGAGGAGGACACAGGAAGTTTCTCATAAGCTGTATGGAACTCACAGATATGTTTTAGGCTGATCAATCAATGGAAGTTGCTTGGAAGAGTAGGCCACGGTGCAAACAATTCTCCAAGTTGTTCTGCATGTCCAGGGGGCCTTTGGCTGCAAAACAACACTTGCCCAGTTCTGAAATGAAGGGGAGTTTCAAAAGCACTTTACAACAACGCATGAAAATTCAAAACATCCCACCAAGTGATGGGAAGCTCTTCAGCTCGCCTGAAGTACTTCTCTTGATCCTGGTGACAGCCTTCCAGCTGGCAACCATATTCCAAGCCAGCCTGCTTCCAAAAGTTATCAATGAAAGGAATAAACAGCTGCAATTCAGATTCACACAGAGAAGCCGCAATTAGATTTGCACCTTAACACCGCCCTGAACCTGATGCTCCCTCACACTGTAGTCAACACCTTTGCATTCTCCAATAATTCTTTTAGGTTTCTGCACTGATTTTAATGCAACTGCTTTCAACAGTCGGATACGCTATCACATCATTCCCTAATCTGTGGTCTTTCCTGCCACTGCTAAATATCAGCACAATTCCCAAGAAAGCCTGGATGTCAGTGCAAAGGAAAGGAAAGCTGCTCTGGGGAGAAAAGTCTGACAACTGAGTATGGAGCATGGTTGAAGGAGACTTCCAACAAGTGGCAGACTTTTGGCTCTCAAATTTCAGCAGTGCCACGTGCAACGCTAAGATTCAGCACTACACCCCAGCCCATCTCTTGCAATCCATTCTATATCCTGAGGTGCCAGCACCCAGTTCAGCCAAACCTGTTCCACTATCCTCATATCATATCGTACAACCCCATGACTAGGGGACTGTCCCCTATGAGATAAAGCCATGATCCATTTTTCCAATCAACTGTTGCATTTGCGCAATGCTGAAAAGTATGTGGGGACCCCAGATGTGAACAACAAATAAGGAACTATGGGTGTGCATTTGGGTCACCCCACATTATACATCCCCTCCCCCAGAAGACTGTCCTCTGCAAGATGGCATCAGGACATATGGCTCTGTGACATTTCCCTGCAAAGACCAGCTGAGACCAAAGGGAGCCACTTCCTAAAGGCCCTGCTGTGCTCTTGCTATGAAACCATGGACTAGTAGGTTGGGACTTGTGGGGTTTCTGAAGTGGGTGCAAACAGGTGAGGAAGAAACTGGGAAGGACAGTGCGAAGTGTGTTGCGATTTAATTTATCAAAAAGTTTTAACTCCTCCTTTACCTAATAAGAGCTGGTATGGTGTAGTTGTTAATAGAGTGTTCAGTTAGGGCCTGGGAGAAACCAGGGTTCAAGTCCCAACTCAGTAATATAGCAATTGGGTCACCTTGAGCCTGTCACTACCTCCCAGGGCTGTTGTGAGGATAAAATGAGGAGAACCATGTATGCTGCCTTGGAAACGCCTTAAGAGAAAGGTATGGTATAGATGCTATAATAATGTACATACTGTATACACAACAGCAGAGTGTACAGAATACAAAACAAGCAGTCCACACAATAATCTATCATACAATATTGGGGTGCTAGGAAAAGGGCGCAACCACTGGGGTTCAAAAAAGCAGATCAGAAACGAAAGATTTAAGTTGGGGACAGGTGGAGAATGAATGAATTGAGAGGGGTGTTTTGGGCAGGGGCGAGATTGTAATAGTAGGTTAGGGTTGTACCTAACTAAGCAAAAAGCAACCCGTGTGTGTGTGTGTGTGTGTGTGTGTGTGTGTGTGTGTGTGTGTGTTAGAGAATGAGAAAAGGAACATGGGGGTGGGAATAATAAGCAGGGTGTGGACAGCTGGGAAAGGAGATGGGGAGGGGGGCGAAGGGGAAATATTAGGGCCTTATGGACCCCAGGTACAGGCCATAATTTTTGGGGGGGAGGAAAAGTTCCTGCAGAGAGAAGAGGGGGGTCTCCTTTCGGGGGGGGGGTCGCCGCGGGGTGTGTCACTCACCGCCGTCCCGGAGGCGGTAGGAGGCGCAGGCGCCCAAGCTGCACGGCCTCACCCCGCCGCCGCGGCGGACGGGGAGGGCGGCTGGACTCGGCCGAGGGTCCCTGCCGAGGCGGAGGAGCAGCGGCGGTAGGAGACGACGAGCCATGGCCGAGGCGGCAGGAGAAGGCGGCGGCGGCGGCGTTGTTTGGAAGCGAAGGGCTCCCTCAGTCCTCGGCCGGCCCAGCCGAGCCAGCCCCTTCCGGGGCCTCGCCCACCATCTCCGCCCGGCAAAGCGCCGCGGCCGCCAGCGGGCGAAAGTATCCTGGGAGGGACGGCAGAGTCATTTCCCCGCTCGCCGCCTGCAGGCGCCATAAACGCTCCGCGCCGGAGTTGGCGGGCGAGAGAAACTTTTTCGGCTCGATCCGGGTGCAGGTTTCGGCGCAGGTGGCACTGGAGAAACCTAAGGGAGAGAGCGGGGCACCTCCATCCCCTCGAGGCGCATTTTATTAAACGATTTAGCGAGGGAGATAACAAGGCGCTGCAACGTTTTTAATCGGTCCGATGATCGGACGGCCTGGAGCGCTTTCAGGGAGGAAGCCCCGTTGGATTCAGTATAGGGCTTACTCCTGAGTAGACACCAATAAGGACTGAGGTGTTAACGTGGGAGAGAGAGGGCGGCCACTTAGGCATGGCGTGGGGGGGGGGAGATTTGCATGAAATTATCACTTGCTAATGTCAGATGTGTATCAGATGCAAATTTCTAAATGATTACAATACTATGATTTTAAAAGGCACGCGAGAGCTCACACCCAAGGAGGGAAAGGGAGTTTCTCTGCGCCTGCTCAAGCCACTGACTGACTGTTCATAGGCAGCTGTTTTATAGGCCTATAAAACGCAGTACTAACTGCCCCGTCTACTGTTTTATAGGCAACGTTATATAGGCTAACGTCCAAACACACAGTCTTTCATTTCTGGGCTATAGAAAAACTTTATACAGTGGTACCTCGGGTTACATACGCTTCAGGTTACCTATGCTTCAGGTTACACACTCCGCTAACCCAGAAATATTGCTTCAGGTTAAGAACTTTGCTTCAGGTTAAGAACAGAAATCGGGTTCCGGCGGCGTGGCAGCAGCAGGAGGCCCCATTAGCTAAAGTGGTGCTTCAGGTTAAGAACAGTTTCAGGTTAAGAACGGACCTCCGGAACGAATTAAGTATTTAACCTGAGGTACCACTGTACTGCAAATGAAGCATACAGACAATCTGATCCTCCCTTTCTTCCCTGGAAATGAGATTAAGAACGCAATTCCTCAAAGAGTTAAATGAAGATTCACAGTGCAGTCCTACTCAGAAGTTGAATCCCGTAGGACTTACTCCTAGATGGGTGTACAGCCTAAATATGGAAAGGTCCTCTAATAAGCAAGGACTCTCTCATTAGTGAGCTAACTGGTTACAGGTGCTCCAATGACCAGGTGTGGGGGAACTTCGGCTCGCTGGATGTTACAGAACTACAACTCCCATCAGCCCCATAAAACATGCTCAGTGGTCAGGGATGATGGGAGTTGTAGTTCGTCAAACATCTAAAGGGCCAAAGGTTCCCCTTACCTTCAGAATACTATAAAATCCAGGCAGGCTTCATGTTAAGGATGCTGGGAATTGTAGCTCCATAAGGGACAAGCTACAGTTCCCAGGATTCTTTACAGAAAGTAATGTGCTTTAAATGTGTGGGTGTGATCTTTGTCTGGATTCCAGTATTTCTTGGTGGTGTTTAACTGTAAGTAAACTACTGGATTAAGAAAGTAGTGTGGTTATTTATAGTGATCAAATTTAGTACATGGCTGTTTAGAATAGTGGCTCTTTCTCTGGGGTAGACACTCCTCATCAGAAGGTATTTGTTATACTGTGATCCTAGGTATCTTTACTTAGAAGTAAATTATGCTGAGTTCAGTGGGACTTACTGTCAGATAAGTGCACAGGGTTGTCATCTTAAGTTTATAAACTTATCTTATCGACTGGTGTGCAGTTACCTAAGAGTAAGCCCTAGTGCTTATTTCTAAAAGTACACATATATAGGATTGGGTGGCTGTGTAACTTCAACTAAATTCCTGTTTAAAAAAATAATATGCAACACTTGTGTTTAGTTTGGCTTATTGGTCAAACTCTTGAATTGTTTTCACCTTTTTTAGGTGGACTTTTAAAAATTTATGTTGAAATTATGGTGTAAACTTATGCTACTTATGAAATATTTGTACAGTGTCCTCATCAAAAGACTTGTCCCTTAAAATATGTTGGGTGTTGATAGTTTGGAAGGCATTTGTGCTCTGTAAGTTTTGCAACAAAGTGGATTTGGACTTTATAATGAGTAAGACCTCTTTGTTTTGCCCACAACCACCATTTTTGTTGCTCTTGAACTATTTTAAATCAGAAATGAACCCCAACCTGCTGTTATTGCCCTCTAGGGAGAAGTAAGGATGGCAACTGAGGGACCTCTTGAGGAGCTTATTGATGCAATTACTTGTCCCATCTGCCTGGGATATTTCAAAGATCCTGTGATGTTGGAGTGCGGGCATAATTTCTGCAAAGCCTGCATTGTCCAGTCCTGGCCTGAATCTGAGGAAGCCTCTGCTTGCCCCGAGTGCAGGAGACTCTTTCAGCCAATGGACAGCAGACCAAACTGGCAACTGGCAAAAGTGGTCCAGCTTGTCAAGCTGTGGGTGGAGAGATGCACAGAAAGGAGAAGAGAGTTGTGTAAAAGGCATCGGAAGCCCCTGAAGTTCTTTTGTAAGGATGATGAAGCCCCACTTTGTATGGTGTGTAAACGGACCAAGGCGCACAGCGGCCATAAGGTAGCCCTGTTGGAGGAGGTTGCCCGAGAGCTCAAGGTAAGCAAGGCAAGCATTGTAATCTGCCTTATACTGAGGCTGTTTGGGGGAAAGGCCATGGCTTAGTGGTAGAGCATCTGCTCTGCAGGCAGAAGGTCTGAGGTTCAGTCTCCAGGTAGAACTCAGTCTGTATCCCTAGAGAGCTGCTGCCAGTCAGTGTAGACAATACTGAGCTAGATGGACCAATGGCCTGACTCCTTATAAGGCAGTGTCCTGTGTCTATGTGGCTCAGAACTCTACACTGGCTGGCAGCAGCTCTCCAGGGTTTCAGATAGAGAACATTCCCAGCCCTACCTGCAGACGCCTGTAACTGAACCAAGGACTTTCTGCATGCAAAACAGATGCTCCACCCCTGAGCTCTGACCTTCATTGGTGGGATTTGCTGCCACCCAATAATAATAATAATAATAATAATAATAATAATAAATGTTATTTATATCCCGCCCTCCCCAGCCGAAGCTGGGCTCAGGGCGGCTAACAACAATAAAATACTACAACATTCTAAAATCATTTCATTATAAAATTAATCCAACTCAAATTGATGGCAACCATTAGGCTAAAGTTCTGTAAAGATTGCCAAAGGAGGGAGTCAGGCTGTGCCCTGACCAAAGGCCTGGTGGAACAGCTCTGTCTTGCAGGCCCTGCGGAAAGATGTCAAGTCCCGCAGGGCCCTAGTCTCTTGTGACAGAGCGTTCCACCAGATTGGAGCCACAGCGGAAAAAGCCCTGGCTCTAGTTGAGGCCAGCCTAACCTCTCTGAGGCCTGGGACCTTCAGGATGTTTTTGTTTGAAGACCATAAGTTCCTCTGTGGGACATACCAGGAGAGGCGGTCCCGTAGGTACGAGGGTCCTAGGCCGTATAGGGCTATAAAGATGTGGAGGTGGCCTCAGGTTGTTTTAACTTGGGGGTGGGGGAGGGGGTTGGACAAACAAATCAAGTAAAGGGAAAATCTCCCCGATAAAGCAAAAAAATCATTATTTGTTGTTGTTGTTGTTATTGTTCAGGAGAAAACCAAAGCCCAGCTGAAGGCTATGGAGGAAGAGAGGAAGAACCTTGAGGGCTGCAAAATTACTCAAGAGCCGGGAAGATCAGAATGGCTGGTAAATTTTTAAATTTATATAGCTTGCACAACCTTGGCGCTCCTCTCTCCTGTTTTCCAGCCCCAGGCAGCAACTGCACTGCAATGCTCCACTTCCACTTGGGAAGAGATATTTATTCCTCCCAAGACTTCCTTCCACTTGGTGCTCCCTGCTGTTCTGCTTCCCCTTTGCTGCTGAAGCAGACGGAAAACAGTTATGAAAACCCCACTGCTATGTGGTCTTAACTTTGTAAGTTAAACTTGCCCTGTTCGGTATTAAGTGGTTGAAACAAATGACCCCACTCCAGAAAATCTGTGGTGAGAAAAGTTACAGGATTTTAGCAGGGAGCTGCAGGATGTGCACTGATTGTAAACGAAGCTGTGTCAGCTCTGAAACTCTGCAGGCGCAAACGGTATTCATAGTAATCACCCTGACACCCACAATCATGAATTCATGATATAAAGGCTTTATGGAGGGGCCCTAAGCTAATTGCTGCCCTTCTCCTGATAAGAGGCTTGGAGGGAAAACAAAGGAGTAAGGTAATTTTCTGGCACTGATCAAGGAAGTGTCTGGGAAGAGGAAACCACACTGCAGGTCTCTGGAGACTAGGTGATGCACATACCCCACCAAGCATAGTCCATCTGGCCACTCCTACTAGTGAATGCAGACAGAAATGAAGCAACCCGTGGACATTGCAAAATGAAAGGGAAGCACTGGTGTGCTGTGAGGACCCCTGAGTTGCTGGATCTTCCATTTGCACAGGGAGATGGCACTATCAATAGATCTTGTCCTGTCCAGCTCTGGGATTATGTCTCTTTTACTGGAGCTGTGGGAGTTAAATATATACTGTGGTACCTTGGTTCTCAGACTTAATCCGTCCCGGAAGTCTGTTCCAAAACCAAAGCGTTCCAAAACCAAGGCCCGCTTTCCCATAGAAAGTAATGCAAAACAGATTAATCCGTTCCAGACTTTTAAAAACAACCCCTAAAACAGCAATTTAACATGAATTTTACTATCTACTGAGATCATTGATCCATAAAATGAAAGCAATAATCAATGTACTGTACTATAAAATAAATAAGACAGTATTGTAGATTATAATTATTATTTTTCTTATGTTGTGAGAAAAAAACTGCTCCTTTTCCCTTATGGGGTACCCAAGAGCCCATATATGTAGGTTCCTTATGTAGGTGTTCTATTGGTAGGAGAAAAAAAACAGAGGCCAGCCAGAGAATATTGAGAAGCAAAGCAGCTAGCAAGCCTGATCTTTATTAAACTGATGCAACAGGGCGCTCTCCCACCCACCCCCGCAGGAGGGAGGAAGAACCCAGAACAAAGGTGTGCAAGCCCTTATATAGACTTTGGAAACTGCCACCCTGTAGCTCAAGACCACCCCCCAATACATCATACATACATCACAGAAGGGGCGGTCTACAGCAGAATCCTGTCTGGCAGGAAACCTGTTAATGGGTTTACCTGGAGAGCCTGGCCATTATTTTGTGATTTTTTGTTTGTTTGTTTAGTCGTGTCCGACTCTTCGTGACCCCATGGACCAGAGCACGCCAGGCACTTCTGTCTTCCACTGCCTCCTGCAGTTTGGTCAGACTCATATTTGTAGCTTCGAGAACACTGTCCAACCATCTCATCCTCTGTCGTCCCCTTCTTCTTGTGCCCTCCATCTTTCCCAACATCAGGGTCTTTTCCAGGGAGTCTTCTCTTCTCATGAAGAGCCTCAGCTTCCAGTGAGCACTCAGGGCTGATTTCCTTAAGAATGGATGCGTTTGATCTTCTTGCAGTCCATGGAACTCTCAAGAGTCTCCTCCAGCACCATAATTCAAAAGCATCAATTCTTCGGCGATCAGCTTTCTTGATGGTCCAACTCTCACTTAGTACATCACTACTCTCACCCAGTACATCACTACTGGGAAAACCATGGCTTTAACTATACGGATAGTTTTGTGATGATAAATACTTAATTCCTCAGTCCAGGTCACAGGCTCGCCCTATTCATATACAGATATGCCCTTAAGACAGGATTTGTGATCAAAGAGACAATGGGGAGGCTTTCCCATTTCCTTCCTCCTTGCAGATAAACATTTGAGGTCAATTTGGGGGAGTCAAAATGGTTTTGGGATTGCTCTCCTGTACTATTTCAGACACATAGTTTATATACTTATGTATGTGTCTGCCTTGTCAATTTATGAACATATAGGAATTCTATATATTCTCACATATATAAATCATAACACTTACCTGCACTGATGATAGTCATTGTTTGGATGGGGGGCGTGCTTTTATCCATTTCCACAGTCAATCAATCAGTAGCTGAACTGGGTTCCACACAGTCACCAAAACAAATTAACCGAAAAAGCCTCAAAAACAAAAACGCAAAATAAATAGCAAAAACAAAACCATCAAACTTCATCCATTCCGGAAGTCTCTTTGACTTCCGAAATGTTTGAAAACCAAGGTGGAGCTTCTGATTGGTGCAGGTGGCCCGGAAACAATAGCTGACAGCCTCCTCGGATGTTCGGCTTCCAAAAAACATTTGAAAACCGGAACACTTACATCCGGGTTTTCGGCGTTTGGGAACCAAGGCATTTGAGTAGCAAGGTGTTTGAGAACCAAGGTACTACTGTTTATCTTAATAAGTAGCCACTACATTCTCTTTGTCCTTGACTTGCCTCTACTAACTTGAAGGGAGTATTTTCTGCTCTCTGCGAGGCTTCCTGACCAAATCCATGTGAAGTTTGAAGAGAGAATGTTTTGTGAATCTGCATCCCCTGATCTCATCCAGCCTTCTCCTTTTCTTTCTCTGCCCTGCAGAAAATGTGACTGGACCCAGGCATAGCGCCCTATCCCCTGTCAATCTGTCTGAGGACCCTAAGGGTGTGAGACGCAAGGCGTAAAAGATTTGGAACCTGCCTGTCCACCCTCTGATGTTGCCCAAAACACAAAGGAATCCAACTCTCACGAGCATCACTCTGAAGACAGAGGGACCACCAGGTTGTGAGTCCTCGGAAACATTAGCCCCATCCCATAATTCAATGTGCATGTTCAGTCATGGGTGGGGAGATGGCAGGCTCCACCTCCCCACCTGTAAACTTGCATTTGAACTCCCATGTAAAATTCCAACGTAGACGGATCTGTTAAGGAATTCAAATGCACATACTGAGTTACTAACCCTATGCTTCTGTTGAGGAAGCCTTAATACTTACGTTTACCTAATACTTACGTTTACCTAGTTGATTCTAGGTTCTTAAATGCCTTCTAAACTAACACTTTTGCCCAGGGAGAAGACTGTTTTTTTCTGGACTTTTAGAGGATTTTTTATAACTTTAATTTTAGCCTTGCTTTGTGAGGTTTGGATTGATCCCTAAAATAAACTGTTGGGAACAATTCTTTAACATACCTCAGGCAGGGAGTAAATATACACCTTAGTGACCAGAGTCCTTTACTTACAATGGTTCCTTGAGCGAACTGATAAGTGTTATAATGCCATCTCATCCATCTTGCATATTTATGTGCTCATCAGATATTCTGATCAAGTGGCATCTCTTTGCTGAGGTTTGTTCCTAAATATTTTTGGGGTGGGGGTTGGTTACATATGAGCACTGAAAAAATAAAAATAAAGCTTTTAACAAACTAAGCAGAAATGTATCAAATTGCTGCGTATCAACGAAAATTCTTCCATGATCACTCTGATGGCTCTTGCAAGAAGATTTATCTCCAGCGCTCAGTCGTCTAGAGATGCTTGAGAGCCAGATGATGTTTGAGGGAGTTTTTTCCTCCAGGGGCATAGACCTGATTGCAAGCAGAAGGAGAGGCCCACTTCAGGTGGGAGGAGGGAGAAACACTTGGGCAAAACTCTGTGGATTAAACAAGCAAGGAGGCCAGGGTCTTAGCGTGGGAATGTTCAGGGAGGCAGGAGAGGATATATTGTTTAATGATATCCTTCCTAACTTGTGTTAGCAAGTTCTGTATCTTAGCAGAGTAACATTCCCCTTTAAACGCACAGCGGTTTGCTTGTTGCAGGCTTGTCTGAGCCTCTCAATACCTCAGGTTACATACGCTTCAGGTTACATATGCTTCAGGTTACAGACTCTGCTAACTCAGAAATAGTACCTTGGGTTAAGAACTTTGCTTCAGGGTGAGAACAGAAATCGTGCTCCGGTGGCGCGGCGGCAGCAGGAGGCCCCATTAACTAAAGTGATGCTTCAGGTTAAGAACAGTTTCAGGTTAAGAACGGACCTTCGGAACGAATTAAGTACTTAACCTGAGGTACCACTGTTTAAGATTCCTGGTAAGGCCCCTTATTGTCCCTTTTAAAAAGAATAGAAACAACAATCTTATGAAAGTCAACATAAAAGTAGTTTACTCACAATCTTTCAGTTCACAGTTAGATCCCTGAAGGCAGACTTAGGTTGCAAAAGTACAGAACTACATGAACTATCCCATAAAGGAGTTAGTCCCAAGTGACTGCGACTGAGCAGTCACTTCTCCTAACACATAGGAAAACAAAATGGAGAAGAAGACAGCAAGAGAAGAATGTGTGCTCCTTCTTGCCCGGATTAGGCCCCTCTCTCACACACACAGGCCTCTAGTCGCATGCAGAGGAAGTTTGTCACAGCTCAGGAGGAAACAGGAAATTTTATCCTGACTGCATACAAAGCACCCCCTTGCATGTTCATTCTAGGAATGTTGTACTTGACTGCTATGTGTTTCACATCCCACACTTGGATGCAGCAGCAGGGGATTTCTGTTGCCTTTGCGCTGCACTTGTGGGCTTCTAGTAGTAGAGCACTTTCTGCATGCAGAATGTCTCCCAGGTACAATTGCCAATGGGCCTCTCCAGGACTGGAAGAGACACCTTGGAAGAGACTCCCAGGGCCCTCAAATATTTTAGTAGGGGGTCTGAAGGGACTTCGGACTCTAGGAGTTGGCTCCTATGGAGCGAATATTCATTCAGAGCTTTTAAAACGTGTTGGAACAGTTTCTTAGGATGGAAAGAACATCAAAGGGGAGGGATTACATTGAAAGAAAAGCATGTAAGGTTAAAAAAGATGAACCCGTTTGTTTTATTGCTGGAAAGATATGTTGCTTTAAAAGTTTGCCTAAGGATAAAAGTAAGGGAAAGGGCAGGATTGCACCATTAATTGATAAGAGCAGTTGTGTTCTGTCTACCTACGCAAATAGCTGAGGACAGATGATCACTCCTGGGATTCCCTTATCATGTGGATAGACAGGAAACTGGTTTTTGCCCACACTGCTGAAATCAACAAGTTGTAGCAGTAGAGTGGTTCAAAACTACACACCTAGTAAAATTATCCATTTCATAGTCAGTGTGTGAAACAGTAACAAAAAGTCATGAGTAACAAACTTTCCTCTTCATGTAGCAAGCGATGAATGCGCTGCTTTTCCTGGCTGCTTGCCATCTGACAGATTTCTGTGTTATCTGGCAGGTTGCTTACTGACAGCACAAGCGGAAGAAGGTAGTCCAAAGAAAGTAAACAGAAATAATTATTTTCTAAAAGCAGCAGGAGGTGTATCTGTTCCCCCCAAAAGCCAGAGGAGCAAATAGGTGGGATAAATGGGTTAAATAATAACAATGAACATAGCAAATACAGACAGTGGGTATGTTGTAATATTTGTCTGGCCCGAAGTCCCCAAAAGTAGAAGTAGCACTTATTACAGTGAAGGGCAGACAGAATAATAGTTTGTTTTTTTTAAAAAAGAGTGGCTATGTTTATGAGAGACTGCTCAATATGGTGATTAGGACAATTAATGCTCTTTCTCAGGGTCATCCCCCCCATCTTAAACTTCAGTAGGCAAGAAACAACCTGGAGGGAACAGGGATTTCAGTTTGTAGTGTGCTTGTACTATTGTAAGTTTCCATAAGGGGCTGTGTTTTGTCAGTGTCAACATTCAAGCATGACACACAATTATCTTGACTCGGTGACGTTGTGTTTTAAGCTCTCTGTACTTTTCCATGTCAATGTGAATTCATATTTGCCTAATATTGTGACTAGAAAATATCTGAAAGGGCATTCAATTAAATCTTCCGCTGGAGTAAGAACTCTGATCCAAACTGCAATATTTGGCGGAGGTGAGGGGGGGGGAGGCATCTGCTTTTTTAAAGAAAATACTTTTTTTAAAAAAAGTTTTTGTAGCAAAACAAACAAACCCCTGAATAGGATGTGGGCAGGGGAAATGGAAACTGTTCCTTTCTAACAAAGAGGCTTTTCGTTACAGGCTGAGCTAGTATAATTGCCATGGTGATACATTTCCAAACATAAAACAAATTTATATGGCTGAATATGTTGCTTCTTTGTTGTTTTGTCTCCTTCATATGCACGTCCAAACCAATATAGGTGGTTTTGTATCCCCAACATCTCCTCCCAGTGCCATAAATATTTCAAATCATCCCTATTCCCTACCCATCCAATCTGCCTCTTTAAAAACAAAACCCCAAAAACCTGTCTGTCTTGTAGATAGTTTCTGCACTAGGTTGCCACTTCAGCAGTGATCTTTAAATGGGTTGGAGAAACTGCTGTGCAGTCCCGCCCCACCCCTTTGTTTAGACAGGATCAAGGGGTCTGCAATGGATTTTGACAAGGGAAAACCCACCTGTCCATCATGTGGAAGCAGTGACATCATGTGATTGACAAGTGGATTGCCCCACCCACCTGTAAAAGTTGGTCTACAAGTTAGTTCCCCAAAAAGTTTCTCCGTTCCTGATTTGTATAATATACGTGAAAAGCAAGAGTAACACTTCATGCATCTGTTGAAGTGGGATCCAGTTCAGAAAGTGTTTGCTACAGGGACTCATCTATAGTGGGGCAAAGATACTATAGTCCACCCACCCCAAATTATGTTGTTCAACATGTAAACTCCTTGCAGGCAAGGACCTTTCTCTTTTTGCCTGTGAAGGCCAGGAAGGCGCTAGGTGCACTGTACAAAGAATAATAAGCACATTTTCTCGCTGAGACACATCTTGCCATAATCGGCATAATCTGTTTGCCTGGCAGAGTTCTGTTTGGGAGGATGTCACTCTTTCGAACCAGGAAATTGCCAGCTTCACTTGACTAAGGCTTTAATCCCTTTCAGGCCTCAACAAAGAATAAATACAGATGGTATTTTCACCCCTCCCCTTGCAAAAAAAATTTCCTATCTGAAGGTGCTCTGGACTGTGTCTGAAACTTGTTATGCAGCATTGCCTGTGAAAAATGAAAGAGGAGAGAGGACATAAACATATGAATTCAGAAGCGGCATGTAGGATGACTCAGCGCTGTTGCCATTCCTGACCCCACTCAGCATAGATAGGAGTGGTATTAAGGAAAAGGGCAGTTTCTACAGGGCCTTTTTACATCCACGCACAGCTGATATCCAAGTGATGTAATGATGTGATACAGGAGATCTGAACAACCCATTTGCAATACAAGTCACTCTCTTCCCCCATCTGCAAGCACCAAGTTTGCCTTTTCCCTCTTCCGCATCCTTGCCAAATCCCTTTCTTTTTGTCTCATGTCTTTTAGATTGTAAGCCTGAGGGCAGGGACTGTCTTATCACTGACATCTGGAAACCACTCTGGAGGCCTTTTTTTGGCTGAAAAGCAGGTGTGTTTTTAAAAAAATGCTTTAAAGTTCCTATTAACATTGTGTGACCTCCAGACAGTGGAACTGAGAAGGGATTGACATACTTCTGGCAACCATGACAACAACCAGCACATCAACAGTGCTTGTATTCCCATTATCTCAGTGCCTCTTTTATTAGGTCCAACAGACCCAGGTGTGGCTAAGGACAGCCTTTGGCAGGCTGGTGTCCTCTTCATAGACTATGTACTACAGCTCCCATCAGTCTCAGCATCATATGGCTGCAATGGCTGGGGATGATGGGAGTTCTAGTCCAAAACATCTGGAGGGCTCTGTGTTGGGGAAGGCTGACTTAGGATAACAAACAACAGAGATGGGTGGGGTTGGCCATGCAGTATAATCACATTGTCTGCCTGGAGGCATCTGACTGTCACTTGGTTGCCTGAAGACAGGGAGGGCAAAGTTGTTTTCTCCTGCCCAAAATGCGCTTGAAATAGAAGTGTCAGGTGGGGAGGATGCAGGAACAGCAAGTTGTTCCGAAGGTGGGGGTGATATATTGCGGATCTGGCTGAGCTGCTTGTTAGGCTGAAGTATTGGGAGAAACTGGATAAAAATCCAAACCATCTAGAGATCACCAGGTTGGAAAAGACAACGAGAGGTGGATCAAGTCAAACTTCTTTGATTAGTGTAAATGTGGCCTGCATTGGACATGCTGGTCTTTGGAGAGTGCTCAGAGAAAATCTAGGCCATGTGGGTGCAGGGAATTACCTGCCTTAGATGCTATGGGAAAGGGAATACAGGGCTGGATGGATCTGAGAGTGCAAATTTCAGGCATCAGGTTCAAATGGATTTATTTCAGGAGGCCTTTGCACCATGGATGCTGCTCTACTTTTTTTACTCTTATGTTTGGAACATACAATGAGTCAGACCACCAGTGGTGGCTTTATGATCTGTGGTGCCCTGTGTGCAGTCCGCATGGGGGGCCCTATTACCGGTAAAGTTAAAGGTAAAGGGACCCCTGACCATTAGGTCCAGTCATGGCCGACTCTGGGGTTGCGATGCTCATCTCGCTTTATTGGCCGAGGGAGCTGGCATACAGCTTCCGGGTCATGTGGCCACCATGACTAAGCCGCTTCTGGCGAACCAGATTAGTGCATGGAAATGCTGTTTACCTTCCCGCCGGAGTGGTACCTATTTATCTACTTGCACTTTTACGTGCTTTCAAACTGCTAGGTTGGCAGGAGATGGGACTGAGCAACGGAAGCTCACCCTGTTGCGGGGATTCGACCCTCCGAGCTTCTGATCAGCAAGTCCTATGCTCTGTGGCCACCCGCGTCCCATTACTGGTAGTTCACACAAATAAATTTGACTCTGTCAAGTGTATTCACAACAGAAACAAAATACCCACTTGGCAACCCCCACCCTGATGGACCAGCCTCCTCAGTTTCTCACCTATAAAATGGGAGTGGAATAGTGAGCTACAGGGCCTTGTGTAAGTGATCAAGATAAAGGTTGTCATGGGCTTGGCTCAATGAGCCTACGCACCTAAGACCACTCATTTGGGAATAAATTTAATTGAAATCACTGAAATATAGTTCTGAGTAAGCATGCAAAGGCTGCAAAAATGAGAAGACGTGTTGCTTTTAATCATCATCATAGCTAGCTATATACTGTATATATCACATTATAACCTGCGCTTCTTGAATAAAACTCTGGCGCTGAGAGCAGGGCATGGAAAGTGATGTTTTTTAGGCTGTTTGCATTGGTTTCAGAAAACATTTTGAAAGGCCAGAAAGGGGAAACTCCCTGTTACAGACACACTTCTGAGTCATACCATGTACTAAGATGGGAATAAATGACTCAAAATTTCCTGTGGATTTGCTTTAGCATTAAAGAGATCTGGCAATAATTGTGCCTCAGTGGGGGGAGGCTGGAATGATGGAGAATAGCACAGAAATTATGAAATGCTGTGCCTTTTATGGTTAGAAATTGTATATTTTGCTCCTTAAGTTGCAGGAGTCCTTAAAAACCTTGATCTTGTTTTCTATTCAAAAGTAGTAGTTTTTGCAGATTAATCTTTTCTAGGAAACATTCCAAACCCCACAGTCAGCAGTACCTTTGTTAGGACCAACAAAAATGCCTCAACCTTATTTTCATTATTTTGCCCCCAAACTGAAAAATGTCCTTACTGATTTGTATCCAAAAGCTTATAAGTTCATTTACTATTTTGTGAAGGTGCTGCCTGACTGGATTTTGGATTATTATTATTTTTGTGGATCATTCACACAGCTTATTTTGGCTTTTGTGCTGCCAAGAAATGTGTTTTTCTTAATGTGAATCATTAGTGCAATTAGTTCCACTTTATCAATTGACATTGTTCTGAATGAATTTAGTTCTGCTTTGTTCTGTGTTTTCAGTTTTTCCTGAAACACAAACCTGTCAATTTAAACTCTTTTTAAGAAAATCTTGCATACATTGGTCAGAAAACACCCCAAAGTTTGTTGGCTTGGTTCCTTAAGTGAACAATGCACCAGCAAATTTTATACAAACTTGAATGAATCACTCTTAATATCCTCCACAGTAGCGTGGGATAGAGTTCCAAGTTCAAGGATATTACTAAAGGATTTACAATAATGTATATATGTGAATATCATTCCTTGTCATTGGCTTCTTCAAATGCTAGACAGGCAATGAATGGCAAAGGGTTTTTGCTCTCCACTTTCTTGGGCACATTTGGAAATCTAGGAAACAGTTGTGGGCATCACAAAATACCCATTACATTAAAAGAAGGAAGTAAAGGTGACCTTGGTGGGCACCAAGCATGTTGTCTGAAGATTCCACATTGGGGATTTCAGCAAGGAACACTACAGAAACGTTAAGCTTAACTTTTCCTGCCACTTGTCAAAAAAGACGAATCAATGTAGAGGAACACAAGGATGGACATTTAGAAAAAGTGTGACATTGCCCAAGTATCAATAATAATGTGGTATTACACCATCTCTCATTCTCTAGAACAAACACACCAATTACTTCGCACACCTAATCCTTCTTCAAGAAGCAGTCATTTATTATGGAGCAAAATTCTTCACAAGTAATTAGCTCCCTCATTCTCATAAGAAATCTTATGAGGTGGGTTGTGCACACCCCCACTTTAAAGATGGAAAGCTGCGTCTGGGGGGAAATTATTCACCCGCGGTCAGGTTTCATCCGAGCCAGTACAAAATCCAGTTAAGAAAGCTGCAGAACACGTGGGCTAATCATAAAGATGGAAATTACTCTGAGCATGCACAGAATGCATTTCTGCTCCACCCATCAACCACAGCCTGCACTTGCACCTTTAGAATTGTGGGACAGGTTTTTCTGTGTATTTTCCAGGCAGCTTCATCCCCAGCACCCATTTTTAGAAGTATAGCCCTGCAGAGAGCTTCTGCTCCAGAGGCAGTTTCAACCCAGCTCTTGTTAAATCCAAACAGTTCTCATTTTCCTCCTCTCTCATATTTTGTAGAAGCTCAGTATTTATGGCATTGGCATTCAGGCTGACTGGCAAGAATGAAAACTTTTTCCTATTCAGTTTGGCTCCTATTAGATAGCTAATGACTTACATTCAATTTCATATCGTATAACCATTACAGCTGCTGCTTTCAGCAAACTCACAATTTGTAGAATAATTACTAACTCAAATGTACCAGCAAACTCATAAAGGGTGACATTTTATTCCTATGCAGCTGGCAAGGAGGAAAGTCCACTGAACATTGGCAGTGAATCTTCAATTTCTCCTTTATTCCCCCCTCTTGCAAAATTATATTTCTTTCCCCCCGTTTCAATCACAGTATAAAATTCCCTCTGGGTTCTTTCTCATCTGAAATAATGACCACCATTTTTCTTAACTTTCATAAACGGCTTTCACCCTCACAGTTTCTGCTATGTGTTGCCTCATCCTCACACAGGTGCCGGCGATGCACTTCTAACAAGAAGGATAACAAATATAGATACTTACATGAAGCGTATCTGTTTTTATAAGTACAAGTGGCCAAGCTGCATGTCCTGGCTGGTATCAGATGCTGATGCTGCCCCCAGAGAGTTGTCAGCTGCTTGCTGAAATGTGTCATGTTCATTACCTTCAGCTTGGTCAGAAAGACCATTCTGGACCAGCACCAAGGCCTCCTGCAGGGTCTATATAGCCAGAGGAACGAGTGCTCTCCCAACGCAAAGCTGGAATAATATGCAATGAGCGATCGGACTTAAATAAACCCAGTTCTGTTTATGAACTATTCTGATCACCCAGGGGCACACCCATTTGGTGGTGGTAGTGGTGGGGGGAGCCAAACAGATAGTTAAATTTCAACCCATCCCACAGCTGGATTCTTCATTGGTTCTAATTTTTGGTGGAGAGGCTGGACTCACCAGCTGCTGCCTGTGAGTTTTGCATATAGAAATGGCCCAAATAAATTCCCTGCCTTGCGCAGGACATTCTTCTGCAGAGTCCTGTGTGATGCTTTAGTGATTTGCATACCTTACTTTTCTTTTGCTTCTTTTTAAAGATAGTGTTGTTTGTTCAGTATCCATCCACACTGTTTACAGATGGCAAACAGGCAGATGAAGGACAAAGTACTTGTAGAGGGGGGCAATGGTACGAATATTGTTACACACCACTGCAATCCCTGAGCAGTGAGAGACTCTGCGGGTTCCAAGCGCTTACCCAGTGTTCATTTTTTGGGGAATGAGTGTCAGTGGAGACTGTGGTGTCTTTAGGATATATGGTTTTATTTACCCATGTATACAACCTGAGCATAAGATAGTGGGGCTCACTGCATTAACATTGCCATAGATATTGCTTTCCCTTTAGGTTTCCAGGGGAGCCCCAGCACAGAGCAAGACCTGTCTCTGTGTCTGTAGCTACTGTTTTCATATATGTACATATCTATATATATGTATTACACACAGAGACTACTGGTATATTTTTCACTTATAGTCTGCTTAGGTGAGGGGGTGCAGGAAAGGCTCACCTATTTGTTCTGTGAGCAACTTTTTTGGTTATGCTAAATTGTGCTATTTAACTAGTCAGTCCAAACCATTGAAAGAAGGAAATGGTTTGGTTGGTTTCCCCCTATACATTCTACCTTCACAGATGCAGAATTGCAGATTCTGGAGGGGGACCCAAGGTCCCATCCAGGCTGACCCTGCAAACTCATAACATTATGGATGGGATGGTCTTGGTGGAGGAGAGAACTGTTGCAATGTTGGCAATTGAGAAAGATGAAGACAAAGGTTGCTCCCTTCCACACCAAACCCCTTTGGAGTCACTGTCACTGCTCTTCTGCAATAAGTTGGGAGCAGAACTCAAGGCCAAGATCCTTTTATAATGCTTACTCACAAGCCAAGTCTTGTTCAACAAAGATCCCTGGCAACATCACTTCACATTTTATTGCTTTCTGTGTTTGTTGGGGACTTTGCTTCACTAGAAGGATTTCAGAATGGAACCAATTTCCCAATAAATGCTTTTTGGGGTGTGGAGTGGGATTGCAGACTGAGTGTGGACCACAAAGAAAAATTAAGTACTCTGTGTCTACTGATTCCAGAATAAAATGTTGTGTGAATGCAGCCTAAGAATGTCTTAAGAACTGGGGCCTCAATTTGCTTGTTTTCCTTCCCCACCTCACCTTCCTTTTCTCTCATGTATCTTAGATTATAAACTTGATGGAAAGGACAATTTTTTTTAACCTTTGTACAGTGCCTGGAAAACTTTGGCACCTTATATTTTTTTATTAATAATACACATGTAATGCTTTGAACTGTCACAATCTGCTATACATTCACTCATGCTATATAAAAATGTTAACTGTTTATGACAAGATTTCTTTTCTATCTTTTTCTGCTCTATATCTGTAGATCTGCTACAGGTTACACAGGAAATTACTACAGATTGTGAACATGTATGGTTTTTTGACCTCTTTACATGTGGCAACCTTTGCACTGACCCTTTGCAAAACTGTGTGCACCGAGAGTTAATTTTTTACATTAAATTGGTGCTTCCCTCCGGGGGTACGCAGAGGTATGCATACCCCCTAAACATTTTGTGAATCTAAGTTTGGCCTCATTGAGGGACAGTATTTCAATATGAGTAGGAAAACGAGAGTATCCCTAAACATTAAAAAGAAAAAGAAAAAAAGCAGTGCCTTAAATTATACACCGGGTATATAGAATTTGCTTTGAATAATAATATTTAAAAATGCCTTGAACTGATAAATGAGGTTATGGACAGTGTTTGTCAAACACTGATTTGCTTGGGAAAAGCAGAGAATCCAAGGGTCCTGCCATGGTTGACAGAAACTTAAAACATCAACAAATCTAGTATGGCATAATACATGTTGAGGAATAAAATCTACATGAAGTTTTATTTGCAGTTATTAGGTGTAGAAGTTGGAGGGACCTTGTAAGTTTCTGTAGATGAGAATTCCCATCAATAGATATGTGAACTGTCATTCTCATGAAGTGGACTGTAGCCCATGAAAGGTTATGCTGAAATGTTAGCCTTTTATGATGCCACATAGTTCCCCCTCTCTTCTTATTTGTAACCAGCGAGGCCAAAAGACAATGAATCACAATGGGAAGCTGCAGTTCAGTTACATTTGTATACATAATTCAACATATGCACCAGCTGTCCCAGTTTACCAGAAACAGTACCCTTTTCTTGCTACACTTGCCTTGCAAATTGCTATCCCTGTTTTGGCCATTTGCAGATGCCATTTCAATTATTATTATTTTGCATGAGATACCACGCTTCCAGCTCCAGCTCTTTACCTAGGAGCTCTAGAGTTACACCCACAACCTACATTTACAGCACATGGCTTCCCCTGAATAATCCTGGAAACTGTAGTTTCTTAAATGTGCTGGGTATTTAGTTGTGTGAGGGGTAAACCATAGTTCCCTGGAGTGCTTTTTTTGGGGGGGGGGGGAAACCATGTGCTTCAGATGAATGGCACTGGATGTGGTGCTGCTATCCTAGGGAGATTTACTTCATGAGTAAACATGAGTAAGAGTGTGCTGCATATAGAAACATGGCTTGACAATTTGTCTACCTGGCTTTGTAAATGCCTTAGAGATTTTTATGTATTTATTTTTTTAAGTGGTCTATAAATCTTGTTAAATAAGCAAATAAAATAAAAACAGAATGGTATTTGTACAAAAGCTTACGTTGGACTAAATTTGTTCACCTTTAAGGTGCTACAAGATAAATTATTTTGCTTTCTTACTGACCAGCACCAGCTTTCCAAGTTTTTCAGACAGGAGCCTTTCCCAGCCCTGGGACCTTTTGCATGTAAAGTAGGTGCTCTGTCACAGAGCTAGACCTTCTGCCACAATTCTGACTGGTTTTAACACCAAGCCAGTTCCTCCTTGTTGTTCAATGTATAGGACTAAGATATGGGAGACTATGATTCCAGTCCCCACTCAGTCGTGAAGCTCACTCGGTGACCTGGGGAAAATCGCTGTTTCTCAGCCTAACCTACGTCACAGGTTTGTTGTGCAGATAAAATGGGAAGAGGGAGAACAGTGAATGCCAGCTTGAGGCCATTGGAAGAAAGGCAGGGTATTAATGTGATAAAATGAAAATAATTATGTCTCTCTCCCTGTATATGTAATGTATCGGTCTCTGTCTATGTGTTTGAGCCACACACACATCATATATACAAAATCACGCTACACGCTTATTGAGGCTTTGAGCAATATTTGGCGGGAATGACAATCCGTGAAAACATGACCTAACCATCGCTCTGCTTTATTTCTGCCGCCTGGTGGCCTCAAGCTTTCAAACGCTGAGCCCAAAGCATCATTGAGCTTTACAACTACACTCCCCAGCGTCCACTTCTTCTTTCCCTGGTTACTACATCTCCCAGCATGCCTCGGGAGAAGCGAGCTTCACGGGAGTTCCCCCGCGCGCAAGGCCCTCCGGGACGCGTAGTCCAGCCGCTCGCCGGCTGGAGGCTCTGGCGTTGGGTTGGCTGCCGTGGACCAAAGGTAGGAGCCCTTCAGCGCGCGTGCGCGGCGCCTCGAGGCAGTCGAAGGAGAGCGGCGGGGCTTTGTGGCGCCTGCGCAGTGGCGACTCCGGAGGATCTCTCGCGAGGAAGGACGCCATTATCGCAGCCGCCCGACCAAACACCACGAGAATTCGGCAAGGCAAACGGTAACCTCGCTCTCCCCCGCGGCTGGGCGGCTGGCTCGGGTTGGAGCTCCTCGGCGCGGGCCTCGCGCGGCTCCCTCACGACGCCGGAAAACCCGCTCGGTTTCCCTCACAGCGCCTCGGCCGCTGGGCCGCGAGGGGGAGGCGGGAGGAGGGCGAGCGAGGGGCGGGGCTTCACTCTCAGCCTCTCACTCCCCCCGCCGCGAGCCGCTTGGCCCCTCCCCTCCTGGAACGGGAGGCGGGATTTCCCTGCTTATCTCTCTTTCACCGCCCCACCGCCTTGCACGAATTTAGATGATAAGACACCATTTATTTAGGATTATAAATGTTAAATATGTGTGCGTGTATCTGTCTGTTAGCTTCCTGATTTGCATATATTTGCATACCTCAATAATTCGCTTTTTTTTTTACACGGGTAAAATTACTCGTTTAAAAACGTAGGGTTGCAACTTTTTGATTTTCTAGATAATATTGATTGATCCTTATGGTTTCATCAGCGCGTGTGCTGGTGCCTTTTTTTAAAACAACAACAGCAACAAAATACAGATCCTTGCCCGGAAGGGCATGCATACCTACTGGACACAACACAGAGATAAGGTTATAATCTAATCTGCTTTCCCACAGAAGAACAGTGTTCAAGGTGGATTGTAGTATAGGAAGTGGAAAACCACAACAAGCATGTGTGATTGAGTAAAAGCAAATTTGAATAGGTTGAAAATGTGTCCTTAATTTGGTGGGAAGCCACTTAAATATATTTATTTACATATCAATGGGGTATTTTAGCCTGCAGAAGCCTGGTGTCAGTCCTGCCACCAAGGGTTTGTTCTGTTGCTGTGCCTGGGCTCTGGAGTATCAGCTACCTCCCTGACAACATTTTGTCATCACTTGAAGATTGCTCTGTTCTGAGAAGCATTTGGCTTGTTTGTTTTTGATTATTTGCTGTTTCTGTTGTATTTCTGTTTTTCAGTATGTGTGTACACACACACACACACACACACACACGGGATCTCCTAACCTTAGAACTTAATAATATTGATAATAGGATACTTAATTCATCTTGTCATGATGGAGTCTGAGTGGATAATGTTTAGAAACACATTCAAACTACCTCTGTTTTGTAGTCTTCCTCTTATTAACTCCGAGATTTGTCCTTTGCTACCAATGTTTCATTGCCAGTTTCGTCCATTTTAACCTGATGAAATATTTTTACACTTGTTCAGTTATTGTCAAAAGGCTAATTGAACGTTACAATTTCAGTAATGTGCACATGTTGGAACAACAACCACGTGAAATTTTGATTGTGACACGATGCAAAGAAAAATCCAATGAAAACATGTTTAATATTTTGTAACCATATTTATCCTTGGCTGGACTTGAAGTGAATGCACTCCTTTTGATTAAGCTTGACGTGAATACAATACATAATCTAGTTTTAGGACAAGGATAGGGAATCTTTGGCCCTCTGGATGTTCATTTGGGAGGATGGAAGTTGTAGTCCAACAAAATCTCCTGGAGGGCCACAGGTTCCCTATGCTTGCTGTAGGGCAAGCACATGTTTTCTAGGCTCTCACTCCCCATTGTTGATATAAGCTAAACTTCAGTGATCTCCAGGCTACTTTACAATTTTGCAAAGTTGTAACTGGCAAGTTTTGCATAGAACTGGGATAGGCAACTTGTTTAGTGTTATTAGAAAGTGAGATGGGCCACAATGAAGCTTGCTGCAAGTTTATTATAGGTAACTGATTGTTAATACATAATATTATTTAGATAATTTCTCACAACCTAGTTAAATGCCAGGCGTGGAATGTAAATGTGTTGTATTTCTGTCTTCTATAATGCGGAACTTGTTTATACTGTGCTCTCAGTATGCATAATATGATATGATAATAGAGAAAAAGGGAGCTTACAATTTATCCAACCAGAGCAGGAGAAGCAACAGAATAAGTCTGGAAATGGAAGTGGCAAGTGTTGCAAACTGTAGCCCTTAAGGCATCCTCATGGGTCATAAAATGGGATTACAGTGGTACCTCTACATGCGAGCGGGATCTGTTCCGGAGTGCTGTTCGCATCTAAAAGCAAACGTAACTCGCGATAGCACATCTGCACACGTATGCGTCGCCTTTTGCCGCTTCTGTGCATGCACGTGATGTCATTTTGAGCGTCTGCGCATGCGCAGGTGGCGAAACCCGGAAGTAACGCGCTCTGTTACTTCCGAGTTGCCGCGGAGCGCAACTTGAACGTGCTCATCTCAAAGCACATTCAACCCGAGGTATGACTGTACAAGTGAATTGTTGCACCCTGTTTACATTTCTTAAGTGCCATAACATTTGCCCTCAAACTACACATTGCCAGAGAGTGAAGTCAGTTGCATGAAACTGTTTAAATTCTTAACTCCAAACACACGAATAATGAAATGGGATTTGAAAGCAAGAAAATTAGTTCAGCTGCCATTGCAAAACCTGCTTGGAACCAGGGTCTGTGGGAAATGCAAATACTATTTATTGTACATATATTTATGGTCTAAAAAGGAACATGAAACTGCCCTCCCTGCTGGAGCCATGCAGGTTTGGGTCAGATCAGTACCTGCAAACCACATGTATGCCACTTGGGGTTCCATGATGGAAGAAAGACAGGCTATAAATATAAGAAAAATAAATTAGGGGGAAGGAGGCAGATTACTGTTCTTTGAATATTGATGAATTGGGAGGTATACAGAAGAATAGTTCAGAGGTAGCATTTGCCTGCTTTGTGTGCAGACAGGCCCAGGTTCAATCCCTGAGGAATCTTTGATTGAATCAGGGTCAGTGGGAATGCTGGTGGGAAGGACTCTTCTGATTGCCTGAAACCACTCAGAGAGCTTCTGGTCACACAAGACCAGAGTGTACTAAATGGACAAATAAACTGACCTGATAAAAGGCAAATTCCTACATTCCTGTGAAGACTAGTCTATGCCCATCCTTGCTGAAATAATATTTCTTTTTTGCTTGGATCCATTCCTCCTTTTCACTGGTGTAGGGTCAAGATAATCTCTCCTATGTTGTTGCTTCTTATTTACTGCTTCTTTCTGTTCACACCATTATCCTTTCATCTTTACCATCTTAAACAGAAAAAGTGTAACAAAAGAGTGCTATTTGGATTTGCAGCTGCATAGTTCACCTGTTTTGTTTGTTTGGTTTTGCTGCTCAAGACACTTGTGATGCATTCTGCAAGGACATACTGGTTTTTCACCAGATGGCGCTCTTCCCTTGAAAATTATGAGGAACAAATGTATTACTGTACAGTATATTAAGTTCTATTTTTCTAGGAAAAGAGGTGCTGGAACCATGAACACCTCCCTCATTCCCTTAGAATGGCAAATGGCACCCACCTGAGAGGTGCCGGAACTGAGTTCCTGGGTTCCCCCTGAAAAAAATCCCTGATTATATTGATAATACAATACAAATTTGACATACTAGCCAATCATTGGCTCTAACAATCGCTTTCAAATAGCTTCAGTTTTGTGGGTTCTTTTTTAAACTGTTGGTAACCTTCTGAAGGATATTTAAAACACAACCTTTGTTAAAATAAATATTTAAACTCAGAACTGTTATGCTGTGTAATTTGTTTTGATGATGTCAATCCAATCAGTTTGGCAAAGTTACTCCATAATCTTTGTTCGGATTCCCTGAAGTGGATTTACAAGTACAAGCAATTTCTGTTCTCCCTGCTCAGTGATCTGCATTGTTAAAATAACTATGCAGAATCCAAGTGTGACTTTTGCAATTGGATCTTGTCCTTGCTTTGTTGTTGTTGTTTAGTTGTGTCCGACTCTTCGTGACCCCATGGACCAGAGCACGCCAGGCACTCCTGTCTTCCACTGCCTCCCGCAGTTTGGTCAGACTCATGTCCTTGCTTACTTATACGTAAATTTCTGATAAAAAGAAAAACTGCTCCCTATAGGTGTGTTAAGCATTGCAGCCTTAGTTTCTCTTCTTTGTTCCTTCTTTTTGTACTGTTCATTAACTTGGGGTGAAAAGGGGTTAGACATATGGTTTAAAGTGTTGAAACAGTATATTGGAAATGTGTGAGAGCACGCCCTTGGCAGCCTAAAACAGTAATGGCATATAGTGCTTGGGTTTGTTTTAGATGGCTGAAGGCTGTGAAGCAGGCTGAAGTACTGGAACTCAGCTCTCTCTCCATGTGGGGCTGGGTTCCAGTCCCACAAGATTCCCTACAGCTGTGTTTCCCAAACTTAGAATAATCGCATAATGCTTTTGAGAGTTTAGTCTCACTGGCATACCCTTTCTCTGGCAAAGATAACTTGGAGGGGAGGTAGTTTTAATAATACTATTTTATCTAGACCAGAACAAATTCTGCCATGTACCCTTTGAAAGCCTTTTGCATACCCCTGAGAGTATACCACACTTTGCGGAACTTCACTACAGGATAGGAGCTTACCCTCTCTGCTCTCCTCCCCACGAAAGGTGTATTGCCGGGGGGGGGGGGCTTTTGCTGTCTCTAGATACTGTGTGCTCCCAGCCCCATCTATATATGTGGGTCAGGGTTTGGAGTATGCAAATACCATTGGGGAAAAGTTAAGCAGAGTTCCATTGTGGGACTTGCTTCGTCATTCTCCCAGTCCATTGGTTTAATCTTCATAACACAGATGGACAGTGATACTCTTGAGTGCAGCAAACAAAATACCATCATTTTCTTCTCGCTCTTATTAATTGATAATGTGTGTCAGATGGTCACACTTTTTAGTAAATAACTAAAAAAGAATACACCGAATTCTACTTTAAAGTGGCAATCTTCCTATATTCGTTTTAAGTTTCTACAGTTCTCTCCCAAGCACTGCCCACCCCCAACCCACCCCCATATATGGCAAGCACCCATATCCCCCCAAAGTATTAGTTTTCTGCAGCATTCTAAAAAGAGATCCTTTATTTAAAGAGTTAGTGTAAATTCTTTGGATAATTTGAAGTAAGATGTATCCAGGTTGTTTGCACTTCAATCAGCATGTACAAATATTGTGATTTACAGACAAGTTGACTGCCGAGAAATGTTTCTTTGCCTTTGCTGTGAACATCTAAATGGCCAAGAACATTTGGTAAATACAAACCATTTGTCCACCACAACTCCTTCCCTTTCTGCACCAGTCATACAATCTTATTTTTTGCTAATATTTTGTAGGGCACTTCTGTTTGAAGGCTGTACATATTAAAGGCTAATGCCGCAGCCTCTGTAAAGGGTTGAAATGGAGCAGAAGTTTTGCTTGTGTTCTTCCTATGTACCTATGACCCAGTGCCTGTGATGATACTGGGTGATGTTGCCCTGTGTCCATGGGCTGGTGTGGTGCCAGGAAGAGAGACAAATCAAACCACAAGGCCATGTAGATTCACAGTATACCGTATTTTTCTGTGTATAACACGCCCCCCATGTATAAGACGCCACCTATTTTTGGGGACTCCAAATTAAGAAAATGGGAGATTGCCCAGACCAGAGTTGTTGAGCTTTTTTTGGGGGGGGGGGGCTCAGACAAAAGCCGCCTATCTGTCCCCTTGCTGGCAGAAGCTGCCAGTCGCCCAACCAATTGCCGCAGCGACAACCGATAAAAACTAGCCCTTGATGCAACCACCAATAGCATGCCCAATAACTGCTGACAATCTCCAGCTCGCAGCAGCAACCAATCCCAAGTCCTCCCTATACACATTCCGTGTATAAGACAACCCCCATTTTTTAACATTTTAAAATAAACAAACTTCGTTTTATACACGGAAAAGTGCGGTAATTTAAAATTGCAGATTGGGTTCCTAAGAAAATTACAATGGTGTTTGCCCTTTTAGACCTCCCCAGTGCCAGAGAAGCACAAGTGACCTTACATAAACAGGGAACATAACAAGGAGTGGATAATGCACGTTTAGATTTCTGCATAGGAGTGAAATAGCATTACACTTTGCACAAATGAATGTATAGGGTAGATGTATTTTGCCCTTAAAGCAAAATGAGGTAATGAGTGCAGAGGCTGTGGTTGTTGATAAATGGTTTCTTTTAATTGCCATTTATCAACTTGGAGAGGTTGAGGGTTCTTGACCACTTCAAAGACCACTCAGTAAGCTTTGTGACTGAATGGGGAGCAGTGTAGAACACCACTCTGAAACTGTTCAGTGCCCTAGTGCAGAGAGAAGAAACGCCTTGGTGCACCTGCAGCAGTGAAACCAGCCGCCTTCATCTACCCCACCTGCAAAACATACATTTTTCTCATATCGGTCTCTACAGCCGCAGAAGATGCTGTAACTCTCCCAGTGGTTTGATTTCACTCTTGAATGCACACTCTTCCACAGTCTCCTGAGTACATATTGTACATATTGGGCAGCAGTCCCACAAACACTTACTTGGGAATAGGTTCTATTGAACTTTCTTCCATGTAGGCTGCATCTATGTAAGCCAAAAGAGGCATTGGTTGCCTCTCGGTATCTTTTTGGCATCTCAAGGCCTTTGTACTGCCTGTAAATAGAAGCTTCCAAAAGCACAGGTGTAGTTTCACATGACAACTCTGTCAGATCAGGCCAAGGCCCTTCCAGTATGGCATTCTGGTCTCAGACTAAATGCCGATTTATGTTCTGTACTATGCAGGCTTTTGATGAATTTTTGATGATTATAGTTGTGATTAAAATTAGTAAGAATCCGAAGTAGGCAAATGAGGATTGGAAGAACACATTAAATTCTGAAGAGCCAACATTTAGGGGAAAATGCCTCACGGAACTGAGAAAACACCAACATGAATGACTAGTTGCCTAGGGTTTTCCCAGTCCAGACGCAAGCAATTTGAAAAATAGCTCTATATGGAGGCAAGAAGGAAGGCAAAAACTAAGAAGAACTGCAGTTCTGTAATCTTGAGACTGGACACGTTTGGCTTCCACTTTGTAGTTTTATGAGGGTGCCTGTGTAGCATGAAATCTCTCTTTCCAATGAGAATCCTTTTGAGGTTCTACATCTTAATTCTACCCTTAAAAGTCATGCAGAAAAGGCCCTCGGAGAACTGGCAGGGCTCTGCTTACAATGCGGTTGACCTTCTTTTACTAAAGGGCTGCTTTTTATTATGTTATGCCTATTAATCAATGTTACAATATGTTGAAATATGATGTAATTGGTTAGGGAGCAATGGGCTAGCATGAGATGACTAAGATCTAGCTGCCAACAGGTCTGCCGATAGGAGCCAAGTGTAAGGTTTATAAAGTTAGAACAAATCACAGAGGTGACTGGGTTTGTAAAAGAGCGTTCTTAGCTGTTTATGTCAGAGCTGGATGAAGGGCAAGTGGGCTACTAAAGGAAGATTTGGCTGTCAATTGGTGCCTGGGAAAGGAAAAATGATGCATTGAATAACCATGACAGCTATGTGTTAGAATGTTCATAAATTCTCACTTCTCACTGGACTTATTTCATCTTTTTTTTGTTTTGTTTTTTTTTAATACCAGGAAAGAATTTCTGTTTGTGCAGTAAATTACTACAGTACCACAAACATGCATGATAGAAGAAAATTGGTTCGGAAGGCAGTTAGTTATGCGACTAGAAAAGCCAAGAATTACACTTCAATTAAATACCCTTTAAGTACTGGAAAAACCTTTGTATCTTGACACGTAGCTTCTTTTTATTAATTTTAGTTTATTTTGTATGTTTTAGAATAACTGTGACAGGTTTCAAATGCTGAGTATAGTTTTTTGGATTAAGATGTTGACAGAATGTTATGATTGCACTTTTTAAGCTGTAAAAATGTTTGGGCAGTTCTATTTTTAAACTGATATGGCTTTTGATACCTAGTTTTATTTTGGAATAGGAAATAATTACAGATTTTTAGATGACATGATCAAGAATTTAGGTGCCCACACTGAAAAAGCAGAGGCCATTGTCCCCAGGTGCCCGGGATCTCTCTCTACTCATGTTTTTTACCCTTAAAACAGCAAAGGATGGCAGCTGTGAAGGATGTACAGAATTTATTAGACTTTCCCCCTATATTTCTATTACTGTTATATCTGTCACTTGGAACCAAAGTTAATAGACAGAGACATTGTTGTAAATATGGATCCCGACCCAGATTTTTAAAGCCGCCAAAAATATGACAGCATGAGTATTCATTGACCTTTTCTGCTTTTGTGAAATATATTGTGGGCTTTAGCCCACATATGTTTACACCATGCTAACTAGGAAACCTTAAACATGCTTCTTCAGAAGTAAATCCCGCAGAACAGACATACTCTCTATTCGCAGGGGCCAGCAAACTTTTTCAGCAGGAGGCCGGTCCACTGTCCCTCAGACCTTGTGGAGGGCCGGACTATATTTTGGAAAAAAATAATGAACGAATTCCTATGCCCCACAAATAACCCAGAGATGCTATTTAAGTAAAAGCACACATCCAATCATGTAAAAACACCAGGCAGGTCCCACAAATAATGCAGAGATGCATTTTAAATAAAAGGACGCATTCTACTCATGTAAAAACACGCTGATTCCTGGACCGTCCGTGGGCTGGATTTAGAAGGCGATTGGGCTGGATCTGGCCCACCCATGCCCTAGTGAATGTATTGGGGATTGACGCTTACAATTCCTTAAACCTCAATGGTGACACAAGACCCTCTATTTCTCTGCAACAGACTTACATGACTGCTCCTGGGTTCGCTGTTAGTGTTCTCTTACCTTGGTATGTAAGCTATTTTTCAGGCTGAGGACTGCATTTCCTTGTAGGTAACCCCCAGGGTAGGAGTGGGGGGCAGAACACGATAGTGATAGGTGGGGCCAGAGGTGAAGTAGGGTGGACCGACAGATGCAACTCTCATCTTTGTACAATGGCAAACATTCTGGCCTTGTGAGGGCTCATGGTTTCTACTGAGGGCATGGCACTCAAAATGGGGATGTCACATTTCAACTGGGGCAGTTGAGGGGTATGGGACACATTCCAGTTTTGCAAAAGCACTTAAATGCCTGGATAAGAGCTGCTAAGGGGTGGCTTGTTGAAAGAAGTGTGGGGCCTGGGAAGATTTCTTAGGGCCTGGTAGAGAGCCCTAGAGTATTCATTCTGCTCCTAGGCCAAACATTCTCCACCCCTCATATAAACTGTCATTTCAGTTTTACAAAATGTGGAGATGGCCAGAAGATGTAAATTGATAGAATTCTGTGTGATACATCCCAATGATGTCATTTGCCGAATACCTGATGATCTTCATGGATTTTGATTTTTTCTTTAAACTGTGACCCAAAGCATGCTTGGTTGAAAGTTAGTTCAGTTTAAGAGCTTATTGCCAAGTTGCATATGTTTTTAGGATTGAGGTTCCAGTAAGGAATGGATAACTGACAGCTCACAAATCAACTCAGGCCCAATTTTTCTTGGCCTTCGGACACTTAATGAAATTGAAATAATTTTCAGTTTTCATTAAAATGAAAAGCAAACACCTCAGTACTGCATAGAATAATAAGCTATTTTTGTGGCTTTGGAGCAAAGTGTGGAAAACACATCTGTGACAAAGCCCAAGGCAAGATTTCTTGAATTGGGAAAAAGACTCAGCTGAGTGCTATCCGCATATGGTACCAAGTTGAATTTGAAATGGATAAACCAATCTTATGCATAAAAATCATCTTACCATGAAAAGGAGGGGAAATGCCTTTCTTATAACTAAACAAACAAAACTAAGCGTGGGTAACAAAACAATGTAGTGTTTTCAAAATGTTTTGGGAAGTAACCCAAAGCAGTCCCATGCATTGCCCTCCTGGTGGGGGGCTGCCAGGAACTCATTGCCACATTGAGTCCTCTATGTTGGGACAGCTATTGGCAAGGCTGCTATGTGGTATTTCAAAGGCACTTTATCTTGTCTGTGGGTTTTCCATGAGGCATTAGGTTGCATCTTATGGACCTTTAATCTGATTTAGGAAAGCTCTTATGTTCTTAAGTTCTGTTCAAGATATGCTGGGCAAAAAGAGAACCTGTACAAGAGCCCAAATATTCCCCAATTTGCTCCAAAAGTTGTGTAATCAGGCAGGAGACACTTGTGAGTGCGCCTATAAAATTACAAAAGGTGCTTGACATGAAGAAGAGCATAAACTGAAAAATGGAGCAGGACCAGCTCGTCTTAATGTGCAGTCCTATAATATGCTTTATATGATTCATACTTTCCAATTGTTTTATTTTTAAGAAAAGTAGGGGACTAGGCTGATTTCTTCTCCCTTGGCAGGATGCAAAATTGATTCCTAAGCCTGATAATTACCCAGCATTGCTTGAGAACTGTCTGCCTATCTCTCTTAGTGGAGATAATAAAATACCAACCTCTGCATAATAAGCCATTACTAAAGCATTTTATTTTATTTTATTTTATTTTATTTTATTTTATTTTATTTTATTTTATTTTATTGCAGAGGAGGAACATATTATAAAACACAAAACATATAGTGGTGTTTGTCACTGCAGAAAAGGCCTTTGATAGACTGGAATGCAAGTAAGCAGGGAATGCAATTTATCCTAAATAATATCTGGGTTATCTTTTAAACATAAATACCCAGGATGAACAGTACATTTTCAAATTGAAGCTTAAACTTCAAGCTAAAAACCCAAGGATAAAAGGACACTGTAAAAATTGGTGTGACCTCTTGGTGAACTGCTCTGCATGTGGAACACTGACTACAACTTTATATGATTTTGGACTCTCTTGTTGCTCACCAGAACCTGCAGTATGGTGATTGTAAAATACACATGCATACATATGTCAATATTACTTTAAATTGCGGGACATGTATTGTGTTAATCTGTGTGAATTTTGATTTTCTTACGAGTAAAGGAAGATGAAAAGCGGAGGGTGGGGGATTTTGACTTGTTCTTTCCCTTTTCTTAATGCATGGATTGAAATATTCTTTCCCTTCAAGTTCAGGGCAGGGCTTCCAATAGCTTGCAGTTAGTGACAATATGAAACAGTAATCCTAGCACAGCTGTTTTATTATGTTACGACTGGCTATTTTCCAGGACTTCTGAGAAATGGCAAACTTAATTTGCCAAAATGATAGAAATGGCAACCACATGCCCTAAATCTCTTGCTAGGTTACTTGGGCATGTTGCCACAGCGAATGCAATCACAATAGTTTTCACGGTGATCCGAATTTCAAATGAATCTCTTGGCAGCAGAAGTGTTTTGAGTAAGTGCCTCCAATACCGTGTAGTGTCCTCATTTGGAAGACTCTAGAATGCATCTATTTTTTGTAATGAGCAGCTGCTGCCTTGGCTGGTCCAGGAACCTGGGCGATGCTGTGGTGTTCTCCACCTGCCTGTTTTAATTGCATTCTTATATTTGAGCAGAAGAAGGGAAAAGTCGTTGTGTGCAGTTGGCTTTGATTCAGTGCTAGTGGTTAATGATAAATTGCCATTTCCACTGGCAAATGAAGTTTATTTCCCCAATATTTTTTTTGCTTCAGGTATTGAAAAACCCCCTCAATCTGCCTGTTCTTCTCTCTCTCTCTCTCTCTCTCTCTCTCTCCATTTCTCCCCCTCCTCCAAGTGTGGGAAATGCAGATGTGGATTGCTCTAGCAATTTTAATTCAGCTTTTGGAGGCTGGAGATTTCCTTTAATAAGACCTCTAACAATCCCTGACAGGGAACTCCAGGGGGACAGTGCTGAAAAATGTTTGGCTCTAGAACCAGAGCTGAATGCTGGGATTGGAACTGAATATTGCAGGAGCTGAATTGTGGAAACTCTGGAGACTGGAGAGAGAAAACTGATTTAATTCAAACCAAAGCAGCTTCCAGATCTCTTTTTGTGCTGACAAAGAGAGCCTACAACAGCCTTCCTCAACCAGGTGCCCTTCAGGTGTTTTGGATGCTGCTGCATGATGCTAGGGCTGATGGCAGTTGTAGTTCAAAAAATCTGGAGAGCACCAGTTTGGAGAAGACTGGTTTATGAGAATGCCTCTCTCTTTGGCATAATTCCTCATATATCTGTGTGTACAGATGTACTGGATCAGTCCAGGACAAGGAAAGAGGACTTAGGGAAGGAAGTGGCAGAGCGCAAGCCACTCTATCACTTGATTGCAGTAAAGACTAGTCCCATCCTCTCCTCTTTCCTGCAATCCACCATGCTGCCCCAATCTGCTCTAGAGAGTTGGTGTATTCTCCAAGACAGTCCGGGGGGTGGGGTGGAGGGCTGCGGGGGGCGGGGGTGGTGAGGAGAGGAGAGGAAGGGAGAGTTCTATTGCAGAAGTGGAAGTCTTCTTGTGTGACATTTGAGTTCACCTCTTACTTTAATTTTTAATCTTTTGTCTGCTTTGAGTATTATTGATTTCTTAGTCTTCCTTGGGGATAAGGTGGGGTAGAATATTAATAAATAAATGCCCTCTTGCTTAGAAGAGAATAATAGAATCATAGAATTATGTCGGTGTTACGAGTATGCATGTTACAGTGTCTGCATCATCTAAAAACAAAGTTCCTCCTTTAGAACTATTGCTTGCCTCTATATACACATTTAATTTTCTAGAACTCTGCTGACTTCCTGGGAAGCAAGCACCATTGAACTTAGTGGGACTTAACGTCTGAGTAGACAAGTATAGAATTTCACTGTTAAGCTAAAAAAAGGAAGATGTCAGCAATCATTTCTTTAACTGTCCTAGAATATTAATATAAGCATGAAAATGGTGGGAAAAATATGTCTGCCACTATTTACGCACCTCTTATGGTTTACATTAGAAGGCAAATTGTGCAAGTATGTTGTGGTAACTAATTTCAAGATGAAGAGCTTTTGAGACTGTCCTCACAATGAGTCATCCAAGGGTAAGAAAAGGGTAGATTTTTCTTCCCTTTTCTTCCTTTTTCTTCTTATGAGTGCAGTGGGAAATTCTAACCTTAGCATTTAGTAATTGTGAATATTGAGTTTCTCTCTCTCTCTCTCTCTCTGTGTAGAGAGAGATTTCAGATTGCTATAGTAATATAATCATGTATATGCAGCATGAATTATCTGCCTATTGTTGCTGTTGGAGACAGTGCTGTACTAAATGACCGATGGAAACCTGGTTCTTTATGAGGATCAATGGGATGTTTTCTAAAAAAAAAGAGAAATGAATAAAAATCTTTTTGAAAAAGCTCATAAATATGATTTGAACATACTCTTACCCCCTTGTGACATATGGTGACTCTTGAATCCACTGTGTTTATTACAATTTCTTCTTAACAATGTTTTACAGGATCAGATTTGCATGAACTGATACATCTCTTCAGGACCAGCGCTGCTGCCTGTTTCTGAATGATGACAGAACAGGATTTAGCTGAGGTGGTTCAAATTGCTGTTGAGGACTTGAATCCGGATCATCCAGGTATGCTGTTGGAGGGGACACACAGTGGGAGATGTAACACGGAGAGGAATAAATGCAAAGGCTGTTGGTTGCATGTATGTTTTATTATATGTCTTGTACAAATGAAGAATGATGATGAACTGATCTATAGAATCTCATGTTTCTTTGGGACTAAATAAAATAGTGCTTTAGTAGAGACAGGCTACCACACACCCAGAGTTTATGTGCTCTTCTTCCAGTCCCTACTTCCTGTGTCTCATATTGTACTGTGCCCTAAACATTTCTTATGATACTGAAGCATGGCAACTGAGACTGAGGTGCTGGCAGCCAACAGCAACAGAATGCATGTTAGGATACAACATGATTGAAGATGGTTGGCAAGCCTGATGTAGACTGTGGCTTGGCCTATTTGGGAGCATGGATCTAGAGCTTATCTCAGTCTGAATCAACCATTGAAACACCCTCAGATAGGAGGTAGCTTCAGCTGTTAAAATAGGATTGGAGAAAGGAATTTCCTTGCATGTACTCAAGTGGCAACTTTGCATTCAAAGGCTGTATTTAATTTGTACTGGTTGTGCAGTGTCCTTTCTGGAAATTCTGAAAATAGCTTCTCTGTTTTTGTTTTGCAGTTGTGTTGGAAAATCATGATGTGACAGAGGAAGATGTAGACCCACCTATAAAGCGTCAACGGATCGAAATTAATTGCCAGGATCCCTCAATTAAGGTGCCTGTGGACATTTGTTGTTATTTACTACATGTTGTCAAGTACTGGATGGACAAGGGTAGGTTCTGTTACTGGAGGGATGGGGACTTTGTGGCCCTCCAGATGTTGTAGCATTCCATTTCCCATCAGTCCCAGCCATCATAACCAATGGTGATGGGAGTTGTAGTTAAGCAACATCTGGAGGTCCACAGGTTCCCCCATCTCTGTATTATGGGCTAAAGACTTCTAAATTGTCTGCAGCTGCAGGTTTCTTGTTCTCCTTAAGAAAGACAGAGACAGAGGCTTCAGAAGCTAACCCAAGAATCTTGCCACAGCAGATTGACTCCATACTCCTAGTACTAGGTACTTGTTTATGGGGCTATTGGGCAGATAGTAGAGGTGGTTGCATCAAAAGCCCTTCAGGGGCTAAATTTTATTGTATGCTTAAGCTCCTTCTGTAGGGAAATTGCTTAATATTTTGTTAACTAGTTAATTTAAGCATTGTATTTTTTCCAAGCTGTTTTTTCTATCTTGAATAACTAACCTAACGGGCTAAATTTGCTTCTTCTGTGTAACTTTTAATTAAAGTCCACCAGGGGGCACAATAGAAATTTCTTTAAGTAAATCAAAACAAAGTGAAAATCAAAACAAAAATATTTCGTAGTGTGGGGAAGGTTCTTCTTAATGCTGCTCTTTTGTTATTTCTTTAGAAACTTAATCACAGTAATTGCACAAAGGGTGTGTGTGTGTATGTATATTTACCAAACTTGCTTCAGAACCCAAAACTTTGGGAATTGATTATAAAATATTTATATCCCTCCTTTGTTTCCAAAAACAACCAAAGTGCCGCTTAGTTTAAAACCTATTGGAACATCAGATTAAAAATTACTTTGGTGGGAGGCGTAGGATAACAGATCAGATATCAAGCCCTAGGGCCTGCTAGAGCAATATAGATCTTACCTGAGATTGGGGTATCATTAAGAAAAAATATTTCCACAGCCTACTACAGTGGAAATGGCCTCACCACATGTCCCCACCACCTGTGTTTCTAGAAGTGGTGGACATGTGTTTTGCAAAGACCTAAGTGATCTGCTAGAGTTGAATGTTTTATGTTAAAATGAAAAGACTTCATTAATAATAATAGTAATAATAATTTTTATTTATACCCGGCCCTCCCCAGCCAAGACTGGGCTCAGGTCAGCTAACATCAGGTATAATAACAATTGATTCAAATACAACTTAAAATGCAGCCTCATTTCAGAGGACGCCCAGATCAAAACTGAGGGGAGAAAACATCAAATCTTCACCAAGGCCAACTATCGAGATTGGTCCTACATGGGCCAGAAGAAAGCCAGGGAAGTCCCCAAATAGGGGTTCCATCACTGAAGGAAAAGGAAAGAGGGGGAGGGGAATCAGGCTGATTCCAAGCCAAAGGCCAGGTGGAACAACTCTGTCTTACAGGCCCTGCGGAAAGAAATCAGATCCCGCAGGGTCCTGGTTTCATGAGACAGACTGGAGCCAGTGTTGAAAAGGCCCTGGCCCTGGTTGAGGCTAATCTGACTTCCTTAGGGCCCAGGACCTCTAGAGTGTTGCTATTTATGGACCTTAAGGGCTCCGCGGGGCATACCAGGAGAGGCGGTCCCGTAGGTACGAGGGTCCTAGGCAGACATAGGTATTATGACCACTTTCTGGAAACCATTTGATGACTGCATATCCTCAGAGACACCCATATTAAGGGTAAAGTAATGGCATTGAAAACAAGGTTCTGGAGTTTGACCTCAAATTCAGAGCCTTCTAAACTGAGACTTGCAGGTAAGCCTCAATAATGCTGTGATATTCCATCAACTTTGCGGATGATCGTACTTAGTGACCAGGTGGCCTGATAGTGCTCCTTTAGTAAACGGGGCATTTAGATGAATATTGATGTGTGTATGTTCTTTGAAGATATATATATATATATATATACCACTGTTTTATTTGGCTGCTTCTCTTCCCTAGTCGTTCCTGTATTCCATTAATCAGACAATATGCCTGCGATTGGATAGTATTGAAGCAAAGCTGCTAGCCCTGGAAGCTACTTGCAAATCACTGGAAGAGAAACTGGACCTTGTCATGAACAAGCAGCATAGCCCTATCCAAGTCCCCATGGTGGCAGGTTCCCCGCTTGGTGCTACACAGACATGCAACAAAGTGAGATGGTAAGACATTAATGTGTGAGGACAGCCTGTGCTGTCTCCAGAGCATCTGCTTGGCATGAACAAGCTGGGCAGCTTTCTGGATAACTGTCAGGAGCTTGGTATGCAGTTTAGAATGACAAATGAATTCCTCTCAGGGGCTATTGCACTGTCAGGTTCACAGTATTGCTTCCTGTGAGACAGAGACTGAACACGCCCCCTTACTTTGTGAATGACTTGGAAATGCTACCACATTTTGCCTTAGCTTTTGCCTGGGTGTAGGGTACATTACAGATGGAGTGGCTTGGCTTCTGTTTTAGCTTGGTGGCAGATCGCTCCTAGTCTATCCTGGGGCAATTGGCTGGGTTTTCATTTTTATCCTTTCAATGAAGAATTCAGCATTCTGAGAATTTATTTATATAACATAAACACAAAGACTAGGGTGATATACAAAAATAAATACCAATAATAAAAGATTACAGTCAGTTAAGAACAGTTAATTAACTACATGCTGTGGTCCAGACATATTATGCATCAAAGGCCTGATGAAAAATATGGTTTCACAATTTGAGCATTTGCTTTTTAAAGCAAACTTCTAGCTCTTAGGGCTCGCTAATGCGTCTGTCAACATCCATGGCCTTTCAGATGTTGGACAACAGCTTGCATCATCCCTCACCAGGGCTGGAGGGACTTGGAGGACCAGATGTTCCCCATCCATAGTGTAATAACTAGCAATCTCTTGGAAGCCTGAGCAGGCAGTGGTTAGAAGGCATGACTTTGGGGCTCTGCATAGATTCTGGCTACTCCACACTAACTTTGTATAAATAGCACAATTGGATTTGCATAATTAATTTTGTCACAGAATTAAGCTTTCTTTGGTGCTGAATTTGGTATGTATTTTAGTGTGGTTCACAGCCCCTTTACCTTTAGTCTCATAGATAGTATGGTCCAGTCAGAGGGCAGGAAGCCAAAATGCATCAGACATATAAAATGAAGACATAATATGGGTTGAAGAGAGCATGCTTGCATCTGGAGAGCCAAATGTTCCCCACACCTGTTTTAAAGCAGCCAATGAATTTCTGTTATCATCACTTTATTTGGAGGGTTTTCTGTAGTATAATACTTTTGATTCTTAGGGAGGTTCTTCCTAACCCATTCTGAACAATAACCACTTTTTTGCTTTACCTTTTGTACTTCACTTGCTTATACTTTCCTTTGCTTTTACTGTCTTAAATAGTTGCGTTTGAGCAGTTACTTCTTTCATCACCTGGGTGTATTTTCTATCTGTATACGATATCTATATCTATATCTGTATCTATATATATCTTTAAAATTCATTGGCGAACTCTGCAAGTTTCTGAATATTTTTCTGGTATGTGATGCTAGAAAGTGATCTCAGTATTGCAGGTGCCCTGGATACTCACAGAAAGAAGCTGTTCTCTTCTGGCTTCATAATGACAGGCTTGCACATCAGCAGCACAGAACATCTTTTGTTGACATACAAATCCTTTCCTATCTGATTTGGCATCCATGTTTAGCCCTAATCCTTTACTGGATGGCTTCTTCTTTGGTTTCTTTCCAACTCACGCTCCTCTCATGCCCAGTTTTTTTTATAACATTTCATTCCTTACAGATACTTGCAGATATACTCAGTGGAATCTATTTATTTCATGAATGTACAATTCATAGCTTTGCTACTTTTTAATGCACATGTTAAAATGATACTGGACTTTTTACAGTGCTGATCATCTCAGCCATCTCAGTCTATGATTCCATACCCCAAGTATTATATAAACATAATGCTAGTAACCATGTACCCCTCTGTGGAAGGATTATTGGGAGTGAATCACTGGTGAAAGCATTCCCCTGCATTGGCAGCAAGACTAGCGTGTGCTGCGTTGTGGTCAAGCTGCTGCTGTGCCATAAACTTCAGTTTGTCTCTGTCTGCTTACCCTCCTGTAGAAAAAGATCTTTCCAAATATTTTGGATGTTTGTCAGGATGGTTTCACCCAAATCTAAGAAAGTCTGCTTGCGTC